TGAGCGTAAATGAAAAATGCAAAATCAGAAACTCTCTCATCTGCTTCTTCTCATTTTCCATCTCTTCTGGTCCATGAGCACAGCACAGTAGGTATAGTGTTTGTCGAGCAGCTAAGTGGCTCCTTTCCTCTGGAACTACCCTCGGCCATTTTCTCCATCCTCTTACCCTCACTCCTACCGCAGATTGTACATGCACATTGGCTACTTCAGTTTTCTAATATATATATATATATATATATATATAGGTACACATAGATATACATATATACAATAAGCGGCATCGTTTCAGAACACGCAATTCCCTCTGACATGAATTTACATCAAAACGACGTTATTGAATTAGCTTAGAAAATTCTTCCATTAAGTAGTCTCTGCTATTTTACAAAAATTACCTTGATATACCGAAAATACTGGTTTGCCTATCTTTTTAGTAATATGAAAAATATCGTTTTTTTTTTTTTTTTTTCGTAAAAAAATAGTTTTATGCCCTCCGATGATTTTCGAGGCTGTCTCGAAACTGGGATATATGACAGTGCGTCATAACTTTGACAGGCCATGAAGGGGGTAGAAAAGGGTTGGTGTCTCTAATCAATCGAGAGATCTCTTATCCACGCTCTTCGTCCCTCTACTGATATCCAATGCATACGGTGGATACCAGATGATGAAGATACCATGCGTTCGGATGGATAGTTCGTGAGCTAATACTTTCACCAGGGCTTAGGCCGTAGGATGAAATGAGAATGGTGAACTGGGTCGAGAACTCGAGAGCTGCCGATCTGGATTTGTTGACAGTTCTCTTTGAGCGCGCATCGGGAAGACCGACGACGAATAGACATGCGCACTTAACCAGTGCCTAGTACGACGCATAGTGTATCTGCAAATCCATTGGTATAGCTGGCAGTATGCATTTTTACGTCTTATAAGAGACGTCCAAGTATGACTTTAAAAAATGGCAAATTTTCCATAGAAGTAAAATGCATTGTCGTTGACGTATGTATCACGATATATTAATAAGGAGTATTTTGAAAGTATGGGATTTTTATTAGAAAAATGTACAGCCGTTTGCCCCATTTGCATCATTAGCTTATATATACGCTTAGTTGGTATCCAGATATAACAGAAAGAAAAAAAAATGTTGGTGATAAGTCCCTCTTTTTTCATTCTTCCTTAATGGGGTTAAGTATCTTACATGACTTGGAATTCCTTTTCTGGAATTTTATTTATTCATTTTTTGTTTCCATTCATTTTTCAATAGATATTTATCTATTCACGTTGGCTGCAACACTGATTCACAATAGCACGTCGGATTTAGTTTCTTTGTTACAGAAAATCCGACACGGTATACATTTCTTGCAACAATGACTTAATAACACATGTGACTGGTCTAAGGGACTGTCTGTGAATATTGCGTGCAGACTCGGTCGTGTCACGGTTGTTGACATAGGGACGCTCCTTGTTTATTCACGCGTTAAAAAACGATTGTGCCCGTCACGTAGCGCGTAAGCCGATTAAAAGAGCCTTTTACTTTTTTACCGTCCATACCTTTTGCAGCTCTCACGCTCTCTCGTCGGCCGCAGACTCCTTTGCAGGCTCGTTACACTTTTGAATTATTTGTACGCGTTATGCCTTTGACCATTTTTCTTCTTGTAGAAAAGTCGTATTAGCCACGTTAGAATTTGTTGTTTTCTCGTCTGGATTTTTTACCAGTAGTCATATTCGTCTTTACGGTGACAATTTACTGTGGTGCAAATCGTATTTAACTGTTATGGCGACTGTACAAAAAATTTCAATCCTCTGCATTTCACAGGAAAAAAATAAAAAAATCTTGTATAAATGGTTCAAAGCTGGATAAATTTAAAAAATATACCAGAACCACTCTATTAGTCTTCTTGTATGTCACTATGAATTCTTAACGTAGTACGTTTTGGTTGCTACTTGGAAAATTCTTATTACCGCGCTATTCGATGAGACAGCCCTACGCGTAGGGAGAAAAAGTATGACAAAGAGGGGAAGGAGGAAATAAGAGCGCATGAGAGAGAGACAGAGTGCCATGTGACCCAGTATGCCTCCCACTTGTTCACCCGCTTCGTACTTGTACTGGTTGTTCACCTACAGAACCTGCGATCGATACCTTCTCTACGACCCCACCCGCATTCGACACGGAAAATTATCATTTTTACATTCTCGTGAGAGCAGACTTTAAGAAAAATCTTGTTCCTCTTTTTTCGGTAAAATTATTGAAAGGAACAAAGGGACGTGTTTTGTATAACAAAATATTTTGTCTTTTGCGTCGCATTCGATGTTATGCCGAGAACTATAAGTATGTAGAGGGTTGACGGCGTGTGTATGCTGACATCTATCTGCCATCTACTGTACTATAATCTACCCATATCGTTTCAATATTTTTCAATGTAATTAAGCGAATGTTATTTTCCTTTTTCTGTTTATGTATAACGATTAATTATTGGTACTCGCAATTTTGTTTGAAGCTTTTGTATTTTCATATATTGCGCTGTATTATAGTTTTTATTTTAATTTATCATCGCGCTATGTGCCATTTAAGAGCATTGAACGTTTGTACTGTACTATAATCTACCCATATCGTTTCAATATTTTTCAATGTAATTAAGCGAATGTTATTTTCCTTTTTCTGTTTATGTATAACGATTAATTATTGGTACTCGCAATTTTGTTTGAAGCTTTTGTATTTTCATATATTGCGCTGTATTATAGTTTTTATTTTAATTTATCATCGCGCTATGTGCCATTTAAGAGCATTGAACGTTTGAAGCGCATGCTAGATTCATGTATATGTATATACATATATATATATATATATGTATTCGCTACTAAAAATAACTAACTTACGGGCAAAATATCAAATTTACGAGGCGATCTATTTAGCCGTAAGTATCGTACGTGCTTCGTGCATTACCTTAATAAATAATGTGAATATTTATAAAGCATCGAGAGACATTATAGGTATTTATATTAGTTGTATAATAATTAATGATTGATGATCTTTAACCTAAATCCAGAATCCTTTTATTTAAGGGAGTGCACGATAGTTAATTGAAAAGAATTTCACAACTATGATTATACAATATTTTTAAAAATAAATTGTAAAAATACCTGACTAGAATTGTTACGTAAATTCGTATATACCAGAGATAGTTAGCGTTTCGAGTAAAAGAGTCTCATTAAATTCCCAGTGACAAATTACTTCTCGTCAGACTTAAATTGCAATTTTACAAATTTCCGTAATTCTGCAAGCTTACGAAGGAGCCTTCGGGATGCGAGAAATTCTCATGAGAATTGGCAAAATAATTGTACTCCAGTCTTCGCTATTCATTCTCTCTAGCGATAAAATTCCAAAAATCTTTGTAAACTCGACGGAACGTAACTTCGCGTACGAGTAATATCGATAAAATATATTGAAAGTCAATGATGATCTTCCGAGTGTTTTTTTCATATTTGTAACGATATATTCAGCGGTTTAATATATTCGTAATAAGCTGTGTTAAGGATCGTAACTTCAAGCTAAAAAATGACGTCGAGAAAAATTTCGCATCGATAAAGTCGTAAGAAAAAAAATATAAATAAAAGTGAGCTCAAATAGATATAAGAAAGGACGTTACTTTATATTTCTGTGTAAAGCAATCGTATCCGCTTGAAAGCACGCAGCCACTGATACAATAGAGTATATAAAGATACTATCGTCAATATATATATACATATAAATACATAGCAGTATTATATATACTACATAAACCTATATTCATCCTTTGTATTGCACAATGTATATTTACTGAAGATAGCGAAGAAGTGTATTCTAATAATTATCGTGGGAGGGAATCTTCCTTAAACCAATAAGCACGTTTAAATAAAATCTTCATTAAATTTTGATAGTAGGCTGAACGAAAGATTATATACTTTTACTTAAGAAGGGTTTATTGTTTCTTGTATACGAATTTATTTTCAGGTTACAATTAATACAGACCTTTCCTTTGTTCAAACAACAAGTCGTACATACAATATCTGTGTATTAATTTAACAATGCCGGGAATGAAATTGCAATGGAATGAAATTAAAATGAAAAAAAAAATATTCTCATACAGGATTTCGTGTAACGTTTCCAGCGAAGGGTCTTCAAAAATTAAATCAAATAAATTCAAGCGTTACGTACGTCAGGTTAGGTTATAACGTTCTACAGGAAAATCGATTGAAGGTTAATTATGTTAACGTAATTGCACATTGAGCAGCTGACTTGGGTCCGTACTGACACGCTTACGGTTTTCAATGGGGTTGGGCTGCATATATAAATTTGTATTAGGAAATGTCATTGCGCAATCTATATTAATAGACGGACCCATTGGCTCTAATGCAAATTATAAGCATTAAATTATAATTCGATATCCTTGACATCCGATGTCTCAACTTAACCCCACTCTGAATTGTTAATACCAAAGAGGACCAAACTTTCAGAGCCTCTTCTCGCTTTCTCACAAGGTTCACTGCTTTCCAATTCGAATGAGGAACTTTGCCATAAAGTCAGTGCTGCAGCGGCAGGAGCTTTGCATAGGAAACTACTGGGCACAGCTACAGTACATATTTCCGAACGTTCTGCTTTATTGATATTACACAGCTTATAACAACGATGTAAAGCAAACTTCATGTATGATATAGGTAGATGGGAAACTTTAGTGTGCTATTGCTATTGAAAAGGCTGTTATACTTGCACCCACTATTATATGCAGAGAAAACAGCATACACGTGGTGTTGTATGAAAAATTTGAAATGACAGGGATACCACTTTCCTGAAGTCCTTTGGAGGCAGGCACTTTATTAATCATACGAATTTTAATGTTGGAAAGATTAAAAAAAAAGGTTGTCAATTTTCATTAAAGCTATCCAAGTAAGCTCAGAGTTCGAAGATTGTGTATTATTAAGGTTTTTCACGTGAATAAATATTAAACTGTGTCCATTTCTTTTTCATGCAGACCAAACTTCGCGTGATGGTGGAGGAGAACGCAGCAACCGGCGCCCGTTTGGACGGGGAGCTCGAACGTGCCAAAGGAGAATGCGCATCCTTACGCGGGGAGCTCAGGGATGTTCGGGGTGCGTTGGCATTGAACAACAACGGAAGCAGCAATGTGAACAGCAACCCCAACAGCTCGTCAACATCCGGTACCAGTGGTAACAACCTGAATCCGTCGCACGATGTCGAATCTCAGCTACAGGAAGATCTGAAGAGACTCAGTGCTGGTAGCAGTCCTGTCGACAAGCGGAGTTCAGCTAGTGACAAGTCTGCAAGTCCCATTGATAAGAGATCCAGTCCGGTTGATAAGAAAGACAGATCGAGTCCTATCGACAGGAAAGCCAGTCCTATAGGTCTGTATAAAATATATGGGATAAGATACTTCTTTTTTTTTTTTTTTTTAATAATGATCTATCAAATGGTTGGAGCGTTTTTTTGTAACGATGACGTCACTTTCAGAAAGACGCAATGGATCTCCTTGTAGAAGTCCCAGTGAAAAGGCTCGAAGATCTTATGCTACGGCTTTGGAAAAAACAAGGTTGGGCTCAGCAGGGAGCGTAGACTCCAGGTCGGGAAGTGCCAGTCCTGACAGGGGTACTTCTAGTCGTGGACCTTATTTATATCGTGGGAGCAGCGACCGGTCCAGTATCGAGAGGCTGCGTATTTCTACAAATAGGGATTCCATTCGTTCCTCGAAGGATGAGCACGATAAGGAGAATAAAGATACTTTGGATGGCGATGTACGCCTCGAGGAAGACAACGAACCTCCGGGTCCTGCGCCAAGCAGCAGACCTTCATCCCCAAGTAACTCACTTGGTAAGTCACTTTTTTAAATAATCTATATAGTCGAATGAAAATTGAACGAGAAACTTGCTTCTCTGAAGTCTGTTGGATCCCTCTGATTTTCTGCTCAACTTAATCAATTAGCCTTTACTACTTTGAGTTTCTCGTGTGCGGTCGATCCGATCAAATCTTCATAAGTTACGGGAGGATTATTGGCGAAACGTGAATTTTCTGTTATAATAGGAAAGTTCCGCTTACGGAGATACTTTATATCTTTTTATGCTATAATTTATTCATTGATAGATTGTTTTTACTTTTTTCTTTTCTTTTCTTTCAAACGCTACCTATTTCAAAAGGAATTATTGGGGATCCTGTAGTGGCGTCCCGATTGTCAAACATTCATGGAGGAAGCGGAAGTGGAAGCGGTAGCGGATGCTCCGATGAACTGGCCAGCGTTCGAAGATTTCGTCTTCAGAATGAACGACTTGTGGCGGAAGTAGCGAGATTGAGGAGGCTTCTCTTCACTGGAGCCGCGCGCGGTGAAGTCGGCGCAGAGGATGCGGTTCTCGAAGAAGAAGCTCGCGTTGTTGCCCTGGAGATGGAACTTCAGCACGCCAGGGAGGCACTGCAAGCGCTGAAAGCAGATCGGAAGAGACTCAAAGCTGAAAAATTCGACCTGCTCAACCAGATGAAGGCACTTTACGGTACTCTGGAGGACAAGGAACGCGAGCTACGAGATTTTATACGCAATTACGAACAGGTTAGTTTCAATTTGTTAATTCCTATACATTCAATGTAATTTGCAGTTGAACCGTATCGCCGTAAGGATAATCCAAGTTAATCTGATGTTCCGAAACTTTCCCGCAGGTTGTTTCCTCTCCGTAACCATGCTTCGTATCGAATCGTTATTGGTTGACTTCAGCTTAAGGATTTTGTTAGCCGTGTCCGTTGTGCGTCACGCACTCTGTTAGTATCTTAAAGCCCACGTCAATGCGTTTCTATGTAAGCTCTCAGATGTTCGACGGTATAGACAAGATTTTCCTTGCTGGCGAATAAAGTCCCATATGCGCCATAGACGCAGCTCCCTGTTGATACACATAAATTCTTATGCACAGTTCATTGTATTTGGACTCCTCCTAAGACGCATGCACATGTAGGGCGATGTCAGTTTCCTGAGATATTTCCGATTCGATCGATTCACATAAAAAGCGATAGCTACATAAGCTTTACCCTGTTAAGAACTGTTCTAATGCGGAGAGACGGACCCCTTCGGGATCGGAAAATTCACATCACCTTACGAGTGTTTGTCTTCTACTCAATAAAGGACCCTTCGTCTCTCCCTTCTTGAGAGCCCTAGGAAGAAAAGAAATCTTGTTCGGAAGGACTGACGCACAACCGTCGGAATTGTCACTTCAATACGAAGTTTAGCCCGAAAGCGAATTCCTAAGCACGAGATGCTGGGACGAAGCTCAGCCATCTTAAAATTTACGGGATTTCCTTTTCGTGAAGCGCACCGTCAATTTCCTCTCAGTTTACTCTCTTCCTGTCTCGCACCCTTGTATAATCTGCTTCATCTCCTGCGACTGTTGATGTGTTACCAACGGCCCCAGCCCTTCATCTTCACACTCTCTCCCCTTCGATCCTGCGTCTTCTCTACTCTCGAAACTTTAGACCTCTATTTCATCCTGGGGTAATCACTCGTTAGCCTTCCTTATCATCTGAGGTAATGTCTTCTTCGATCGAAGGTATTTACGGTTCTACCTTACGTTGACATAAGACAAAGAAGACTCTTGTGCCAGACGTATTCCTTAGAGTCTCATCACCCTGTTACAAAGCCATAATGTATAATTGTTATATCCTTTTTTCCATTATTTCATTTTCTATAAATATTTTTAGCCCTTGCGTGAATTGCCTCTATCGATGCAGTAGACCAGAACCCTGGGGTACCGTTTGAAATAAACAAAATTCAAGTTCTGTAGTCAAACCTCGGATCAATATTTGATTTGGCAATGATCAAAGAAACGGACATAGTTTGGTCGGTTCACGCTTGCGTCGCTCCCGACACTAAAAAAAGCAGTTGGACTCTGTCGTCAATTCGCATGCATGCATCCATCGAGTGGTGGTGGTTTTTGGGTAGAGTTACTGCCCGGATGTGGGTCTCTTTGACCATTGATTACAGCGGATGAGAGAAAACGAAGCTACACTGGGTCGCCTTCAGCAGCAGGGCACAGGAACATCCACGGAGGAACGTGAGCGGGAACGTGAGCGAGAACGTTGGAGTCTTTTGAGAGCAGCCAGAGACGAAGCTGACAGAAGTCTCAGTTTGGCTGCAAGTCTGGCTGACAAAGAAGCCGCGTTATCCCATGCTCACGCTACTATCAAAGAAGTACGTATTTACATCTTGGTTAGTTATAACCTCGAAATTCGATAACTCCACGGCATACTTATCACGCTTTCTCCTGTAATAATGAAATTAGCTCCAACGTCAGTTAGCTGAGAGAGGAGTCGGCGGCTGTCTGAGCGATCAGGAATCCCTGGTCTCTTTTCCTCATGGCAGCATAAACGGAGCAGCTACACCGGGAGCTGGTAGCAGCAGCGGCGGCGGTGGCGGAGGTATCATACCTCATTTCTCCCAGCAACCCCTAGGAAGTACCGAGCTCAGCGTAGGAGTAGTTGGAGGAAGTGCAGCGGTCAACACTGTCGGTGGTCAAAGTGGCGATCGTGGTAGCTGCAGCGCGGATAGCGGAGTACGTGGTTCCAGTGATCGTGAGAGTGGTGGAGCCACCAGCGTTGGTGGGAATTTATCAGATTCGACGACGGACGGTAAGCTTTATGTTTTTATAATACGTAGTTCCTTTCCTCTAGTCTTCGAGTTCTTCGTCCTACTTTGGGTATCGTCACCTGTTGAACAGACATGAGTATCGCCAAGAACAGAAAACGGAGACTGAATCAACTACCCACTCCGAATTTATATAATAATCCCTAAAACCTCAACGTAACATAAAGAACACGAGCAACTACTGGTAGACGCAAAAGAATGAAAGAGGGACCATGTTCTTCAGAGTCCTCAGCATCGTCAAAGAGATTTAATACCGCAGCTGCTACGCTAAATTTCCCTGCACTCGCTTGCTCAATTGATTTCCCTATATTTCGCGCAGGCACGCCTACTATAACGGTTGAAGGGAGTGGTCTCGACATGGACAGCATCTCCGTGGTTTCTTCTGTTGCACCACCCCACATGTATCAATGTAAGTGCTCAGCAATAATCACAATCACGAACAGCGCATCTATCATCAAAAATATTATATACCGCGTGTACTGTATTACGACGACTCACGGGTCATTCCCACCGATCAATGTTTATAAATTGCATGAGCATGTGCGTCAATACGAACGAATATGAATGTTTCAGCTGCTATGTGTTCTTTATGTTGCATCGAAGGTGTCACGGTACTGATTATTCTGACCGATTAAAATAATCAAGATTCGTCTAATTTCTATAAGGCACATACATATTTTACTCGTATCTCATGCTAGTCAATTAATTGAATAAAAAGTATTGCGTAACTATCCCGTTTTTCAATTTCAGCTGCAACCACGCCGAAGGACTGCAGTCCTACGTTATCTCCGCTGAATGCATTCTCGAGATCGATGGACAACTCGTCCCTCTCACGTTCTGTAGAACAATTGTCTAGTCCTTTGGATTCTGAACCCAGAAGAAATAAACAGCCACCACCTGTCGTCGTACCTTCAGCACATTCTAGATCCTCGGCAACGCGTGGTGGCACCTGGGGATCCATTTCTAGGTAAAAGCTTCTTCGTGCTTGTAGATTGTATCGATGTCCTATCGTGAAATGTACTTTAGCTCTTTACTTTCGCTCATGGAATTATGTAATTTTGTGAAACTCGGAATGAAAAAGAACGCTGCACACTGTCCAAACTATTGTAAAGGATTCTCCTTTGTGTACCTATAATTCTCTTTTATTCATTTGCCGGCATTCTTACGTAAATAATGGATTTTACTTAGGCGCGGTATAGCTTTAATGTGGGTTGCGTTACAATGTGCCTTGACAGCAAGCTTCCATTACTGCCAGGATCCGATAGTGCTACGGATGAAAAGACATTAAGGGTACCTTGTCGAATCGCTTTTTTTTTAAATTTGAATGGTCTAACAGCTTAGCGTGAGGTGACTTTTGTAACCTACCTCATGGCACGTAGATGGAAGGATACATGTTGTGTTAATAATTATAGCGAAACAAAGCGATTAAATAGTATTATTTGTGGAATTTATCTGTGGTCTAGGGTGTTTGCACGAACACGACATCGGAAGGCAGCCAGCAACAATTCAGCAGGCGGAAGTGGCGGAAACGAAGGCACGGAAGGCTTCGATCCTTATAGATCCTGGTCTCCTCTCACCGAGGAAGGTTATGCTGAAAAACTTCGTTTACTCAGGGAAGCAGCTTCGGTCCCTATGGAACGATGGCGTGCGCCTACCGTATTAGCCTGGTTGGAAGTCGCCCTGGGAATGCCTCAGTACGGTCCACGTTGTGCAGAAAACGTGAAGTCTGGAAAGGTAATGAATTCTAAGAGGATATTCAGCTCCATGGGAAAATTATACTCTGCTATTCTGATCAGGTACTGCTGGAACTGAGCGATGCTGAGCTAGAGGCGGGACTGGGCGTTTCTCATCCTCTTCATAGGAAGAAACTCAGATTGGCCATTGAAGAACACCGGCATCCCAGTCTCGTTCGATATCCTTGCATTGCTCAGCTGGGTCACACTTGGGTGAGTTCTGAATGGCTGCCTGACTTGGGTCTGGGTCAATACTCAGAAAGTTTCGCTACGAATATGGTCGATGCGAGAATGCTGGATCACCTCAGTAAAAAGGAACTTGAGAAACTCCTAGGTGTCACCCGGAAATTCCATCAAGCCAGCATCGTGCACGGAATACACCTACTGAGAATGCTCAACTATGATCGCCAGGTATATAGATACCTCGAAAATTCTTATATTCCGACTTTATACAGGAACGTCAGTTCCATATTTATTTCTGAGATGTCGCGTAATTTTAAAATTCTAGGCTCTTGCCGTTAGAAGGCACCAGTGCGAACAGGTCGATGCTGATCCTTTGGTTTGGACTAATCAGAGATTCATTCGCTGGGCGCGAAATATCGATTTGACTGAATACGCAGAGAACTTAAAAGGTAGATTGTGATTTAAAAAATTAAGTTTTTCTATTTTTAATAACAATTTTTACTTTTTGTAATAGACTCAGGAGTGCACGGTGCTCTAGTTGTCTTAGAGCCCTCATTCACGGGTGACACAATGGCCACCGCCCTGGGAATTCCTCCTGCGAAACACATGATAAGACGACATCTCACTGCTGAATTAGAAGCTCTTGTTCTCCCCGCAAGGTACACTGTCTACTGTCATCCAGAGGCCACATTGGACAACGCTCACTAATCAACATTTAGAGATTCTCCTTTTGTGCCTGATTGGCTAACGAAATCCACCTTGGGGGAAAAGATTGATAGATTGGTTTACCACGCGAATGATACGTGGCTTGTTTCACAGTCTTCCCTTGCTCGTTTCTTAGATAAAAACTAAGACACTAAGATTTCGACGATAATTCTCTCTCATCGATCTCTTTTCAAAGATAATTAGATAGAAATTCAGGGTACTGCTTAATTGGATTGACAAGCGATTGGAAAAGAAAGGACTGAGCTGATTCGTCATTTATAAATAATCGGATTAAAGCGGATACTACACAGAGTTATCCACGTCAATAATAATGTTAGGAAAATTCATATTGAGATGATAAGACATTTGTTGAAGTTTTGAAAGAATCTAGTTAATGATGCCAATCGAGGAGCTATTTTGTAGTAAAGATTTCTCTTTTTGGTGCTATTATGTATTAGAATTAATATTAAGCGCATGCATCTTTCTTCTATAGGGAACTAAATGCTTTGCATTTTTTATACAATTTTATTATCAAATAAAAAGTGATTTACGCGGAACTTTGCACGGTTCTCATATGCATAATTTCTAGTTTACTGGAAAGGTATACTCAAAATAATAGCACTTGAAATAATAGTACAATTAAATTTTGATAATTACATAAATGCACCAAAAAGAAAGTAAGTCGTTGCACATCGAGCGCTATGAAATCATTGACAATTTTCTTCCTGCCTCATTGTCCTACATACTTCATTAGAAATTTGAATATTTAAAATATTTAGATAGAATCTGAACCACATGGATCATACGGTAAATCTAAAAGACAAGTAAAAGAAGTTTTAAAAGTTTTTCCTAGGTAAAAAATCTATTTACAACTATGAGCAAAATTTACTTCGCATATTAGGAACAGGCAACATTTTTAAATGACATAATAGTAACAGTAGCACAGTCTAATTTATCAGTTATCGTCGATATGTCCAAATCTCCTTAATTAGTTAAAAGTTTTTAAAATGAGATTTTGATCGGTATATTCACTTAACAGTGGCTAGTGCAAGTGACAAACGTACACGTATTTATCCCTAGCAATTGATCCTTATTTATTAAATCATTTAAAAAATCATTTTCATCGCGACACGATTTCGCCATGATCATCTCATATTACATAAATAGTAATTATATCGAGCACGAATATAGTCACGCTGGCTGATCGTTCGCTCGTTCATTGTCGTGAATCGCGCAGAATTTATTGCCACAAGCTTTTATACCGCCAGTATAGTGTTTTAGGTAATATCTTACATGTATAGATTTTTCCAACCCCGCTCTGTGTATAAGTGTACCTAGCCCCCAAGATACTAATTCCTACATCACAATCAAAAAGCCACGATTATCACGAAAACAGGATATGAGAGGAAAGGTACCAATGAGAATATTTAGAATTTCGCACAAACATTAATAACGTCATTTCACGAAAATAGCCATTAGATAGGGAACAAAATACAAATTGCTTGTCCACACAATAGAGGTGCTTTTTAATCAAAATTTCATTATCGCTAAATTTTACTTAATTGTTAATCAAATCCAAAATGGGCAAGAAAACTCAATGATTTGAAATATTCGATATCGCCAAGATAAATCAGGTACACGTTCCTTTATCGAAGAATATGTGGCGATATCGAGGTAACGAAATCAATAATTAATTAGTAAGTGTCTGTCAATAACATTAAATCGATATTTATTATAAACCTTGTCGCGGATACTGATTAATCATTGTATCGGTTATACAACTAGGAACATTTTTTGAAAAATTTCTACATAAAGGAAATCGAGCGCCCGTGTGGCTGTCTAACGAATTTCGATATTACTTATTGTTAATAGCGTATAGAAAATGAATTTGAATTTAACAATAATCTCAAAGCTGCATACAGCCGAACGATTCTAATAGAAGGTGATGCATTAAACAGAATCACGATTCATATTGCTGCAGTTAATGAAATTTAATCTGCGTTATTGAAATAAAAAAATGGAATCTGCATCCGATGATGTTGCACAGGCAAAACGAGAGTTATCTCCCACCTTGCCAGTGTGCCATCCACGTAGAACAGATTCAGTAATTTATCTAATTCAATTCTAAAGTCAACAATGAACGTCAGCTACAGAGTGTTTCATAATTCATCAATATTGTGGATCGTATTACGATTTCCAATGGTCGCGGTCGAGCATATATAGGCAGATATAAACTTTACTACTATATAAACTTTATAGTATAACATACAAGTTCTGCCTATCATTATGGTTAATCGCGACCATTCAGTTTGTAAATGTATTCGTAACCGTACACATACTATACCTAATATACGAGGAATACACACACGTAGATACGATACAGTACAATCAACATAATGTACATATACAAACATTCATTACCTAATCAAGATGTTTGGACATTTACAAATTGATTCGACGTCAGCGAGTCATTAGGTCCTCTTTCTCTACTCGATGCAATACGAGTACAATAGTTTCATTTTTTAAAATACGTCTAATGATCGCGGGTCTACCGGCAATTTCCTATAACTGAGCCGTAGCCCACAGCTGCTGCCTGCACTGCACTGCGCTATGTACAGCACACACTATTCTTAGCGATTGTGGTGTCATTCTTGGTTAGAGCTTTCTGAACAAAAAATACCTATCTATTAAATCAGTTATTCATCCATTTGAAAATAATATAAGTAAATAGCCTTCATTGACTATAAATTAATATTGCTATTTAAAACTTGCTCAAGCAATATACTAATTTCGTCGAAGCAGCATAATGACCGTTACAAAAATATTAAATATATAAAATTATCCGTCACAAGTAAATAGAGTAATTCTGGATTCTGTATATTGTGAATTACGTTTTCTCTCTACTGTCAATCATTTTAATTGACATTCAAAGCCTGTTGTAGATACAAAATACTAAGAGTGAAGATTGCCTGAAACAAAATTGCCCTCAGTGCTTTTTTTTATTAAAGACTCTAACCACGAATTACACCATTTTGCATTATAACTCCGTTTGTCTTTTCCTCATTTGCCAATTTTGATATTTACATCTCTGACTGTTCGATGTTACTTTCATGATTAATTATTTGGCTCTAATGTGTCACGGTAGTACGGACAAACATGTCTCGCGCCGAATAATAGAGCTTGCAATTGCTAAGAAAAAAAAAAGGTATCGTCGCATTAGAGCCCAGTAAACAGATACATATATTCTTCTATCGATGGAGCACAAATGCTTGTGTATGTATATTTATGTTGTAACTAGATATCCATTATATTGTATATCATCTCTCTTACGAAGCACCTGCGGCGAATCACCCTGCAAATTAAAAAAAATTAAAATCAAGTTTGGTCGTTCGGTTAAAAGAAATATAATAATGCAAATGCGCTTAACAAAAACAAAAAAGAAACAATTTCTTGCGGAAGATTCGTTGCAGCTGTACGTCACACGTGTGTGTGTTTGCGGTGTCGCCAAGGTATACGTATGTGGCGTAGTTGTGCGTACGCAAAGCGTGCATGAGGGTGTGATGCGTGTGCGTAGAGGACAGCTGGAAATCGTCCCCAGGAACAGCGGCGGAAGTCGTCCAGTCAGTACCGTGAGTGCAGGCGGAAGTCTTGGCCGTGGAAATCGAGGACTTCATCTGCAGCACCACCAGAGTTCGCTGTCAGCACTTCACATGGCTGCAAATCACAGTAACACAGTCGATAGGCGGCGATCCAGTCTCAGGGTAACGTACCATCTCAGTATAGAAACCTCATCCGTGCACGACACATCGGGATTAGAGGTTATGCCGGTTTTATCACCGGTGTATAATACGTCATTACTCGTGACACAGAGAAACAGTCACGTGCACCGATCACAGTCCTGACATTCCATAAAATTGCTATACTTTCCAATAGTTCGTGAGTGCTCGTTTATTATGTCATATAAAAATATTAATTTGACGTTTAACTCAGGAATAGTCGCGCGATTTTGTTCTACATTTGAAAAGCGTTGAGTTGGGTTGTCACAGATGCCCCATTTGCGTACTCCCGGGTTAAAGGCACTCACGAACTTGCTTTATCCTATTTGTGTTTATTTGCGGGTTCGTTGCCTATAAATCTTTCCTCTGAACTAACACCAGCATGACTGCATGAATATATTGCTCGCTATTGGTGCTTTTCCCTTACCTTTATTAATAAATCCACTCGAATCCTCGTTCTTCCACGCGAATTCTCGTGACAGACATAGACACAGCGATGCTGTGAGCTATGGGCTTAATTGACCTAACATTAATCATTGTCCGTGCATCCTATGGATTGGCGCAGACCTGCAGCCTTCTTTACTTGAAAAAGGTTCGGTATAATGGTTTTTCCTTATTACACGTTTTACACGATGCCGCGAAAACCTAGAGTTCACGGCATCCATCTTTATGCTAAATTTCGCGAAGATTAATTAATAATGTCAGAGTTGTTCAATACGAAAAGCTAAATGATCCAGCATGAAGTCTTGAATTCTTGATTCTCGTGACAATTTGCTCCATTGTGATTGACATTTGGTAAATAAAAATATTTTAAATATCGCGCCAGACAACATGAGAGTTTATGAATTCAAAAATACAAATATTACATTATTCTACACGTAAGATTGAAAAATAAAGTTTCAGCATACCCAATTATTACACATGCTCATTGAAACTGTCTTTTTTTCTCTTCGTTCCACCGGATATTAACGTCATTCTTCGATAAATCTTTCTCAATCTATCGTTCTCTTTTTGAATGCAGACACGCGCAATATTCGCCGAACCGTTCCTAAAGTCAATCAGTGCAAAAAATATTTGTAGATTATCTGAAGGGTAACGCCAATAAATATACGAGTGTAACGGATTGATTAGAAAGGGGAAAAAAAATTAAATAAGAAATGCAAAGTGAAACAAAAAGGAACAACGAATTCGATGGACCGTTAGGTAAATTCTTTCGTAACTCGAAGTGGCTCGAACGAGATGCTGTTTAAAAAGGTGAAAAGACTGATCGATAATGAGCCTAAAGTTACGTAAAATCTAGAAGTAATTAGACGACGAACGAGTACATTGCAACCCCGTTCATTCCCAATCAACTATTTATTAAAAACGTAGCTATATATGTATATTAATAATAATTAAACAAACAGACACTTTATAACACACTGTATATGTACATACACGGATAAAACTTCCCTACTGTATGTAATATAAATTATTCGTCCTAAGTCTTGTATCATTAGCGACATACGCATCTACATATTATAGGTATACATAACATATATTCTTCATATAAGCGTATCGCATAAACGATATTGAATATTATCTACATTACTAAATTACTACCAAGCAGTCTTGTATTTAATGAACGACACTGCACGCTGCAATTATGTAAATATAACATGTGACTTCAATATGGACGGAGGGTGGGTTCTTAAACTTACCTGTTTCGCCCTTAACAGTTGTCGTGGAGGAGTTCTCAGGTATGCGACTATATTAAACGTAAGATTCATAACGCATAGGCAACACCCTGTTCCCACCGTGTTACCTTTTATTGGTTGATGCTCTCCCTATACTTATTATTTTGCTATACATCAACTCGTGACCATTAAATTTATTATTTAACAATTCAATCAACATTGATAACAGCAGGTATCTCTTTAATGAACCGAAAAAAAAAAAAATTATTTTCTACAGATTTTCATGTATATCAGAATCGTCCATAACATCAACCCTCAACGTAGTTCAAGAACTGATATGATCATTTTTTTTTGTAGTGGCTTGATGTAGAGAATTTGTTATTGATGCAATTGTTCAAATATTTGAATATTCGTTTTTTCATGTTTTGTAACATTTTCTAAAACTTTTCAGGGGTCGCTGAGCCGCGCCTTTGGTCTTCGTCCAAGAAGCGAAAAGGCGTCACCGTCCTCTTCATCGGATACCGGAAGCTTGGCAAGTCAGTGCCAGTATATGAGCAGCGTTCGCAGTAACTCACCGCCGCCGCCTCAGTTACCGCCGCGTCCAGCAGCCAATAAGAGACATCGACGTGTCAAGAGCATTGGTGACATAGAGTATATGAGCACTGCAGCTGTGAGCACACCTGTCTGACAAGAGGATAGGGCCCATCATGGGGGGCCCTATCGCAGTCTCAGCGAACGTGGATACTCGTCCTCTCATTCATCTCAATACGGCTCTTATTCCGGTTACAGTAATCTTAGCGGTGATTATTATCAATATCGCTCGCCTGGCAATTATTATCAACTGCAGAGCGGTTATTATTCGCCGCAGAACACGGAACTGCCGTTTCCAGGAGTACAGAGATACGGAAGTCTCGCTGAGGAAGCTTGGCAGTCTACGAAGGAGGACGCAGCCATTGCTAAAATCAACTCGAGAACCTATTTAGCATAATTTTAGTAATTTCTTTTATAATTTATATCATGCCGAACTTCCTACACTCCGTGTATACTTAGCTTGTATGTATTTTCGAGTATTCGTTTGTTCGTTGTCGACTTGCGAAACTCTGTGAACAATACATTCCGTTAGATGCTGACAGACAGACGAGAGTCTCATGACAATTATTCATCATTGGATTTTTCTTATCGTTATGGCAGATGTATTGCCAAGTCATTTTTATTATTAATTGAAGCAAGTAATTGAGGAAATTTATTTTTGTTTTATTGTCTATTTGTAATTGGTCAGATTTTATTCTGATATCTCTGTTCGCTCTCTGTATACAGTGTTTTTCTTAGGGGACTTATAAATTATGAATTTTAGGAATACTATGTGCGGTATTAAGTTGGGACCTTAGCGTCAAGAAATTTTTAATTGTATTAGATCTTGAAGAAAAGATTGGGTAAAAACGTTTAACAGTTTATACTTTTTAGATGCCATGGTATCTAACCCAAGAAGTCTTTGTCCGATACGGTTCAGCCTAACGTAAAGGGCAATTATTTTTCGGCTTTTAATTGCTAAAACGTGTATTTTTAAACGTGCTCATATCATGGACAAACATTTTTATAGTCGTAGCGACTGTCGAGCTGAGAAACATATTAAGGATTTATTGCCGTGGTAAAAAATTGCCGGAAATTAATCTTGGGATGCACTTGTGGTGGATTTATTGGATTGCATTCATTAAAAACGTAGATGCCATTTATTATAATTTATTATACCTGCTTGAATCGGGTCTGTACGAACGGTTTTCAGCTTGTTGTCAGATAATAAGCTTCTTTTGTTCATACACCAATTAAAATATGTTTAATGAATAAAAGATGAACGTCGATAGATAATAATGAACGATACTATGGAAAAACGCACAGCTGCTACTCCTATTCCATAAAAATTTAAAAACCAAATACAATCGACTTTAACGAATGATGATATGCGAAGCGAATATAATTGATAATTTTGTAAATAATATTTAACTCGATATTTATTCTGTAATGATTAATTTGTCAATATTTATACGTATTTACTCGAATTTCATTAGTTCGATTATAATGATCTGGACCACTTATGCGGAATGCCGAAATAGTATTATCACCATTTTACAAAGTAAATGGTAGGATTAATACGCAAAGTATTGTATTTTCATGTACCTAAGTAATTTATTTTAATAAATTAATTTAGGTTTAACTTATTTATTCAAGCATCGAACTGATAATTTACATTTTTTACGTCCAATTATTGACGACGTAGCTTATACAATTATCCTCATGGACAGTCATCCCATATAATTCATTTGAGTGTGTCAAATCATAATGAAGCGCGCAACCAGATATTTCAAAAAACGACAATGTAAATGTGCTCAGTACAGAATGTACATATATATATTTGTGTGAGCTGTATCAAATAATAATTGAGAAAATAAACTAATTTCCTTCACCCGAACGTCGATTCATTGGAGGACCTATGTAATATATAATATAAAATATACATAAAAACAATTAGTATTTTTTATTTCAAAAAGAATAATCATTAAATTTTTAACTTTAATAAGAATTTGTTTCGTCTATTGCCTGCTTTTTAATACTTTCATTAATTGACATTAACATATAAATTAAAAGAATCAATTACCGTCGAGAAGTTAGCGTCAAAAGATAAAAACGTATGTTTTTGATGTCTAAAAAATTGTTAGAAAAATATAAAATATCTTATGTTTTCTTAATTGCTTCGCTGCTATTATACAATGATTCAAAAATATCCGTCCGGGAACTGTCTTCAGCCACTCCCTTCCCCTCACCTCACTTGTGGAGTCCTGCGCGACGAATTTGCGCGCACAAATTTGGACAACTTACAGTACTTTTTACAAGATGCAATAATATTTAGTAACATTCGGAAAGCTTTATTCAATGTTTCGAATTTTCAACATTTCTTTGCAACTGATTTTTTCCTTCTTCTCGTCGATTATCCAGCTATTCGTGAATGGCAAAGGTTTGAATATTTGTTCTACTAGTAGCGGCAGAGATGAGTAGGGAGATTGCTAATGCGGCGATTTTCATGGTCCAAGTTTTATTTCGGTGTCGACGCGCCACCTGACGAGTGGACGTTTCTGCATTATTGAGATATACAAGGTGTCCCAAAATTACCTGACCAACGGGGTATGGCGGTGTTCGGGAGGCACCACTGAACGCGAAAATGACCTTCCCACTGTTATTATACAATGATTCAAAAATATTCATTAAAACAGAAAAATATTTTTTTTATTGCTATACCATCATTTCTCCCGTTGAAAAAAATTGTTGAAGAAATGTATACAGGGTGTCTCAAAATTACCTGATCAACGGGGTATAACGGTGTTCGGGAGGCACCACTGATCACGAAAATGACCTTCCTTTTGTCCGGAAGGTCATAGTTTTTAAATGGGAGCAGGTGAAAGTTGACCAATCAGAGCGAGGCGTCACGAGAAACGTAGGCACCTACGAACTCTGAGTTTTCTTCCCTCGCTTTTGTTTCTCGGTGGCTTGTTTCTTGTTTCTTGTTTCCAATAGGCATGTCTTCGGCTGACGTCATCCTGCCCGAAGCCACCGAGAAACAAAAGCTAGGGAAGAAAACTCAGAGTTCGTAGGTGCCTACGTTTCTCGTGACGCCTCGCTCTGATTGGTCAACTTTCACCTGCTCCCATTTAAAAACTATGACCTTCCGGACAAAAGGAAGGTCATTTTCGTGATCAGTGGTGCCTCCCGAACACCGTTATACCCCGTTGATCAGGTAATTTTGAGACACCCTGTATACATTTCTTCAACAATTTTTTTCAACGGGAGAAATGATGGTATAGCAATAAAAAAAATATTTTTCTGTTTTAATGAATATTTTTGAATCATTGTATAATAACAGTGGAGCAATTAGAAAAAACTAATGAGCATTTAAGGAGCTATTTTTTAAGCATTAATGACATTAATTTTTATCTTTTGACGATAGCTTCCCGACGGTTATTCGATTCCCAAGGGAAATAATAGTTTCTCTTATGAGATTCGTATTTGAATAGATGTATGCTAATGGTAGAAATGACTTTCGTAGATGGCAGCACAGGAAAATAATGACCTGAATGACGTTTCTTGAGACACGTGTCACAAGAACGTCCACAGAGGCAGTTACGCGCAAGCGCATTCCGGTGTATGTCGACGTTTTCCAATTTTCGACTACAGAAGCGGTACTTCGTTTCGTTAGTGTCTGATCGTAATTAAACAGTGCAACTTGGTAGAACTATATATTATGTCTGGAAAATCGAAAGCATTCACCAAAGAAGAAGAGCTTCTTCTTCAGGATTTCTCACGAAACGTTTCAACGAAGTCATCTGCGCTTTTCTACGGCAATGCTTTCATCGTATCGGCGATTCCCATCTGTGAGTACACCATATGACAATATACTTAATACACATAAATTTGTATGATAGACTGATAGTTTAAAGTGAGAAAATATTGAAGTTTTGACTTTTTTATTCGATGTTTATGTCAGCATGTTGAATTTTATTATTTGGTATAGTTATAATGTACTTTGTTGAAACTAACCTATTATTGTATCAGGATAAGGAGTAGTTGGTACTACAAGAATAACTTTTAATAAACTTGTTTACAGGGCTCTTCTGGAGAATTCATCTGATTGATTTGTACTCCAGTTTAATATCCTTTGTTTTGGTCACTGTCGCCAGTACATACCTTGTTGCACTAGCTTATAAAAATACCAAGTTTGTTCTAAAACATAAGGTGTGTATAAGTTCAATGTGCATTTTTGGTTTTACGTTGGATTGATTTCTGTGGCGACTAATGCATATTTAATATTTCCATAGATTGCTGTGAAAAGGGAAGATGCTGTCACGAGGGAAATGACCCGTAAATTAGCTGAGGATAAGAAAATGAGCAAAAAGGAAAAAGATGAGAGGTATTATAATCTTAAAAATTGTGTAATTGTATTAAGATCAATTTTTAGGAAATTTCAGACTTATAAAATGTTTCATTGTCTAGGATTTTATGGAAGAAGAATGAAGTTGCAGATTATGAGGCAACAACCTTTGCCATCTTCTACAATAATGCAGTGTTCTTGGCTCTTGTCATCCTCTCTTCGTTTTATATACTGAAAACATTCACACCTGCAGTAAATTATATTCTATCTGTAGGAACAGCTAGTGCCCTGTTAGCACTTCTGTCAACTGGTTCTCAGTAATTTGATTCCACATAAAAGTCATTATGACAATTCCTAATACAATTGTTAATTTGTTTCATGAGATTCTGTAAGTGTTTGGAAACATCTTTTGATATGAGTGAGTGTGTGAGATTGACAAATACAATCTTATTTATAATACCTTGATCTTAATAATAAGTATATTGTTTTCCTACTATTATCACAATTATTTCATTTTTGAACTGCACAAAACAGGCAGATTCATATTTGCACTGAGGCCAATATAAACATAATGAATAATAACAGTCAATTGTCAATGACACGAATCATAAAAAAAAGATATTCAACTAAAAACCATTTATTAACAAGGTAATTGCACAAAAGTGTCACTTGATAGATTTTGAGAAAGTGATTATAATCGAAAGTGGAAGATAGAACTTCTGAAATGGAACTTTATTTATTTTTTGTCTTATATACAGAATTCTCTGACAACGTATATTGATCTTGAAATATCTACTGTAATTGTAGTAATTATCTGTTATTTTGCATTGTATGTACACGCATTGGATATACACAAGGAGAAAAGGTAAAGAAAGTAAAGCATAACTCCTTTAATAAATTGAACACGGACGATTTAATGTTCATCTGATATAATAGCCTATTTTACATAGCCTTGTTATAACTTTCTATAGAGAATAAATTACGATAACGTTGTATCAACGTTATCAGACTCAATACTCTTTTTCAAGGAAACCACTTGAATGATAGTGTAATTAACCAATCGATCCGTTTCAAATTTTTAAAAATAATCTAATCGTCAGAATGTGCGTACGATTGCCCCTCGTTTTTCGAATAATTTAAAGATCACCTGTCGTGGAACCTTATGGGGTCCTACCAATTTTCCCATTTCACATGAACACCGCACTGCACTCGTGATTTTACATAAGTGATAGATTTCTCTCAACGTTTTCATGGAAATGAAAAGTCTAGGATATACATTGAAAGATAATGTAAGATTTCTTCTTTGAATAATTCGACTTAAGGTCATCTTAAGCGAGTGGGTTACGGAACTTCTCGCCAGCGAACTTGGCTGCTGCACCTAGCTCCTCCTCGATACGGAGAATCTGATTGTACTTGGCCAATCTCTCGGAACGACAGGGTGCACCAGTCTTAATTTGTCCGGTTGACAGACCAACGACCAGGTCAGCGATAAAAGTGTCTTCTGTCTCGCCGGAACGATGGGACACCATGGTGCCCCAGCCGTTGCTTTTCGCCAGTTTGTGAGCGTTAATAGATTCGGTTACGCTACCGATTTGGTTGACCTTCAAGAGAAGACAGTTGCAAGCCTTCTTCTCAATAGCTGTCTTGATCCTGTGATATATTAGAACAGTGAAATATCGATAACGGAATTTATTGAGAATTTAATTAACGATAATTTACCTTTCGGGATTGGTTACAGTTAAATCGTCACCAACGATTTGGATTGGGGTTGCTGCTGTCAAGGCAGTCCAGGAGTCCCAACCATCCTGGTCGAACGGATCCTCAATGGAGACAATAGGGAATTCCTTGACGAATTCAAGGTAGAGGTTTTTCAGCGCATCAGGCTCTAAATAAGTAGCGGGATCGGATTTCTCATTTTTGAAATCGAGATCGTACTTTCCATTCTTGTGGAATTCAGATGCAGCAACGTCCATGCCGATTTTAATCTTGCCCTCATATCCGGCAGTCTATATATACGTTTTTATAGGTAGTTAATTAATTTCAAAAGGTTGATAAATGCAATGTTGAATATAAAATTTTACCTTGATAGCCTCAATAATAAGGTTCAAGGCTTCTTTGTTCTCAAGAATGTTTGGAGCGAAACCACCCTCATCTCCTACAGCAGTAGCATCAAGACCAAACTTCTTCTTGATACCAGCCTTCAAGTAGTGGTAGACTTCGCTACCCATTCTCATAGCTTCAGTGAAATTTGGGGCACCAGTAGGTAAAATCATGAATTCTTGCATGGCAAGCTTGTTTCCAGCATGGGATCCACCATTAATTACATTAAAAGCAGGAACTGGAAGGACGATGTCAGTGTTGCCAGCAAGTTCTGCAATGTACCTAAAAATCACATCCAAAATGAAATTGCTTGCATTGGATATGTCAGTAGTAATTAAAAAATAAATACATACTTGTAAAGAGGAACTCCCTTCTTGGCAGCACCAGCCTTGCACACTGCCAAAGAGACACCCAAAATGGCATTAGCGCCAAGCTTAGACTTGTTAGGTGTTCCATCAAGTTTCAACAGAAAGTTGTCAATGTCAACCTGCTGTGTAACTTCCAAGTTAGCTTTAAGTAGCTCAGGAGCAATGATGGAATTGATATTGCCTACAGCCGTAAATACAGACTTTCCATGATATTTGGACTTGTCATTATCACGAAGTTCCAAAGCCTCATGAACACCAGTGGAAGCACCAGAGGGTACAGCAGCACGGAAGAGTCCGTTCTCAGTTATAAGATCAACCTAAGCATAATAAAACAAAAGGAACATCAAACAACCCTTTGCACAAACATAACACACCATCAATAATCGAAGTACTAACCTCCACAGTGGGATTACCACGAGAGTCATAGATCTGACGTGCCTTGATGCTTTTAATAGGCATTGTGTATACACTATAGTGTTTGATTAGGTATCTGTAAAAAAGGTCAACGTTATGTAAAAAATCATAGATGCTCTAGAAATAGCAGCAAAACTATTAAGCACACTAATAAAAATAATATAACACTTGTGCAAGTGCCAAGATGTTGCATAATTCTTAATAAAATAATTCTCATATAAACTCTTAGAGATAAAAAGCCGGTAATGAGTTGTCAAAAGCCGGCATGAATTGTTCTTATAAATTATTATATCATCTGACCTTGACAAGGTCACGAAGTGAAACGATCCGCCCAATTGAATGTAAATGAATTTTGTCTCAACCGAATAAAATCTCTAATAACGGATCCATAAGAAACCGTGAATATAATCACGTACAATGCTGATCCTATGGCGGAATTTCGACGAAGTATAACACTTCCGGTCCGAAATCCTAGCATCTCTCTCGATTTTCTATGCCACTGTACCACAATCAGCACCCAGTATGAAAAATAACACCGGAATAGAATCGTACGCGTTACAGAAAACGGATCAGAAGCGGAAATACGGGTCCGAAATCGCTTGATACGGAAATACCGGTATAAAATTTCGTGAAATACTTGCTCACCTCAAGATGTACGTCGATCCGCTGGAAAGGTTCGGAGTAGACTGAAGTAATTATGACCTAGTGGTGACCTCCAAGCATATATTGAAGAGGCCTTATATCGATCGTGGCTCCCTCGACTGAACGCGTCCATGTTGATACAGAAGTCAAATTCAATTCGCATATCTATTAATTTTATCCTGTTTATCAACTAGTACATTTTAGAAAAAATTTAATATACCGAGTTTGTGTAATTATCATAATTAAGTCAATGACCCTGACTCAAATGACAACATCTATCGTTCGATGGGATAGTAGAATTCTTTAGATCTATTGTTAGCATATGTGGATAATGTTACTGTGCGTATGATAACATGGTTTTGAATTTATAACACTATGATGTGTTGTGAGATGGAAGTAGCGTGTAGTTTGTTGTTCAGCTGGAAAAACTGCACAGAAGATACACACTGTATGATGTTCAAATTCGCAAGGTTATACCTAAAGTTAGCCCGTTAGATTGATTCCAAACGTAAAACCACCGAAAGTGACGGATTTACCGTGAATAATCCTATACAGGGTTATTCAGTAGAAACGCACCACCTGAAGTTAGCCCGTCCATTTGATTTCCATTGATGGTAGAACCATGTTCAGGTAGTGCGTTTCTACCAAATAACTCTATATATATAAATATATATATATATGTGTGTGTTATGTGTTTTTAAGTAAATAAATTGTTTTAAGGCATATTAGAATTATTTTTATAAAACGGCATATTTTTTTAAGTGAACAAAGTACAAAGGAAAACTATGAATTCGTGCAACATTATTTATTTTATTAAAAATCATAACATTAGAGACAATAATTATACAATATATATATCATCCATATGTATAATGTTTGATTATTCATATCGCTTTCTCAATATTCGATAATTTATTTTGTGTGTATTACATAACAACAGATGAAATACTACGTATAAATACATTGCAGTAAGAACGTCATCAACTATTTTTATATCTCATATCGTTACGACACGCGGGATTTCGTTGTAGTCAAAGTTAGTTTAGCTTATTAAAATTAAACTTCGTACGTGTATAATCTACATTGGCGATTAAACATGGGCATTGAAATGACCAAATATTTAATTAAATTCCGTGCGAATCAATGAATAGATATAAAGTCTATTCTGCAGTAAGTCGTAACAAGTGAAGATCGTAATCCATTTCTACAAGCCAATCGGAACATAAAAAATATGTCTGATTAGCTCATAAAAACCACTTACGATTTATTGTAGAACAGACATAGAAAGACCGCAATACGAGAAAACGTGACAACACAATTCATCGTGCATAACATAATTACAGCAATAATAATAATATTATCAAACAGATCAATTCAACCATTCAAATTTACAGTGATTCGAAGGCTCCAGTATTACAACTGTTTGTAACAATAAATATCCTTAGTGGCACATGTTCCTTTTTGACATCCTTGAGTTGCCTTTTAAAGATGACTAAAATTCATAAATTTTATTATTCAATGTCCTTTGGCTGACACCTTTTTGGGATCGCAAAAAAAAGTTAGCAAAAAATTAACAAATAGTTATCTTTTTGGGATACGCAGAAAGCAATTTGGGAAGGAGGCATTAGATATTCATTTTTCAAATACAAAAGATGACTTTTGTGATACCAAAAATCTACTGATATTTTTCGGATATCTTTAAGGACATCAATAAGTTGACTTTGTGCCACTTGGGTACTTAAAAAAAAATAATAAGTCACCGATTTACAATCTTTCGCGATTCTTGTTCGTTCACTCCATTCTTATGTATTTCGGTCGTCTAGTTGCTTATCTATCCATGAATTTTCAGCCGAGAGGAATTTTGTACAAGACATTAAGTAACGAATATATAAGACGTTATTATAGAGCATTTTCTTGTTATAAATAATATATACGGGGGACTTATTATATTATACAAAAAGAAAATGGAGACGTGTCCAACGGCGATTACACTTTTGTGTTAAGTACATCGAGGTCCTATACAGAGAAATTACTTTCGACTTGTTGGCAAAGGTATAATTGTGTTCTGTCGCACACGTTAAAAGTTTCAGCTGCATTTTTCGTATGGACACAGAAAATAGGGCTTTCTTGCTTAGAACGAGATACTTCTCTCATACAAGATTAACTCACGTCTAACGTAGCGTCGGATAAAAATAAAGATGAACGTAATAAAAAACCCCCAAAAAAATACTAAGAAAAAATAAATTAAAATCAACCATACAAAATCATATGGACGGGTTTTAAATTTCGGATGACGCGTTAAACTTGAGTTATCCTATATGTGTTTTGTGTGTGCGCATACATATATATGTGTATACATATAACAATGGCCACATATTAATATATCGCCTTGTATGAAAAATATTACAAGTGTAAATTCTAATAGGAAATTACGCGAAGAACTTATTGTATTAGATTTATTATATTAGATATTATATAATAGGGGGATAAGTTATTCATATAAAAAAAAAAATGAAAACGGTTAACTTATATCCTACTGTATTGCTGTTGGCAGACAAATTCTAGGAAGCAGCTTGACGATGTCACCTTTACACAAGTTATTAGTTCTACAGGAATAGCGCAAGACACAGCAAGAAGATACGCATAAGAGATTAGATCTTTCTAAGCGTTGCTTTTTTAGTTCATCTAGTCTCCGTGTGTACAATAGGGGGGCGCTTCGTGTCTTGATCGGCCAAACGTAGCCTCTCTAAGGTATTTTTATGCATCTTTCTCCTGTACGCATAACGAATAACTTTTCAAGGTAAAAAAATTTACTTCTGAGACACCTTTTTGTTGGTGCGACTCAGATAAGATTAACGTAATGCATCCCGAGAATCGATAAGTTAGGGAGAAAAGATATCTGATAGATTTGTGAAAATTTTAACACGATTAAGTTATTTAGTGGTAAGAACTAGGTATTACGTTGTTACCTAGACATTTTGAAAGTGAAGAAGAATCGCAACAATTGTTACAAAACTTACGTTTCTCCAATTTCTACCAGTCACGTTCTACTAGACGTGCAAAAGATGTTGCAGCTAATAATCTATAATGTGAGCAATTAATTCAAATGAAAAATTATTTTAATCTTTTAGAGAGCACGCGTGTCTCAATTGTTTCTTTAATTCGCGTTTTTTCGCAAAATTATCGAATCCCAACCACGAGTGTATTACGAAGGACATTCTAACGGATGTTCAATTGAACTAACGTGTTAGCAAAAAATCTTTACCGAGCGTGATATCACAACGTTGAGATTCGCACGGGATAATTGGAAAAATCTTACCATCGTCGAACGCAATCGATTTGTTTTCGACGCGATAGTAAATAAAATTACAATAAATGAAAGACATGACTAAACTATCTGGGAAAAATTCGATAACAGTATTACGTCTGGTTTACATGACACTGATTTTAATTATTCGATCGATTAATTGAACGCGAATGTCTAATTTGTGGTAATTTCTTTTTTCTTTCTGGTATTTGTGATAATTTCTTTTTTAATTTTCAATCACAAGACCCATATTACTATCTTTCGTTCCTTTTCTCATTGAACCGCCTATCGGCACGTACGATTGACGTTTACTTACAGAATGACAATTATTGGACATTAGAAATATTATAATTTTGTACATTTTAGCGCATGATGACAAGAGGAATATGTACGTAAATAGTCCAGTTAGTGACGTAATGGAAGACATATTAGATTCACGGGTTAAAATAATCACCGGATACTCGATTACTGAATCTAATACTGAACTTACTAGGATCTGAATAATTATAGTATAACTGATCGGTATGATTATATTCGCCGGATGCTGAAGTCACCGGATCAAAAAAAAACCAACAAGATAAACGTCAATCATACAAAAAGATCAAATATCAATTACAAACGCATCTTCAAAACACAGCTACTTATTAATATTAATTGTAATCGGTAGCTAAGCATCAAATTGCTTTATTCGTATGGATCTTTGACCGTTTCAAATAATTGACTCTGTACACTTCATTCGTTTTACAAGTCATCTCGATCGTGCATATTCAGTCGCTACAACGCAGGGTATTTACATATAATGGGAAGTTTCAAACCGACAATTATTTTCATGCGAAATGGACGTTAGCACAGATTATTTTGACAAGTGTCAGAGGATTGATGTGCGTCACAATCGATGTACTTTGTCTATTCACTACGGTAATATCCCTCGTGCCGCCAAGGGGTGTCAAATTTGAAAATAGGAAAAGATGATAGTCCGAGCTCACTCTTAACCGATATCAAACGAGAATTGTTTTCTCCATTATTTTTTTCACGCGTATAAAATCGCCAACCCTTAATATGTATAAACGGGCGGCATCACTTACTACACACAAACACACGACAAGCGACTATGCTAGCATTACGATTCTTTTTTTTCTTTTTCGTTTTTACTAAACGTAATATATCATAATATCAAAAGCGATATTCTAAAAGAGTGAATAAACGTAATAATGAAAAAACGCTGTTACGGGGCTAAATAAGTATAGAAAAGCTCCATAGTTCTTCTATAAATTTTGATTTTAAATTGCCAACTTTCAGTAAATCGTTTACCAGTTATCAATGATTAATGATGAAGACTCCGTGAGCAGAAAATTTAAATTGCATCTTCGGGTGACTCGATGTCGTCAGCCGTGGTATTTTGACGGCATTCGTATACGTATGCACTGACAGAAAGATCGTCGTCTACTCGTATACACTTGTAGCTCGAGTCAAGGCATTCGCAGCTGAAAGGAAAAATAAATACAATTGAAATAAAATAAATTGTCTCTCCTACCAATTTATAAATAGCATTCGTTAAAGATACGGACACTGTACAATAAAATTATCAAAATGATTCACAATTTATTTCGATGCTTCAACGCATAAAGCTTGTACGTTCAACTTACGTATTTTTCATGAAATACTCAATTCTTCGGGTAAACGGGACGTAGACTGCCCAGCCACATGGTGTGTTGTAACATATCCTGTGATCCGCAGCACTACTTTTTTTATCTTTAGAACTCGTGTCACGGGCCATACGTTGCAATTGGTAGGAAAGATCCTGCATCAAGAAAAAAATAGAGTGAAATTATTACTAACCCAATTACAACAGTATCAGACGTATTCGTGACACTGAATAATTTTTAAGCGACGGTTTTCCTTAAATTTTTTATATTCAATTCATTTGTAACTTCCCCACTGCTCCTATTTGTTCTTATCAACGTGATGCTCGCGTATTGGCACACTAAATACGTTATAACAGGGTCAGGGTATCATTGGCTTAAAATAATGAAAAAAAAAACTTTTCTACCGATATACCGTTGGGGAGTTTTATCATATACGTGCGTATCTTGCCGCAATGACCTGTAGTAATTATTCAATGATTTTACAAAAATATCACTAGAGAACTGCTCGTTGTATGGATAACGAATCCAGTGCTGTTGGGCTTTTGCGTCATAAAAATCAATGCTCTTATCAATTTTTTTAGCCTTTGCAAATTCTACAACATTTATAAGCGTTCGCGCCAAATATTCAGATCAGCGAAAAACAATTGAATTAACATTTTAAGAATGTTATGATGCGTGAATGACCATAATACTTAAGAACGAGGTAAATCGAATGTTTGTTACCGAAGACGGTGAGCAAACTATCCTACTCTACAAGCTATTGGTTCTAGGCCTTTGGTATGATGGTTTAGTTAGAAATAAATCCGAGAATTGAAATATTGGCTATATATTTACACTTAAGTGATTCTGTATTTAAAAAAAAAGACTATCTTCAACTTGGAACGTTACAGTTTGCCTGGAGCAAATTTACTTCTGCGATAGGCGAAGGATCGTAGTGGACCGAAATGCCGACGCATCTTATTCTTTTAGGTTAATTACGAAGGGTAGGGATTTTGGAATTTTTAGCCTATAGGATTGATAGGAAGGATATTTTGAGTGGGAATTGTCAAAATGGCGAATCTAGAGCCGAGAGGTTAGTAGTAGTAAAAAAAATTGGCCAAAATGCAATTTTGACTTCAGCAGGACGAAGAAAGGATAATAAATCGATTTAGAGGGTTGGAGAATAGAAAGTTGGTTTTTCCCAATGGCGGCAATCCGTACGTTCGACCTATACTAACGGGATGGTGAAGGACAGTTGGAACAATTCATTTCAGCTTATACTACTATAAAAATTAAAAATAATTAGCTTGGGATTAAACGTTACCGTTCTAGGTACGCAACAGGGAACAACGGAAGGTGGTAAGGTTAAGAGCTAGAGAGGGGAAGGAGAGAAAGAGAGAGAGAGAGAGAGCAAAAAGATTTATTTAAGAGAGTGAGTACTGCTCTCAATGAGAAGCATGCGGTGAGTGTGTCACAGTAGTAGAACGAATGAGTAATAAGAGTCCAAGCATGAATGTAGCCGAGTTCATGAATGAAAACTTGCAGCGAATCGCATGACTGCAAATGACCGTATCAAACCAGTTTGTGTCGGCTCTAAGATAATTAGTACAGCTCGCATATTGAAAACTTGGATTTTCCACGATTCTTCAATATAATAGAATTACCGCAGATAAAGCTGTTTCGTATAAAGGGTATCTTCGCAAATTAAAATTACGACAGCGAGTCCGTAGATGTGATAGAAACCAGGTAATGACGGTAGACATAGAAATGCACAACGAATATTAATGGGGGTACGGATCTCCCGCTTAACCTTATTTTGTAACGGACGAAGTTGACAAAGAAATTAACTGCAATTCACTTATCATTTCTACGAATATGACAACACAATCTCATTATGTGAAGTGACACACTCTAAACAGTTGATAACACACAATGTATTTGATTGATTACTGTACGCGTCTTATATTTCAAAATCCGTCCAACGGTCAACATCGTAACGAACGTAAAACGAAGTCAAGTTTAGTACCGAATAAAATGACGTTTTAAAGTGTAATTAGTTCTCAAAATTCACAAGACTCATTTCCACGTATAAAAATTAATAGCGAAATGGAGTTACTGTTAAAACTTTAATAAAAATATGTCTCTTACCTTCGTACCGATTGAAGCCGTGTCCGTCAATGCCGTATACCACATTGCGCCAATAAAGGCGACAATTAACAAGCGAATCATTACGGTCATTTTCCTTCCGTTCAAGATTCTCTTTCCGATCGGATCGGTCGCGAAAGAGTGTTAATGCAACGATTCGTGACACAATCAAAAGATTGAATCCTCCTCCAACGTTTTTTCACGGCGTTCAATGAGAACTGTGTACAGTTTTTAAAACGACGGTGCAGACTTCTCTTACCAACGGACTCAAAACAATACTTTACTGATCGGAATATGATTTTTAACAAGAGCTTGTTGCAAGGCAACTTGATTCACTCTACGTTCTTAGGACGATGGAATATTATGTACTGGTTCGACCTTATACATAGACCGTCTTCGCGTATAGAGTGAGGACGCTTTCGAGGCGTCGAGGGTTTATATAGGTTGGGCTAGCTGGTACCGCCGGGTGGGGGTAAGACTAAGCTAGAAGTTATAATAACAAGTAATAAGTCGAACTTAAGTCATGATTTGAGCATCGTATCATTGCCTGGGGAACATTGTGTACCGTGATAGGACAATGTGGTAATTTAACGTCCCAGAGAAAAGGGAAAATTTTATATATCATTTATTCTAAGACAAGTGCGTGCCGTATTATATTTTCTCTACATGCTATTCGTTCTGCTCGTGCAAATTTTTAAAACATTATATTCTTTTTTTTCCTTGTGCTTCGAGATAAATTTATTTTTTCACATCAAACCAATTCTTATGCTTCGAAGCTCTATGTTTTCAGTGCGAAGGGTGCCTGGGAGAATAAGTTTTTTAATAGCATCTAATTTATTGTTTGTAAGAGGGAATATTTAAAGTCATAGCCTAATCACGTGTACAGTTTAAAAGTATACTATCGACAAGTACACTAGACATTTTCTTCGTAATATTGACAGATTTGATTACTTTTTGGAAGGTCTTATCTTTATTATAGTGAAATATAGTAATGGACATCGGTAAATACGGCGAAGTGCAGCTATCAATATTGATGCGCATATTTATAATATTACCTAGAATGCTTAACGAAATTGAAAACCCAGCATTTTACTGTCGAGGAAATTAAAAAAAAACCATTCTGAGCCATGAAAAAAAGTTTTGACAATGCAAAATCCGTATTGATATATTTTCCAAAATTTTAATAATGTTATAAAGATCAAAAGTGATACTATAACTGAATTTCAATAAACGAAGAATACCTGTTGCTCAGCCCTCCACGAGGCTATGTCATTTAGTAATTTGAAATAGTCTTCATATGATTTTTATCCAACGGAAAATGTTCACACGTGGATCCAATTCAATTCACAATTGTACAACGAACTATTGATAGGGACTTCGTGGAATGAAACTTTCCGTTCGGTAATTCGTTGTATTACTTACGGTTGATCTTGTATATCTATCTGACGCTGAACCTTGGTTTAATATAAACATGATAGCGACATTAGGTTCAACATGTAGAGAGGAAATGGTTGCATTAAACATTTCTACTTGAGACGAAGACGAAAAGTTGAGAATAAATTTATGAATTGCAGCGTCTTTTTTAAGAAATTCAGTCATTTATGAAGGATTCTTAATTACAATACAAGCAATTTGGCTATTTGAGAGAAATTCATCCCGTTACGAAACGAGGATGAGGAAAGTGTTAAAATATTTGTGAACGACTTCTCTTGTAACGTTCCCAGCATCCAGTGTCACGAAAAAAAATAGCTTGCTTTTTTAAAACGAGGACGACCGTCAATCCTACAAAGAAAACGTAACGACCGGTACGATTTGTACGTGCATATTTTTTCATGAATTTTTTAAACCCTTTTTGCATTAATGCAATAGAGGGATGACCAAGGTGATTTTGGGGTGGATAATATTTTATAAAAAATCATCAACGTCCTAATTTTTTATTTTGACGAATTTAAGGAAACAATCGATAAATCGAAATATTATCCTTGACAATTGTAGAAAAGCATGTGCCGTTGCATCCTCCGTATTACGGTTACGTGTAGACAAATATTTGCCACGTATCGTCCAAATATTTGTTGAAGTTGCGCCGTGAGAAACGAAGACGGTCCAAGGCGAATCTTCACGAAGCTACGAAGAATTTACAAGTAACTGCGTATTCCGTATGTTCAGCCATTTCGAAATTGTGTATCTTCACTCGGCACGATTGGCAATTCAAGGAATTGCATTATCTCGATCGCTCTTCAATTCTCCTTGAGACTCCTTGAGACGAATCTTCGACCATTCCGTGCATTGTATATATCTATATATTTCATAAAATTTCCCCAGTACGATTTCCTACGAAATTTCGATTTTCCTTGGCGAAACTATGAGAATTTTTTTAAATTCGAAACCAACGTATACACACGATATAGCACACTGTCATCTATATTTAGTATTGTATTTTTTTTTTTAGTGTCTTCTATTATTTATTTCAACCAGCTGTCAGATGCAGCCCACGGGATATTATACTCGTATAAATGTACTTCATAATAATCTACAAATTTATTTTTCTGATAAAATCATGATTTTTTATGTTTATTGAATTCTGTTGGATTTATACCGACAAACAGATCAGTGCATGACAGAATATCAATGCACTTGATTGTGGCTGATGTTGGACGAAGCTTAAAAAGTCAAGAGACGCCTACTTCATTTTAGTCGGTTGATAGATAAACAGAAGATGAGTCAGAATACATACATAGAGGCTTGACGGAGGCCCGTCTCTCTTCCAGCCAATGGCGTCGCTTCGTTGCCGTGACGTAGGGTCGCCTCATACCGTCACCTTCTTTCACGTACGTACAGACATATGTACATTTTAACAACGCGGTTAGAGTTCACGGGGCCACATGCCGCCAAATGCCTTCGATAAACGAACGAGATAAACTATTGAAATACGCACTTGCCAGTAGCTTTTGTTTATATGCCATGCTAACGCGAATTGTATATAGGACATTTTTTTTCGTATGTCTGATACTGATCACGAATCTGTGATTTTTCCTCATGATCTACTTCCGCGAGTTATTCGTAATTGCGCAGTTCTCAATATTTACTTCACCACGTCTTTCGAAAAGATTTACTTTTTATGGAGGTTATTCGGGACGAACGTACCGACTGAAGTTAGTCCGTCTATTCGATTTCTCGTATAGAGCCAACAGTTGATGCATATATCGTAAGTGACTCTGTATGACGAATCAAGATTTTACTACTGCAACGAGAGTGACGAACCGAATGACAATTAATTGATTTATTATAATAATTAAATAAATAATTTTTTCTTGTAAGTCGCATTTTTGTCACTATTAATTATTTCGATTGCACAATTTTTTATCCTCGTCATAACTGCACCGATTATTGAGGTAGAGGATTTTTATTATAGCCTTGCAATCATTGAGATCATGTCACATATATCGGGTGTACAGATAATTTTTATTTTTTCAATTGATTCTACAGATTACTCAAATGGTCATTATCAATGCATTCGGTCATAGCGTCAAAGAAATGTAATTCATCAAAGTACGAATTTACTTGTATGTACACACAACACACATGTGTCTTATTAGTTGAGAGTTTTGTGATTAGGTACGTCATCCGTAAAAGTCGTGCATAGGCACAACTAAAAATATAAAAATTACAAACACTTAAATTTATTTCTAAGTCAATCGTATCAGTTGTACGTACTGTAAATCTTGGTACTTTAACCAACGAGGGTCAGAGTTTCCTGAGTTTTCCAACTGCAACGACGAGTCAGACCGACCTGAAAAAGTTCCCTTATGAGTGTAATTTGAGCAGTGCGTGTGTGGCATAAGGGCTATACGCTTTGGCTTCTCAGAAACAAATCAAAACTATACCTCAGAGCATATAATCAATGGATAATCGAAATGGAATTTTTATGAGCTGAGTTTAATCTCACTGTGCCACGGTTGTAAAAATGATTTATGATAGCTATATGTATATAGTGAAAGATTAAAATGCCAAGACGCCGTTCGTTAACACCCTTCACCGAAAAAGAACTATTAAGAAAAACTGAAAAAAAATTCTCAGAACTTTTAGTAGTTAACAACTCGTACTTAAAGTTCACCAGTGCTAAATTGGCCCACTGCTGAACATTTGCAGTAGTTAACTACTTGAGAACTGAAGTATTTTTTAATAAATCACTACTCACTAAAAAGGGTTACAGTAACATAAATAATTTGCCTTTTTTCGTGCGGTAATTATATGAGTAATATTCGCAATTACAAAAAATTAAAATAATGGGTCTGTGTTCAATTCACGATTAGTACAATTATTTGCCGCTAGTGGGACTCGAACCTGGGATTGTTCGGATGTTCGAAGAGATTATTGAGATTACTAGATCTTCGGTAGTGCTTTTTAGCGGGAAATATTTAACTGAAATCTCAATGATATAAGAAATCGAAAAGTTGTTCTATGACTCGAGTTGTATTTAAATTCTCAAAGTGAATCGAAACTCGCGCCGATCGTCTTACGTGAATTTATAGCCAACGCGCTGCTTCGGGTTCAGACGATTTTCCAAAAATACAAGAGACACGTCGTTGTCGGATTTTCTTGGCAATCACGGTCGGCCAAAGAATTGCGTCAACGTGAAATACGGAACATGGTAACGCGTGTCAGAATTCACTTATTTATTAGAATAGCACGAAAGCTGTAGTATTGCATTAAAACAATAGGGAGTACGCTGGCGGAGTATGAAAGTTTTTCAAAATTATAATAACAAACGAATGATTCAATCGGAGCAGAAAAATTAATTCATATGATAATTTATAAGGCGAAACTGCGCAGTTTGATAATTGATGTCATCTTGCTTAATAAAAGTTTGTGAATAGACGTAACGAGAGATATCACTTGTTTCGAAAGAGTCATCGATAAATGGAAATCACATCGGGTGACGCATATACGCGGGCAGTCTATCGGAATAATTTTTATTTTTTTCCGAACGTATTAAAAAAACAAAACATTAAAATCTTTCAAAGATAAATGCCACGGAATAAACTGACATCATTAGTAGCTGACAATGTTGCGTGAGAAAAGTGCGTGCTCGTATATCATCACAAGATACATTGACACTCTTTGTGCGATTCTTTATAATTATGAAAGTGCGTAGTGCGTAAATCCCACAATTAACAGTTACGCATCACGCACTATCAGTACAGCGATAAGAATACGAAGAAAGTTGAAAAACCCTATTTTATTTCATTAATATAAGATCGTTTGTCGACTTATTCGGCTCTCATTCTAATTACGAGAGACTCTCTCTTTTTAAATTAATTGAGCTAGCAACGTCAGTCGAATGTACTGACTGAATATGTATTACGTAAATTAAATGTGCGTCATGTAACATGAATTTGTTCTCTTTCAAAGAAACAAGTCAAAGGACGTAAAATTTCTTGTTCATAGCGGCCAATTTTAATATATTAAATAAAAATGTGAAATTTTATAATGAAAAAAATATAATGAAATATCACTTGAGTCTTTATCTTTCCAGACAAGAATATATAATACTATGAATAATAAAATCCTTTTCATCGGGTTCGTACGTCTAAGATTATCGACGTTTTATCTGTACAGTGACGAAAACTTATCTCATACAAATTCATCTTATTTTACTATTAAACTTACGGCTGACGCAAATCTGCTTCTTCATTCAATCATACGGTCTTTCATTAAAAGATCAACAGTTCACTTTCCCATGTGCCGCCCCGTTAGGTTTATGCAGTTTCTTTTCCAAATTATCAAACGAGTAAACGACCAGCGACTCATTATGCACTTTTGAGGTTACTAGATATCTAATGTAAAAAAAGTATTATTAATTCGAACATCGACTAGTTACAATATGGGAGGAATTACACAAACGATTAAAGATATTTAATTTAGTCATATCTAATAAAGTCTATATACCAAGCGATTCCATTAGTACCTATAATAAAAATCAATTTATGTATAATACCTGTCAGTGAATGTACAACAATAACTCCTTGTCACTAAATCAAATCTAACCTCTAAAACTGTCACTGAAAATTTTCATATCGAACGATGCAGTGAAATAGTCGGGTAATTCTTAGCAAGAATTATCGGTAGCCAACATGAGTGTTGTGATTAGGTAGTGTTGGTTATACCAGACAGCGCGACGCCGTTTATTTGCGTCTCGACGACCGACACACAGGTGGACGAGAATCAGTTTTTGGCGTCTTTGAATTCTAGCCCGGCTGCTAATATTTGTCCGTCATCATAGTCTGTCCGCTAGGACGAGACGTTTCCGCCTGGCGGAAAATTGCGTAAAGTCGCTCATTAGGTTCAAGCCAGATGTAGGTGGTAAGTTGGTAACAAGGTAAGCGACCGACGATTTACTGTTTCTATAATATTATATAATATTTTTAATAAACAGTTAAAACATCAAATTATAAAAATCATTGATATTAATGATGATTATGATGAAAATTACTTTGAAATAATTTCAATGTAAGTATCTAACTTGAACTGCAATTCAAATATGACGTATTACGATGAGCCAATCAGCGTGCATTCTTACTCAGCTTAATGGCTGTCTGATAGGTTCGAACATTAAATCGCTTTATAGTGTGACTGATATTATTCGTCGCTTGTGGATTCGCTCAATTATTTCTATGCGACCAGCGACTGTATATCAGGAAGTAGTTCTGTGGTAATAAAATTGACTTTACGACTCGCTTACGTCCCACGAAGATAGCTACCGACGTATTCGTCGTGTTCGACATTAAATTTATCGTGTAAATCATTTAAATGTAATTAAGTGTATACGGGTAAAGGAGAGACGTGAAATTTCTCTCGAGAGACATGATACGAGCACTCTGCTTAGATTTTATTGTACCAAACTTTTCCGTGGATGAATTGGGAAATATATAAGTGCACAATATTATTGACAGGTAATACAGGTATACCACCCGATGCCAGTGGGTGTGTTCTACTACTTTTACTACTACTACTATTTGTACTACTCTTTATGATTTTTAACAATTTCCCACGAAGATCTTCAAACTGTGTTACGATCCGGTTACAACTGAGACGTTTAAGATGATCTTGTGGGACGCGAATTCGCCAGAATTGTTAGGATCCTGGACGCAGCCACGATGAACCCCGACGGGGTCAGGTTTCTGCGAAATTTAAAAGTCAAGTAAGAGATAAAAATAACGTGTACCTTCTGAATCTGCCAAAAGATCACTAAACCCACCTACGAATATCGGTTTAAAATGTTCTTACAAAACAGGGCTACTCCGAGCAGCAGATCCTGCAAGTAAATAAAGGTATAGCAATAGAGACGGCGCCTGGTTTTATTCGAAGCAAAAAACATCAAATGTAAAGTGACGTGGTGAGGCGTCTGCCTTAGCGAACTTATAAAATAAACGGCGAAACGTTTGATGCGACCGGATCCACTAAGTAACTTGGGGAATTTACGTGTATTTACGAAGCCAGTCGGAGACGCCGGCGCCCCGACGTCGATCCACGACCACGACGACAATCACGACGCCGACGCTCTTTAAGCCTCTTGTGCAGAACGTTCAACGATGCTAACCCACGTGCGCATTTGGTAGCCATTGCTAAACCTAAACCTGTCTTCAGCCTATCTCTATCCCATTCTATCCTAAATATTGTGATTTTTCAAGAAATAAGAAAATCCCACGTAGCGATACAAGAAGAAGTCTGCCTACCGACAAATAATTGGTTCCGCGACGCTTTAATCCACGATTTCCGAGATACGCGAGTGGCAAGACGCCTCTTTAATCGTGGAGGCGTTAGAGCGTCGCGACGTCGTCGTTTAGTCCGAGTTACGTATCACGAGAGCAATGAGCTTTAGTCGCTCATCTTCAGTTTCTCAGCTCAGCATACACATTGAATGCAGAAGTTCATTTTAATTTCTATCTGACTTTGTACCTGATGATGGGTTCTGTTAGTTTGTATGGATTGATCGAATTAAAAAAAAAAATAAGTACATAATTTCGCATGGCAAACCATTAATTCATATCTCACTTTACTATTGGAGTTATGAGTAGATAGAAGGTGAATTATGACTATAAATAAAAAAGAATAAAGAAAAAGAGTCATAGTGGTAGCGGAAACCAGACTACGATCCGATAATTGCAGTACTGCAGTACTGCAGTACTTAAAGGTAACCTCGACGAGATGAAAATCTCCTGGAGCCAGCGTCATGAATCATGGAAATTGGCTCTAATCGGAGATAGCCGACGGCATCGATTAGCCTGTGATTTATGTACCGACTAAACGATCGGTTTGGAATTGAAATGAGAATCGTATTAGATCTGAAAAATGAAAGATGGACATTCTGTCTATGTACGAAGATTCATATCAACGATACAATAGATAACCAATCTCTGAGATGTATGTAGTCAGAAATATGAGACATCTTTCAGGTTCAGGTAGAGCTTGCTTTGAACTGGACGTAGTCGGTACCTAACTGAACTAATTAGTCAGATATTAGCTGTCTTTTCAATGATCATTCACTAGGGTCAACCGGTTTATGCAGGTTCGAAAATGTTGAAGTCCGATTTGTGACTCAGATCTGTCAGAATGGTCAGAGATATTAGATTCTTAAATTATTAAAAATGTATCTATGTATATTACAATATTTAAAAACAGTCTCGTATGTCCTGCCACATGAGAGCCAGGCTGCCAGTGGGACTTCCAGGAAAGCTCGGTGATTTTCCTTATGCCTTCATTTTCCTTTGCACCACGTACAACCGTCTGTCAGATCCACGTGATAACCAGTCAGAAGACAACGAGACAGACATCTTTGGGGTTGTTTCGTCTGACGGAGAAATTTATGCGTATTGGCCTGCGAACATGGGATAAGTGTGTCCATCGTGTGGGTTAGTCTAAATCGGTTCCGGTGAATCAACTTTTGAAGACAAGAAGAGAAGCGCCGCGACGCGTACACGAAGTTGCGTCTAGACGCACAAATCCACAAGAAGAGACAGAAGTCGAAACTTGCTTGTAAAACACAAGTCATATCGTTTCTTTCCTGCTGGCTGTCGGGAGTTGAAGGTAACTTCTCTTCTTTTATAATAGCACGAAAGACCTAGGACTCTCGGGAACCGGATAAGACTTTCTATGAAAATTTTTCACAGTCAATGAGGCAGATTTATTTCATGGCACACATGGCGCTTCAGTCTTGCATGCTCGTACTACGAAGCGTTCGTATTTATTTTTATTTATTTTTTTTTCCCGCTTATTTTTCATACTGCGAACCAATAAGGATCCAGCGTAGTTCAACTCGGTGCTAAGTTAAAAGTGAGTTATGCTCTCGAAAAGAGAGCACTGTTTATTATTATTTTCATAAAATGAGACTCCCGCGCTGTGCCCCATGTGTTATAAATGATATATAAACATACACGTGCTGAACTAGAGCGACGCTTTAGCTTCAGACGACCAGCCGGCAGGCCGATCGTTAAAGTAGTCAGTAACACCTTGTCGCCGTATATTACACGCTGTTCACTCTGCAAAGTGAACGTACGAATATAAGAAAAAATACTCACGAAAATATCACAAAATGCCAGCAGAGACAGGTATCCTGTAGTTAAAATCAAAATAAATTGAAATTTATAACGGAGACTACTCGAGTCAATTTCTCCATATCCAATGGAGCAAATTACGAAAAAAAATTTCCGAAGTTGCTTCTACGCAAAATTGAGGAACTGAGGAAAATAAAGGTTTCCATAAGAATCATGATAATAACAAAAAAGTACGTACGTTCACTGTTGATTCTTGGTAACCAGTTAGAAAATTCCATTGCAATGGATTTTTGCGTCTGCGACCAAGAAGTGCCAACGAGTTTGCAAGCATCGTCAACCGTTGATTTAGGTGAGCCGTGGACAATGCACTTATATTCTTGGCCGAAAGCCTGAAAACCGGGCAGGGAACTCGAAGCCACTAATATATAACACATGATACGTTTTCATGGAAAGAGACGTACATATGTATTATAACACACGGTGTCCATTTGCCGCGCATCTTCGAAATAGGCATCGAAGATTGGAAGGCTGACAGGGAGGTAAAAGCCGTAGATACTGATGTAGTCCAGAATACATCGGTTGTAAGTGGTATTATATGACACATAATATATCCAGTATTTCATTATGTAAAAAACCAATAACAAACCCAGAATGATCTTAGTAAACATAATTATAACCTCTTAGTGAGTTCTCAATTTCTCTGATTGGTCCACGAGGCACGAGTGCGCATGCGCGCCTACATTGTATATGTGGAACAGAATTTCGAGAAGGTTACTACGTCGTAGAGAGTGTAAAACGGTGGGGCATCGTCATAGCTCGATACGCAGAGCAAGTTATCTCGTGCTTGAGTCCCAATCAAACGTCAATCATCTAAACGAGAGTGGAATTTGTTTACAGCATTTGTAATGCATAACGTGTAGGATAATACGTTGCTGCGCATGTTCCGAAAATGGCCGGACCATATGACAACTGCCAACGGTATAAGTACATGCTTGTCTTTAACAGGGAACCAATAACATCGAATTATCGTGCTATTTTTCGAGGCCACTTTATCGGGATCAGCAAATTAAATGAAACTATCATCGCAATCTTGCGTGCTCCCGTTCTACTACATCTTTGAATCGCGATAACAACACTTCTCTAGAGCCTCACACAACGTCATCAGAAGTAACCGATACGTTTATTTGAATCCCATTCAAGATTTTCTTTGTACCTGACCAACGTGCTATCCTGAGATATACAAGCGTCACGACGTATCTCGTAAGATGCGTAGTACCCCAGGTTAGTTAACATTCATATTCTTTTCTCTTTTGATCATAATGCATTTTTATTTTTCTTATGCATATTTTATTACAGGCTACCACATAGATACTACGTACTACGATACAACGAGCTTAATTCATAACTGCGTATCTAACCAGCCGGCTGTTGCGTCACCTTTCTTCCTGATACACGGGCGTTTGAAAAGTGATCTTGCAGTGGACAGCAATGCACACACGAGTGCACCTGTTTTGCGGTTGCATCGGACTTCCATTACACGCATAGTCAACCGACACCTGCATCACTTTATTACGTCTTATATGAAAGCAAATTTTTGGCTGATGTAAATACAGCCTGCATCATTGATCCATAATTCTAATGCATTCTAAGTATATGTATAATTAATTTCCCCATTATCTTACCTGATTTTTCTTCCAGTCATGATCACATTTCCTTGACTTAGCTCTTCCTTCCGCATATTGTTATTCGATTATTTAACATAAGTGATATAAAATCAAGTCAGTAGCCCATGAAATTACCACATTTGCGTGTAGCCATTAGTGAGCTTGAATGCTTTGCTAACACAGGTATTTAACATAAGGTGGTTTGACTTTTAATCAATAACCTAAACAACATGAAGATTTCTTCTTCCGTCTATCGAATCTTGTAAATCTGTACGTGCACGATTTAGCATATGTCAAAACGATTTCTTAGAAATCGTCGAAGGAATCCCTTTTGCTATTTGCACGTGACATAACTCTATCGATATAAAAGAGATTATGGTAACAGATGTTCACTATTGGAATGTTCGCTATGTGGAGATCATGAGTTCGATGTTAATAAGGATCAATAGACATTGATTGGGTTAACGGTACAGAAGCGCAAAATTGCTAGGTTCGCTCGCAATCAGTGCAACCGGCTCCTGGAAGAAGGAAGAGATCGAATGAGGAATTCTTATCGCATCGTCATACACTGCTGTCAAGTAATACAGAAGTGACAGGTTATCTGAAACAAAAAAAAAACACCCTACAGAATGTGTACTACATTGAAACAAGCATTACTTTGATTGGTATAATCTCAATAAAGTTTCCTCTCTACTTCCCGTACCATTAAAGAGTCAATATGAAAGATGATCGAGTCAGTAAATATTAAAGACGTTGACACTAATTTCATCGATCCAAATTCTGCCTGATTGGCAGCTACTGCGCAGTTAAACCGAATATTGACCATAAGATCTACGCACTTGGCGTACACCACGGGATATAAATTTACAGCCATTTTTTTATTCTAAACATTGACATTAATGCTCAAAGACCAATAAGTTCCAGGGAATCGATTAGGCACGTTGCTTTTTTTTTCTCTTCCATCAGCCAAGACTTCCTGTTTATTTTCCATGTCACATTTCCCACACTCGATCCTCGGTTAACCCTCGCGTCCCTCGTCGACCACCACATTCTCAGAAGGAATGAAAATAAGAAAGTTTACGACTCCAATAGTAGCCGCATTGTATTTCACGCTAACAATTAACATTCACGTTCCCTCGTACAGACGATATAAAAATCATTCATCCCTCAGCATTCTTAATAGTCTCCACGCTGAATACTGTATAAGCCATGACAAATCCGCTGAAATGGAATTTCAATTATTCACATCGTAATACCTACCTCTCCCTTCTCTTTCTGCTCCACCGTAGCCACGAGCTAAGATCGCGCAAATGCCACATTACCAGTCGATCAAATTTTTTAACGCACCAAATCCGCCTATTTTCAATTTCTAATACGTGACGAAACAAATTATGCTTCGGCTTAATACAAGGGCTCGAACGCCATTCTAATGTATCTGTATAATATATATACTATAGTTTTCTACTCGTGCGTAACTCATGTCTATCTCTAGCTAGAACGGGTGCTCACGACCCTGCTTATTTTCTGCCTCTCGTGTATAAGCAGCTACGCCAGCTTATGCTCACGATCCACTTCAGTCAGGGATAGGAATGCCTAGGCGTAGACTGCGTGCCGCCCATGCCGCCAGTCTCTGCAAGATAGAATGGTTTGGTATCAGAAAGCCCGACAGAACTTGCTTCCACCTATGTGTATAATACGCATCTATACACTCTCATAGCCAATCGCGATCGCTTGTTGATTGTAGAAATATTTTTGCATCTTTGACGCGTTATACTTGAACGGTATCACAAACGATGATTAATTGTTACTGTATGCTACGTCATAGGCAGATTGGGTTATTCGCTTCAATGGAACCAGGAACTTGTTTCTTAAGATCATTATATATAATATATGCATATACAGATGCACGTGCGAGCATGCGTGCACTTTGGATCGCGCGTGCTGACCGATGTTTTTTCTTAATAATTTTATCGACGCTGAATAAGAGACGCAGAGATGGAGATAACGTTATTAAAATTGTATTTAAAAATTCTAGCTGGGAATAACGATTAAAAGAGGAAACGAGATGAGTATTTCAATTGCACATGGTACGAACGATAGTTTTGATCGGTCAATCTTTTTGATCTCGATCTAACTGGATAACCATTCGATTGGCGAGCAATGACGTCAATACTCGACAATGTTAAGTAAGCCTGGGAATCGTAGGTAGGAGCGCGCGCTCACGTGTATTACATCGAGACGTTACCAATTCGCGCGGTAAACATGTGTTTTTCAGTGAGGTTAGGAATTCTTCATCGTAAAGCTATAACGAACCTCGTATTGAGATCGGAAAGAATTTTCGTGTTCGTGTAGGAAATTTTTGTTGAAAAAACAAAAGTGAACTTAGTCAATAGATGGCGCGAAAGCGTTTAGACGCTTTCACTGAAAATGGTCGGCTAGGAGAAAAATAAAATAATCTGTTACGCGGATTAAAATAAAAGCATTAAAAAAATAGCGATGTTCTTCTCTGCTCGTAAGAACGGACGTGTAGCGGCTATAGGATATTGACCCATTAACGACCTAATAAGAATGAATTGTCAATTGTGCGTGGATTCTGCGTCTGCATTCGCGATAACTTACAATACGTTAATTAGCTCCTCGCGAAGCCCGTTATGAACTTCGGACGTTGTACTGTAAAATTACTTTAAAGTGATCGATATATATATTTTTTTTCTAAAGACATTAAATTGCTGTCGCGCGTATCACTTTGCTCCCGTCAGCAGCACGCATCGATCCTCTTCTTGTCGCAAATTTACACTCGGAGACACGCCACGGTAAATATTATTACAATGAAATGACAAAACGGCCTGCAGCTGACACTTTTTCGATTACGTATAACACGGTGATCAGCTGTTCGATATAATACACTTTTTTTTCCTATGGCGTAAACATTGTATACAGGTATAGTGCACACTGAATGATCGCTTTATGTTTATTATAATTAAGATAAATACAGTGATGTATATTACTTGCTGTTTCTCGACAGCCAACCATTCACGATATTTTTTTTCGGATAACGATTCGGATTGGTCCAAACTTTTGCTACGAGATAAAGAAGAAAAGAAAGAAAGCGAAACATAGGCAGTTATCGCCCACCGTTTTATCATTGTCGACAGGAGGCCTTGATGTAGAAAAGAAAAGAGAGGCAGTACGTTGTAATTAAGATCGCTGGTACGAAAGTTTCAATTTCTTTTTCTTCTTCTTTCATTAAACAATATACAGTCGTCTTTCTCAAATTTCGCTACACCCAAATGGATGTTTCTTCTTGGTTGAGAAATTTGTGGCGACTGGCGACTGTATGCGTCTATTAATTTTTTATTTATGTTATATGCTACTCCGTAACGATGTCATTAACTGTAAGGGGGAATGGTTACAAAGATAAAGGGATGCTGGATATAATAAAAAAAATTTTGGAAAAGATCGTATTGGATTTCCGGAACTACGCGAAAGTAGTTGTAACAGACGCAAGTTGGAAGAAGCGGGAAAATTAGAAATTTTAAATTTCGACTATTATATTGATTGTAAAAATGAAAACCTCTGTTAAACCAGATAGTAGTGAAAACAATGATAAATAGTATTTGAGAAATTATTGGTTTTTGAATTGCTCATTTTTTTGGGGGATTTCTCATACTTCCCTTAGCTTCACCTCGATTCGCCGTAACGTTAAATTTCGCAAGTTGTAATAAACAAGTAACATGTCACCCTAGAATACTGTACGGGATCGCCTCTAGTGTAAAAGCCATCTCCTCGTATCAATTATAATTAGACCAAAATTTTAACTAACGTTTATGACATTTAAGTCCACGCGGATTCTCAAAATTTCCTTGCCAAGCATTTCGAAGCTCGAAGATTTTTGTACAATGGAACTTCGAGAGAAACCCACGTATAAATATTGTACTAAGCGAACCGCAATCGTTAAACGTGAACAGACTAATTAAAATATTCGATTCTCCAGTTAGCTTGCGCGATGAGGATATATCTTTATTATTTTTTATTCTTTTTCTTTCTTTTTTCTTCAACTCATCATTACTGTCCCTGATTATAATGGTCTTACACGTTTACGCGCACACGCACTCGTTGTTGAGATGTATACGTAAAAATATCGAAATTTCAACGATCAGATCTATGGGAATACATTACCTATAGTAAACTATATACAAATATCTAAAAATTTGGCAACGACTTCTGCATGCAGATTTGATTATACATTTGACGAATCAACGATTAATTTTACGAGACAGTTCTCACGGCATAGTGTTGCATACATTTATAGACTTTCACGATAATAATTTTCAACTTTCTGCAGTCAATATTGTCAAACGGCACTGGTAAGATTCTGTGCTGTTTTATGGATAAATAACACACGAAATAATGTGAACGAATATAGAAACATAAAGTTAAGCGTAGATATTTGTGTGTAATCGCATGGTATTATCGCGATCATGTGTAAAAAGTACAAGAGACTCGAAAACATAGTCCTCCTTGTTTCTCTTTTTTTTTTTAGAAAATGTAAAAATACAGGCAACGAATAACAAGGAAAATCTACGCTGTTAACAATACCCTTCGTCGTTACAAACAGGGTTCCAATTTATAATTAAGTAAAGCTCATTCGGCTGTCTGCATACAAGGACACGCGCTACACAATCATCTCTACAATCCTACACGTATCGTTCGACCAAAAAGCAGACAACAGCATTGCTTGATGCCATAAAAATATTGTGGTACGAGGAAACGATATCAATAGAATCCTTATCTAACGAAATAAACAATATTAATAGCTACACAAGTGTCTAACGTAATATCAAAGTAATTAAATAATAGAAAAGAAAATCTAGAAAGCAGTCTCGCTGCTATGTCAGTGAATTTGCTGCTATAAGTGTAGCTGTGCTTAGTGTAAATACAAAAACAAAAATATAAGAAATGTCATCACCAGGCTGGCAAAAAAAAATTAACCCCCAAAAAAAACACTTTTCTCTCGGGTGCTTGTGACGATCCTTCTTGAATCATCCGTGGACACCTCGAGATCCTCTAAATTCACAGGAAAAAAGTTGCTGGTCTCGTTAAGAACACCTGTACCGCTAAAAAGCAGTGCTCCTACTCAGGTACGCGTTTAATAGGCGGGACGTTCATTTTATGTAACTGACAATCAGTGAACAATTCCACCGTTGATGCTGTCGAGAAGTTTCACGGAACGGATTCAGTGTTTTTTTAATCAGAGCACAGAAAAAATATATGGGGTAGATGAGGTGGGAGAAGCTTATATTATCCTGGCACTGCCCTCTTTGCGTTCACTATCCCTACTATAAGAGGGAGCTGATAATAATAATAGACTCTCAGCACATTTGAAATTTCCCGTGGAAAAAAAAAATTAAAAAATTGCCGGGTTTGATAAATTCGTATTTCCTTTGGCACCTGTTGCGCTAACGATTATTCAAGAACATTGGAACTGTTGTTACTATTATTACTACTAGTATTGTCGTTGCGGCGCTGCAATCGTTCCGGATGCGAACACGCCAACTGACTGAAATCACGAACCACATCGTTGAAAGTTTCATCCCCGGTAACGCCAATGTCCGAATCTTTCATCTCTTCGTTTAGCAGTCCCAGTCGTAGCCTAATTAAAGAGAAAGAAAGTATTAGAATTTGGAATATTAATAACAAATTTTTAAAAGAATACATACAGCGTGACGATATCCGCATTTGCTTCTTTCACAGCAATTGACAGCGGTTTTACACCACTTTCATCTTGTATATGTTGATCCGCACGGTGCTTCAGTAATAAGCATACTTGGGCTGTGTGTCCTATAGATTATAAAAATAATTTGTATAATTACGAATTACTACAGTTCGTAAGTAAAACAGTATTTAGAATATTATTCACCTAATTCTGTAGCTAAGTACAATGGTGTCTTGCCCTCAATATCCTGACAATTGATTCGTGCGCCGTTTAATAGAAGATACTCGCACGACATTACAGAGCCCTATATTTAATAAAGATTAATTAAAAATAAAAAAAAATATGAGTAATCTCTGTACACGATAAAAAAAATATTTACGCTTATGATAGCCTGATGCAAAGCACTGCGTCCTCTGTCATTAACATTCGCCCATAATTTATCAGCGCCGTTCGCCAGCGCGGCGCACATAACCGGAAGATTATGAGCTGCAGCAGCTTTGTACAGTAACATTTCCGGATGTAGATTCTCAATATCCTCCTCCTCCTCAAACTCCTCATCTTCCCCAGCTGTAGAGTCCTGATCCGAGCTCAATTCCAAGCTACCTTCAATGGTCGGTTTCGGTAAATCACAGCCAAACATTAGAACGTCAGATTCCTGAACTTTTTCCCTCTTAATCTTCTCTGTTCCAGTGTCCTTGCTCTCATTAATATCACACGCTTCAATATTCATACTAACATTCAACGAATCACTACTCTTTTCAGATATATCACTCTCACAGTTACTTTCAGTGTCATGGATATCGCTCTTATCTTGTGTTTCAATAACGTGGTGATCCTGGGACTTTTTATCAGTAAAAGATTCCAGAGAGTCACTTGTTTTCTGATTTTTGTTTTCATTAATATCACTGTGCGCACGGGTTAATATTTTGCCATACAAAGTAGATTCATTCTTCAAATCCAGATTAGCACTGTCTTCGGAACTCAGCGAATTCTGCTCAGCTAATTTCGACTTTTCAACAAAATTAAGACTCTCGATTGATGTATCTTTACTGTCATCTGACCCTGTAGAATGACGCGTTTCCTTGACGGAAGTCAATGTCAGAGTTTTGTTACGACTTAACGTGTCCATCTTATCGCGACTCCTTGGTCGTCTGCGCAGTTTCCGCACACTCCACTTTCGGAAGTGCATAGATTCCCGGCTTGTGTGCTGGTCCGCATTTTTCACGGATGATAAAGGCTTCACGAACTTCCGGTCTACATACTTAGCCTTTATCCAGGCCTCGCGAATATTTCTGTATATAAATGAGAAGAATTACCTACTAATACTAGAGTTTTGTGCGCATCAGCATGTGTTATGGATTTTATACGCACGCGTTACACTTCGCTGTTGCTCTAGTTATGTCTGGAGGTATTGGCAGAGCTTCATAGACATTATTAACAACGGTATTGCCAAGCTCTGCCATGACTTTCAGTATCTCTGGCTCCCAATCGTCCAGCGTTAAGGACCTAACTTTGCTATAGTGGACACCAAGACTTCTATGCACCCCTGAGCATTCTGCGGGAGATAAAAAACAATGTATCATAATACGTAATGTATCGTAACATCAGTAAAGATAATGGCATATCGTCTTGTATTAAAAAACATGATAAGATAACTCACCTATGCAAAGAGTGATACCTAAATTAATGCTAGCCCATTTCGGATTAGCGCCACCACAATCGCAACACACATCATTCCCTGGTATTTTTAATAATTGCTCCCAAACTCTGAAAATATACACGCGATGCTTCAATAATTATACGTTTATTCAATATATTATAACATACTAGTACTTTAATAACAAAATGAATTTATACCTAGATTTGGGTTTAGGTAAAGGTCGAAGTGGACCTTTACTATCTCGAATATGTGACTGAAGAGTATTAGCATTAGATCCAGTACTCATACCCCTTTGAATGGCAGCTCCAATGGCCTGTTGCATAGCTGTAACCCAAGCTAAGTACATTTCCTCACTATCAGCTTGAAGCATGTGACTTCTGTGAAATAAAAAAATCCTGAGAATTGACTCTGCAGATATACTGAGGAGTCTCAAAGATTGTTAAGGCTGTGTAAAGTTGACATATTAAGATTAGTGCGTTCTTAGTACACCATTAATCTTATCGCTTTTACACAGACGGCAAGTTATCTTATCGATATATAACTTTTTTTTCTACAACTCACTTTGTTGGGCTGAGAACCTCAAAGCAATTTCTTCTCTCGCAATCCACGACTGGCTTAACGGTGCACAAACGTAAATCTTCCTCCATTATGGTATAGTCATCCTCACCAATCCGTTTTCTGTAGACCAATTGATGGTCCTTAAGACAGAACCATCTACGGTTCCATGTTTTAAATGCGTTACTCGTCCTCTTAAATAAATATCCCTCCATTTTTGGATTGCCTGGAGTTGGTGACGGCACCAAGTCGCGATTTGTCACGTAAATGTGTCGATTTTCCATTTCCTTTTCGAGTTTCGCCGAGTCCCCGCGCATCCTGACCAAATCGTCGCTGAGTCCTTTCAGAAAAGGATCAAGATCTTGTGCCAAATCACTACCTTGATGATAATAAGTGAAGCAGGCGTGCATGTAGCTCAGTAATGTTCCCAAGATCTCGTGACGCTTTCTCGCCTGAAGCATCGTCAGCACGTGGACGTAATCCAGTGCGGTGTGACGAAAGCAGGACCTCGTCGCTGAGAGTATATTAGAAGTCTCTTCATATTCTGCAGGCCGTGATTTTGGCACTTGGGAATTTTTATTCAGCGCAAGATCTAGATCGGTTGATATTTTTTCAAAATAATGTCGCGATTCCTTTACTCTTTTTATGTCACTGTTAGAACAGAAAAACGTGAAGATTCCTTCTATGTTATACGGATTAAAATTTAGTCCTTATTTAGTGTTGTTACTTTAGTATAATGCCAGGTTGTTTTACACTATAAGAATTTCTCTGCGCAAAAGCTTATCGTGTACTGAGGCTCAAAATATGACGGATAGGTTGCGATGGTATTGCATGACGTAAGTATATTCTTCGTCATACATATATATACACGTCAATAACGGATAATGTATCAATTCTACTGAATGTGGAAGTGGGATAAGCGAGTCTCACATGAGTAGCAGGTGTTCATCTTTATTTAGTCATAATGGTGAAATTAGATTGTGTGGATCAAATATTCAAATAAATTTTAATGTTAGAATTCTTTAAAGGTATTCCACATTGAAACTGACAAAGGTAATTGGTGTATATTAATATAATATATAAGATTTGGTTTTGGGTAAGAAATATGTTATTAACGTGTTACTTACCCCTTTATGAAAGAACTGAGATCCTTGACGACAGTCCTGGATGCCTGATCTAACAAGATCGTGTGAAACTTGTTCATTTCTTGTAATGCATGAATGAGTTTGTTTAAAAAGGCCATTATTTCTGAATCATCATTAAAATAAATGGACAAATCCCACAGGCTATTAGCAAATTGACTGAAAATAAAGTTCAGTTCAAATGTTAGATATTATATCATGTTATGGACATCAGAAAATATAAAAATAATCAATATATCAATAGAATAGCTAAAATTTAATTGATTCAAATACCCGTATTACACAATGAGAAGAATGAAATAACATTACCAAAAATAATCTTGCTGTGTTTAGGATCACACATTTTTATGAGTATTCTTAACTCTAGGGGTAATATATGCAGAACCGAATACAATGGCTTATGATAGTATATCATTGTGTTCCACATGGGAATCTGAATATGAGTCATCCTGTTTGACAATAGTAATTTGTCCATGTTTCCTGCCCTCTGTCTACAGTATAGTAAAACACTACAGTATTACAATATATGTGCAGCATTCCTGACATAGCTTGTAACTAACATAATTGTCAAATTAACTAGCCTGATGACAACCTGAGGTAAAGACAAAATGCAAGTATACTTGTATTGCTTAGTGCATGCGAGATTATTTTTGATACATAATATTATATTTGACAAATATGGAATTTGTAATATATCAAATATATATGTATGTATACACAGATAACTATACACAACATTGTGTCAGACATTTAAATAATAAAATTAATAAATAAATATACGATTATTATAATGTCATTAAAAAATATACCTCTGCTGCCCCACATATGCTTTTCCAGCATCAATCATTGAACTGCAATTTTTCAACACCTGGAAAAATATATATAATACTATGAACCTACAGTACTACACGTAACATCAATAGATAGCATTCTGGACATCGTTTACAAATATTCGAAGGTTGTGTACACAAATTAAAATACATCTCTGCTTCAGTAAATATTGAAACATCTAAAAGTAATATCAAAAATTTAATATTTGTTAATAACATAGATATGAAGTACCTTTTCCAGCTTTTGTTCTAATTGATCAGTGTTATTTTCAACCTCCTCAATGCAAGCCCTAAAATTAATTAAACAAACATGTTAACGATATTCATTCCTGTAAATAAAACATATTTATAACAACAATGCAATATGTCATTATTCAGTGCAATATTGTTCAGACAAAAAATATTGATAAACAGAAGATAAATCTATATTGTTATACAAACACGAAGCCTGATGAATTTTTTTACAATCTTTTAATGGGGCATGAAGCTGTAATTGAAATGTACACGACAGGAGGACAAAGGACATTATTATTAGTGTACATATGTTTTAATGGAAGACATGGATACGCGGGTTGCATTATACCAAATGGAATCGGATTAAATACTTTAGGCAATTGAATTCGGATATAAGAAGAAACAAAAGTATAACAAAGCAGAGTGAAATGAATTAGAAAGTACATAGTACGACTTACCGAAATTTTGGCGTATCCCGTAGACATTCTTCAAACTCTATGATCGCCTTCATTTTGAGGATTTTCGATTCTCACAGAAATTGAAAGTTTTCTTTTACACGAGATATACAGATTGGTTATTGTACGACATTTTTCATCAAACGCAGTAACGATTGATTGAAATAATTAAGAAAAGGAAAAGCTTTCACGGAGGACAACACGTTCCCCACTCTCCTGTCAAACGTAACTGAATGAATTTAGACGTTTTAGTTTCAGTCTAGGTAACTTATTATTATGGATGACTTTATTCAACTGAGTTCAACAGTTTTAATAGTTTCTAGATTTTTTATCGGTATTAGGTAAATAAACGAATTTCAATTAATTTAATGCTTAAACCTTGTTCAAATTTATTACTATTGAAATAAAAATGTCTCAATATGTATTTAAATAGCTGAGAAGGATCATTAATGTTATTAAAAATTGTGGTGGCAGACCTGCGCGATAACGGTAGAAATGAATGATTTCACTGCAACTTCATAGCGATTGCCATGCTTTATTTATTATTGCCTTCCACAATATAATAAATTGTATAAGGTTATATTGCCAGAGTATATTTAAATATTTTAAAAGATTAATAATATTTAAGAAGACAGTATCAAGGTATGGAGGAAATTGTTATTTACATGATTTTATTATTAATCTATGTATTTCTTGTGTATCAACATAGTATGGTTAATCAAATCATGTTGGTTTTTTCTTCCAGGCTCCTGTAAACGCATTACATATTATATTAAATAATTATAGACATCTGATATTGCCGTGAATTGACAATGTTAATTTCAAGGTGTTTCTTACGCATCAATGCACTGCGTGCAACTACAGTGACACCATTACCTCATGTACAAACACGTGACAATTGGACTAGTAGGAGACCAAGTGCAATTGTAAATGAAAATGAAGTATTTGGAGATGTAGAGCACTCTCCAAAAATTAATATTCGAAACAGAGGTTTAAATGTTAAAAGGCAGAAACAAAATCATGTTGAAGCAAGAAGCGAAACAGAATCTACTAGTGACAAAACTTTGGATGAAGGATTACCTCATTTTCAAAAACTAGATCAGGATAACAACATAATACCGTATGTGTGTATTTTACATATTAACAATGGAATCATTCATTTTATTTTAACTTTCAATTGTCTTACTTTCAGATCATTAATGATACAAATTAAATCTCGCAAAGCACGGACTAAAGTTGACCAAATCCTTCTTGAAGGCCATCGTCAAATTAAGGATGCTCTTGATGCTGGCATGATACCTGAAATAATTATTTTCAGTAGAAAAACAGACCTTATGAATTTGCCGTTGCCACACGAAGGGATAAAGATATACAAAGTTCCATACAAATCTATTCAGTTATGGTCCAATTTAACCACAACACCTGGTCTTATGGGTAATAGAAAAGACCACAAATTATATCACTGAAAAACAAATATCTCATTTTTTGTCTCTTTTCAATATATCGTTTTTTGTAACAGGAATTTTCAAAACACCCAATTTAGATGACAGGGAATCTATTCCAGGAGCAATACCGCTAACAATAATTTGTGACAACGTGCGAGAACCAGGAAATTTAGGTTCCATTCTAAGAGCTGCTCTCGGTGTTGGATGTCATAAAGTTATTTTAACAAAAGGTAGAAAACGCAATTATTACACGACAATAGCAGCAGATTATACGATTTCCTACAATCAAAAACAAAAAATGCATATACATTTACAGGGTGCGTTGATCTATGGGAGCCTAAAGTCCTAAGAAGTGCAGCAGGTGCTCATTTTCGTTTGTTAATCAAAAAAGCAGAAAGGTGGGAAGACATCGAGTCGCTGATTGATACGGATGCAAATGTTTTTATCGCTGATAACATTGTAAACATGAAAAGTAATGCAGATGAATTGGATTCGAAAATAAAAAGCGAGATGCCATCGGAGGAAACGAGCATCAACGAAGATGATGACAACGTGAAAACTATAAATCCGCAAGAGGGTCAATCATTGTCGGTGTCATCAGAGTTCATTCAACCCCGAAATACAAATTCTCGAATATTAAGGGATATTATTAATAGTCTACCACTGTTACCTTATTACGCAATGAATTACACACAAAAACACAACATCCTGATAATTGGTGGAGAAACAGAAGGTATAAGTTACAATTCATACCGATTCACTAAATTGCAAAATGGCGTCCGCGTAAATATACCACTAACTGCGGGAGTCGACAGTTTAAATACAGGAATGGCATTAGGTATAGTGGCTTTCGAAGTAAAAAGACAATATATAATTGGAGGTAATTCCAATAAATAAATAAATATTAATACAGTCTACCCAGTGTATTTTAAATAACTACTCTCCACATGAGACCTACGCAGTATGCTTCCATTGTCAGCAGTAAAATAATTTAAAGGGAAATTCAATTCATATTTAGCATAACAACAACGCCAATAGATTTCGAATCAAATCGGTAAGTATTGAATGGATCCATAAGCGATATTCCAGCAAACGATGAGCTGTAGCTGCAAAAAGGGGGCAGATGAGGGTTGTTTGCCTAAGAAAGTCGCCTAATTGAACAATAAAGGAACCCGGGTGAGATGGATATACAAATGGGGCGCCAATCGGATATGATACAGAGAGTTGATGTTGAATAATCCTAGGATCAGCCACCGATTAATCGTATAAGATGGAACTCTATGTAAGGAGATAAGCACTGAACGTTTTTGATGTCCAAATCAATAAATCCTATATGTAGATATAACTGAACAATGAAGAAAGCCTATAAGTGTACGCGCTCCTAAATGATAATTACGAGTGGCTTTTTGATGATCATGGGAACCTATTTACGATGAGGCTGCTCGAATAAAGCGTATTAACCGTTTACGGCGAAATAGAAGTTTTCTACGGATTCGCACAGTATAGAATTCTGTAATAAAATTCACAAGCGAATTGAAAATAATGCTCATATACATATATATTAGATAAGCTCCAACAGAAGTATGAGATAAAGCTAGATGCAAGTACTATATTAATAATTGGATAAAGGGGGGGGGGAAGAAGGGATGACATCAAAGGTTTAGTCAAATCTGAATTGCAAATGTAAAATGTAACAGAATATTGACGTTTATGGGGTTGCTAAAATAAAACTAAGGAAGTCGAGGGAAAGTTTCTAGTTGAGAAATATGATTTTCTCAATGAATACAAGACTGATCGATTTGATAACGTCGTATTCGACCTGCCCTCCTTTGTAATCCAGACTTGAATCGATTGGCAAGAAGCGTTTCCCAGTGAGTAACGACTAGTCACAAGAGGCGTACGTTACGAGCGCCAGATAGGACGTAATGTATTGCAATATAGTACGATGCGACGCGATCTGACGCGTAAAGCGTAAAGAACAATGGCGCTGTGCAGCAGGCCACTACTGACACAGATTCTGTTACAGGCTGGCACCTGAGCCTCTCACACCATTCGAGGACAGTGTATAGCGGACGTATAGCAACTGAACGTGAATGCCAGGCATGCACTCCCAATTAATTTACAAGTTTCCGTTCCCTTTGATGGTCATTCGGTACACGGAACATTAGAGACTCATTGTACCATAAAAATTCGTATGTTAATACCAGGACCGTGTATCTAACAATTTAAAAACAATGTTAATACATATAAGAATGCAGAACAGATTCTACCATTCTTTTACTAACACCCTTATACTTCCTGGGTTCCGTACTTCAGTGTTCGTGTGTTTCATCAATGCATATGTGGCAACATCGCCATCATGCGTTTGCTCATTCGTAGCTTCTTGGTCGTCTTCACAAACTGGCCGTAGGAAAAGGAGGCGCGCGCCTCAGCTCGCGCATCCAGGCTGACGCTCGAGCTGATTCGAATGCTCAAATGTTCGAATACTTAAGCTAGCTAAGGCTCACCGGTCCTCTCCTGTTCCTGTACTCAGCTATACTGAGCAGCTCTAGCCGTATTAGAGTATAAGAGCACGCTAGAGGGCTAGAACCCGAGAGGAATAGAGAAGGCGCGAGTTGAGTTGGCTTCTCGAAAGGGAGATAGGGTGGCGAGCAGGCCGCCAGCCAGCCAGTCATCCAGTCGGCCAGCCATCCAGCCAGCCTGCCAGCTAGTCTCCGCGTCCCCTGCCTCGTCGCACCGCAGAGCCGGTCAATACTCCGAGTAACGCGGCGGGGAGAGCACGCCAGCCAGTTTGAATCTCGATCTTGCTCGTCGTGTCGAGCTAGTTGATTCAGCGGCTTGACGACACCGCGCGTACGCACGTTTTGGTTCTCGTATTGCTATTAGCATTGAGACACTTCGGTACATATCCTGAGTGAAAAACTGTAAGTCACCTGAGAAAGCAGACAAGAAACTCGTCAATAACCCTAGAAGCAAATGCTTACGCGAGTGTGTTGTTCGTCGTTCAGTTCATCACAAACATTCTGAAAGCGATCCAAATCGTTGAGAAAGCTGACGGACAATATATCCGGTTTCCCAATTACATTTTTCGAAATTCCACGCTATGTGAGCGGGTAGGGTGACAGAGAAAGGGAGCGTGAGGGAGCGAGCGAGAAGGAAATAAGGAACCAGCTAAAGGAGCATTTGAATAAAGAGTATATGCTGACGGTGATGGTGACGGTGACTCGAGTGACAAGTGACAGTGACAGTGACGAGTAGCTTTGGTGTATAGTTGTATGCTGTAGTGACAGTGCCGGTGGCTGTGACGGTGGTCGCCACAATTGTGACGGAAAGTCATACGGTATCAGGAGTGCTGACGGTCACGAGGAGGAAGGAATCGACGGCGCCTGGTGTGAGGACAAGGGCGAGTGCCTGTGTGACGCAACAAGACACGCGGGAGTAGAGGGTCTACGTACTATACGTGGTCGCTACAGCCACAGACTTTGGGACTCTCCGTCTTATTTGCTATACACGAAAGGATACTCGTTCGAAGGAATCTTTTCTCTTTAAAGAAAAGCGGAAGTGCGGGCAGTATTTACTGCTCGTGAAAGAAAATATTATGTGCTTCGTCGTGTGATGGGTACTCTTGTCTTGTTCTGCATGGGCAGCCTCCAGCTACGCCTCGCAGCCAGCCCCATGGATATATGGATATTCTTTCTCTTCTTCGCTACTGCTGGTGAGTGAAACATACTCTGTTCCTTATCCTCATCCTCGTCCTGTCTCTTTCTCACCTTCTAGGCTACTACGCATAAGAACATGCTGTTGCCAGCGGTTCCACTTATGCCCTGCAACACGTTTTCCCAGTGTCCCATGGGTCTCATTATGCATTTCGGAACGACCTTTTCTGCAAGGCAATCAATGGCTCAATGGAACAATCTTATAATGCCCACCGTCCATTTACCAGCACGTAATTCGGAAACTTTTGTCAACCAATTTTTTCTCTTTTTTTTTATGCTCGTTTGCAGCTTTCAGTGCTCTGATTTTCTACACAGGCGCCACGCTACGCGTGAGTTCCCCTACTTCTTTGTAGGGCGGGCGCCACTTGCACGGACAAGCAGATGCCCTTTCCTTTGGCAGTCTGGCCTTTTTCGCTCTTTCTATTCTCTCGTGTAGCTCACGCTCTCACTCGATCTCTCATTCACTCATTTACACGTCGTTTTACTCTCAATTCAATCACTCCTTCATTCCTTCTAGCACACATTTCTTGACAAGATTGTCCATAAACACAACGGATATGGAAATCGTAACTGACACCACTGGAGTCATAAATTATCCTACAAGAATGCGAAGTTAAATTACCATTAGGGATTCTTCACTCTAACTATTCTCATTAACGTTAATGGATGTTGTTACCTTTTTCTGGTGAAAAGAAACTCGACTACGTCTGTCTCGAGATAAGTATTATTTCCAAGATATGCAAAGTAGAAATTCGACGCCCAAGAGACGAGAAACCTAACGTGCAGTTTCTGACCAGCAATCGCTTTCGTTTTACTAGTACTGAAATTCAAGATGACAGCGATACTAAAACGATATAAAAATGCATATTAATTTTTCAGAAAATTCAAAACAATCAAAACGACCAGAGACTGAATTTTCGTTCTTGCTGTACACCACAACATTATAAAGTATAATATTTGATACTCGAATAAGAATAAATGAAGGCACCAATGATTGGTAACTATTTTTACGAACACATAAGAATTCTTGATGGCGTATCTCATCAAGCCAAATGCGCTCGTTCGAATAACAAAGATGATGCGCTAAGTCTCGTCCGGCGCAGTGGGGGGCACCAGGATCGATCGATACTTCCGATTATTTCTTCCGGCATTCCTTTCGTACAACCCCAGCCAAACCAATCCGACGACCCAATAGGAATCATCCACACCAGTTCGCACCTCTCATATAAGAATTTTTACGACCATGGTGATTTTTCGATTGTGTATGCTCCCATCAAACCCAGCAGAGAAATCTAACAATAGGAATAGGTACATTTCGTTGTTGTACGGAAAGCACAAAAATGAATTGAACGCAATTTCAATGCATAGAGAGTGTATTCTTTTTTCCACTTTATTTTCGGTACGACTGGCTTTATGCCGATATATCCGATCCACGTATAAGCTTGAATTCCATGTTTCAGTATCTACGTGAACGCGAGAATCTATGAAAGCAAATCCGAATACGAATGAAAATTCATCGTGTACCATTGGCAATCTGTACGCAGAAGTACAGTGATCCTGATCATTCAAGTGCGTTCTCCAATATCCTGGCGTATTGAGGTCGAGTAATCGTTTCAAAACATATATGACCATCTTTAGTAGCCTCTCTATATCCGATCGTATGAAAAACGCCAGGGACATTGAAGCACGGCTCATTGAATCCTTCCTCCATACATATAAAGAAAATCAATTTTCTTTTTTTTTTTTCTAGTTCACGTTATTACCACAATTTTCGTTACGCCTGGTACAAAGAAATAAACATATATATGGGACCTATTTATCAATTACGCTCTCAATGCCCTGGCTCTGGGCTATACACAATGAGATACCGTCAAATTTTACGACGTCCCAGTGGACACGTGCATACGTATCTGGACTAGGAGATTGCTGGGAATTCATGAACAAACGATGCTTCCTTCAGGAACAACAACAGACAGGATGCAGTTATGCGGGATCATAAAGGAAACATTACGTATAACGGACAGACATTTTGTTGTCGCCTAATGGATGCGGGCAAAAATTCCATAGGAATATTTTACTAACGACAATGCGGTCTAATGTATCCTAAGTGCATTCTCAAGACTCCAACACGATCGAGTCCTTTGCAGTGTAATTACCAATCTGAGAATAGGATTCTCGCAAGAGCACAGTCTGTGTCAAGGGTCAGCCAACTGAACGAGAGCATACAGTGCGAACAATGTGTCACCAAATTACAGCAATAAACATCAGTACGCATGTGGCACCGACGATATACGCCATAAACAAGAGGGCCAATCGAGCAAGCTATACACATACCATAGGCAAGGACCAGATCATACATTAGGTTAGCCTCTGCCCATATCACAGAATGACGCTGCATATACATTGCGCAATAACGTTGGCAGCTATGCGTTGTGCCATCATTGCAACCGGCCAAAGTACTTGAATGTGTTACAGATGCATACACACACACACATATATATATATATATATATATATATATATATATATATACACATAGCCCTATACATAATGGTATCTGCCATTCCGCTTTTCCTATCGGAAACGAGCATAATCGAGGACCCTGACAGAATGAGGCTATTGATCCTATTTGTGGGACCAGCAATAATGCGTACCACAGTCAATAAAATAGCTTACTATTCGTCCTTCATTCGATCCGTTATTCTATGTTTTACTTTAAATATTTATTCTCTTCTGCATTAACTTTTTTCAAGTCAGTCGCACTCACTCGTTCAATCGCATTCTTTCGGTTAAATTGACACAATTGCATCTGCATCTTTTTCGCTAGCTGCAAGGAATCGCTAATGCTATTCTGGTCTGTACTTTGTACGGTATATACTTAACTCTTCTGATACTCCTTAAGAACCTTCTTCTTCGTTCACACTTGTACATTGCCACTCGTGGCTACTTACGTAACTACTTGAGGATGCCAGAAAAAGTATTCTCTTTGCTTGGCGCACGTCTAAAATCGAATATCGATTACACTTTAGAGTAGACGTGCGAGTCTCGACAAGTTTCTGAAGTTACAAATACTGTTGGCTAGATACGATGGTCCTGAGGATTGCTCAGGCACTGTGTATAACGTCGGCAGAGACGTCTAGGCAGATATTCCGTTGTAACCTGGTACAACGTGGGGTGAGGTTAGGGTGGTTCTAGGGTGAACACTCGAGACAAGCAAGCACCACCGAGAGCAAGGGTGTAAAAGAGTGTCGCGGTATGTGGCACACTCAGACCCACTTTCCTCGAGTTTTTCCGGTTCAGCCAAGCACAATCGTCACTGGTAATGGCTCTATTTCTCGAGCATGTAATTTGTACTGGTGCAAGAGTACACGTGCCGCTGCTTCAGTGTTCCTGCGGTAGTGTCGCTGTAAGCGTCCTACGTCGTGTGTCACTTTTGTGCATCGAGTAAAACCAGTGTTAGACGCACGCAATTCGCACGGCTCGCCAGCTCTTTACCGAGGTAGAAGCTTTTACTGGTATGAATTATTCAACCTGGTCCAGAGGAGATACTCTCAAAAGCTCACGGCATTTGGAGATAGATGCCAGTACGAATTCGAATTCAAATCGAATTCAAATCCGCATCGCAGACTTCGATTGGAACCTCATGGAATTAGCTTTATGCAGAAGCCCTTCGCCCCTTTTTACGTTTCTTGTGCTTGTCGATCTTCTTTGCTACTTTTTTTCTCTTTGTTTTCTTCCTTTATGTTTTTTGGGGAAGATGCCGACTCCGGGAATTGTCTACCGTGCGACACACACACACGATCGATCCAAGCTGAAGCTTCGTTCTGGATTCGTCCTCTGTCTGCTGATCATCCCCGGTCCTTGTTCATGCTTCCAGGAACATGTTTGGGCGGAGATGCGATTGTCTGCTCGTTCTGCTGACGCCTTTACGTATATAGTATATGACTATGTATATGTCTGTGTATATAGATACGTATATAGCACATATCTCTAATCTCGGGGCACGAAGGGGACGAGAGAATTGCCGAGCACGAAATGGCACGTTTGTTCGTCAATTAGACGTAATTGGCCGAGAAGTCAGCACCGGGGGTTCATCCTGTTCCCCACATTCACAGTATTTCAAGCACGTTTGTGGTTTGTCCAGTAAAGCATCAGGAAGGACCCAGAGAGATTTGCAGAGAACGACGAACGCGATTCACGTGTCTCGTTTATCACGCGATGTTTGTCTTTTCGCCGATTAGATTAAGCCAGCATCCTTAAAGGCAAATTCGAAACTTGATGAAACAGAGATTCAAACCAATTCCTACCTCAGAGCTTCAAATCTTCCCAATTGCATCTTGTATCGTACGGGTTGTTGACATTGCCTGCTATTTCCTACGTTCGAAATCGTTACGTAATCCACGCTCGGCAGCAACACCAGCAGCTATATTCTCGTCGTACTCGAGATATGAAATTGACCAAGCTGCTAAAATGGCGGGTTCATCTGTATCAGACAATAATTTCTCCGAGGAGGGTATAAAGATACCAATCAAGCTACCATGGATATTGAAGTGCTACGCGAAAGCCGCTATTCGTACTCAGCCTCGTGATCTTCTACGCTGGACATCCGCTTATTTTCGTGCACTCGCAGAAAATGAGGTTCCTCCCGTCAAGGTGATAAATGCATGCTCCGCTTCCTGGTGGACATCGTCCCGGCTATTAGTCTCGATTATACTGTTCACAACTACATTCCTCGGATTGATTAACTAACCAGAAACGTTTGGAGTATCCAGTACGAGCGCGTCTTGGTATCACACCAGGATACTTGAAGACCCTTCTAGAACGCTTCGAGCACGCTGAAGTTGTCGACCCATGCACCTTGGTGATTCGTTGGCAGGAAATTGGCCTGTTGGAAGGCAGCCTATATAGGATTTTACAGATCAGCCCATCCATCCTTGACAAGAACTCCAGGGACAGATGCAACCTCTACCAGTTGCTGGCGATAGGATGCGGCATCCTTGGTAACGTGAGTGCCAACTTAGGAATCTGAAAATGTACTGCGATTGGTAACTTCTACGGTTTTTTACTGGTTGCTGCCATAGATACTTCTTTTGTCTATTTTGTTACTCCACCTGGAGCTACTTCTAGAGTTACCCATTGTGGCATATCTAAGTGGGTACAGTTTGTTGTGGTTTAACTATATATTTCTTTTGGTTAGAACCTCCATGAGACGATGGTCTACGTCTGCGAGTTACTCACCAGAGAGCCCGAGGGTGGATCTGCGATGATTCCTCTCAGGACGTTCTTGATGCTATACGAATATCTTGCCAGACTTGATTGCCCTGCTGAGATAACTGAAATGGATCTCGAGGCGGAACAAGATTTCCGGGAGAGTGCTGTCGTACCTTCTGTCGTGGAAACGTCGGAGGAAATGACGTCAACGTCAACGGACAGCTCGGAGACTACATCGACACCGAAATCGACACCTTGTTCCAGAAGAAGCCTGCCATTTGACGAATTAAATAGAAAGGGCGATACCGGAAATTCAGAAGGGAATACGGGAGACACGAAACACGATAAGAACGTAAATGGTAACGTTATACAGGATTCAATAACGTGTCTCGATTTGCTAGAAAATATTGAGCAGAATCCTCGAGAACAGGAAGCAAACGAACAAGCTCATTCCTCAAATTACGAACTTTACGAGGTCTGACTTTCTTCTTTATGTTTCATTTATTTAACAGTGTTACTTAGAAGTTAATAAAATGTTGAGTGCAGGGCGAGGTACAGCCAGCTGATAAGCCCGAGAAGGAGGATCCTAATGCTTTACGAGAAGATAGCAGCGAGGATGACGAGCACCTGGACGAGAACGAAGAAGAGAACATGAATTTTGAAGACGACATAAAGGATATATACTCGTACGTCAATCTCGAAGATATTCAAAAGGGATTTTGCGAGTGTGCAGAGGATACAGCTCCTCTTGATCCCGAGGAAGAAAATGCTACGTCAAAGCCAAATCCTCTTGAGGAGTTCCTGGAGAGAATGGCGCTAAAATTTAGCGAGGAAACCGTAGACGTCGAAGGCGCGGAATTGTTAAACGAAGAGATAAACGGAATCGGAGGATGTATCTCCAAGGAACGTATATGCGCCGTGTCGCTCTGGTTAACGGAATGTGCACGTCGTCAAGAAGGGATGGTAGGACCTCGCAATCTGCGACACTTTCTCTGTCCCAATCTGGACGGGAATCCACTCTACAAAAACGATGCGGACACTGACTGTTGAAAGTTCCTCTAAAACGTTTCCTCGGAACTTGTTGGATCAACCATGAAGCTGCTTCAGTACCGTAAACTGTTTATTTCCGATTAATGCGTGGCAAACATTTTTTTCTCTATCCTCAACGGAACACGACCTAGGCTACTCTCAGATTCATTCTACGCTTTGTAACGTAATTGCAAGGCAACGTTAGGCCACGCTTGCTACTCGGCTTCCTCATCGTTCTCGGATCCAAAGATAGAGCGCTCAGATGAGCTCTCGAATTAAGGGAATCCATGCGTGGGACAACACGCTCGAGGAACCACTAGGGTGTGCTTCTCTATCGCTCTTTGCTGTCTTGTGCTTCTCTTATACTCCGCTGTCTTGAATCTTTTAAAAGACAGTCCAGAAGCACTCTTTTACTCTCCTCGAAAATCCATTTAGTCTTGCCTCGTGATCCTACACGAGTTCCTTATGCTGCATGAAGCTTTCACACGAGTTTTATAATTTATTTTAGCACAGCACTTCAATGTCCTTTCATACTATTCAGTGTGTACACAGGCAGGAGTCACGTATTTACATTGAGTCTACGTGAAGGATTTCTGTGTTCAGGTACCTTGTACACTTTATAGTCTACGTCAGATCTGGATTGACAAATTATTAGAAATAATTAATGGGACGCTGTCAGCGTAGAACCGTCAATCTATTATATTAGCTAGCGAGCCGTCAGTGGCCTGACTCCGTACAGTGGGCTGTTCAAGAGTTTTTCTGACAGCAGAATGTCAGCTGCGCATGACGTCTTCTCTGTAGGCAGGGGAGCTTACTTATTTATGCGATAATACACTACGACGATATCCGCACTTCCGTAAATTTACATACAAAGTATAGTCACTGATGAGATTTCAGACACCAGGTCACCCTACGTGCGGTCTACCCTACCAAGTAGCGGTATCGTGGACTATCGTGGTTTTGACTTAGCAGGTTAGGCCTGTTTACGATTAGAAAAAGGGGGTTAATCATTCTGAATAAAAGCCAAAAGATTCTCACTAACTGCAGGTTGGTCGCTCATAACTTCCGTTGGGCCTCTGTGTTTTTCTTTATTCTTGGTAATTATTTCTGCCTCGCAATGGCGACGTCCTTCTCCTACGGTCTCTTATGCCTAAGCCTGGTCGTCACTCTGACGACCGGTTGGGTCATAGAGACTCAAGAATTTCCTGACCAAGAGGACGTTGACATGACCAACGATCTTCGCGAATCCAGACGACAACGTCTGAACGTTATATTTCCAGGTAAGTATGTCTACCAACTACCAGGTAGCTTATTAGTTAAGGCCGATAAAAAGAAAAGCTCAGAGAAATCTTAGAACACAGGATCGATCCTTTCGATGTCGAGCAGGAACCAAGTGGTGCGGAAGCGGAAACGTGGCAGAAAATTACGAGGATCTGGGACAGTTTGCCGAATCAGATGCATGCTGCCGTGCTCATGACAATTGTCAGGACATTATTGAAGCTATGGAAACCAAACACAACCTGACAAATCCCTCTTTCTACACGAGGTGGACAACTCATTTATATAACTTTTTTATATTACCGTCTCCATTAATCTTTCTTCCCTCAATTTATGTACCGCGCTGCCAATCACACTTGTATATTTTACAAAGAATTTCTCAACAGTCTCTTTTAATAGTACTTTTTAATAATCTCTAACCAGAGTTCACTGTTCCTGCGACGAAGCTTTCTACGATTGTCTACATCGTTCCGAAGATCAAGTCTCTGGTAAAATAGGCATCGTATACTTCAGTTTACTTGGGACAAAATGCTTTCGCGAAGACTATCCCATCGTCGGCTGTAAGCGTTACTCCAAGTAAGTCCTGGATCCTCATTCTCGTGCATCGACATCCTTGCCGAATGGACGATGACTAGTCGTAGAAATGCGGCGCCGGTTAAATGGAAAAATTTTTTGGCAGATTTCCGAGACGTTGCCTCGAGTACGAGTTGGACGAAAGCCAACCGAAAATGTACCAGTGGTTCGATGTGCCCCTCTACTGATTGTGGCGGTATCCCGTCCTCGCGTTCAACATCCGTTACCTATGACTATTTCCTCCTTTCTTTCTTCAATAAATAATAATAATAAAAAACTATGCCCATACTCATTTTCCCATCTATCGAACGAAACTCTATAGACCCGAGTCGAGCTCGTAAACACTGTGTACGACGGATGCACGATGAGTACTTCCCTTTATGTATCAGCAATGAATACTGACAAATAGAGATATCATGCTGCGAAGGTACATAGGGAGCCATGCAATGTAAACATCTAATCTTGAGAAGAAGGAACCGTTTCTTTACTTTTATCACACGGTGGCTTATACCTGCTGTACGAGTATTCGAAAAGTTTGTAGGCTAGGACGACGATATGAAAATTTTTGGATTTGTAATTTTTTTTTTTTTTTCTTAAATTGCATATGAATGCCATGTTACGAAAACACACGAGTGGAATCCGAAACACGTAGCTTCCATATAACGTATGACTGTTTGCTCAGTCGTAGGCGCATAATCGTTGGGGATTACGTCATGCACTAGATGGCAGTATCACAGTGGTATTGAATCATTACCTAACAATTGCTAATACTTCGGTATATGCTAATACAATTTCCGATATTTAGCAATATCTTAAATAAAGAAATAATATAAATAATTGAAATAACGCTATGGCGTCTATGCATTGGAAAAAGTAATAATGATGAGTTTTAAGATTCCATTTTGACGTAGAATAATATTACTGTTCTTTTTTAGGCGTTGCCGCCTCCGTGGAAGTTCATTTTGAAAATAAGGACGGTGGCTTCTTCCTGAAACACACTCCACGGCAATACTATCCAACGCAACCGGACTCGCTGTCGGGAGGGGCTGGATCTTCAGGATCGTCGACGGGAACTGTACCAGGAACCGCAAGTGGTACAGCTTCGGTTTTGTCACCGCCAGGATGCATCCTCTCGATAGACAAGTTTACGGTCTTTCAAACAAGCGAACCAGTCTCGGTGAGAGCGAGCTACGGACCCTTTAGCACGAAGCAGACGGTACCCGCAAGATACATAGTGCCAGATCCTCTGGATATGCTACCTGGTCTCGGTTCACCAGTAGCGACATCCGGCGCGGATAAGAGTGTAAACGGAAGTAGCAGTGGCAGTGTAAGTGGCGGCACAAATGGTAGCGGTAATGCCAAACGCAAACAGAACGTTAACGGAAGCGGATCAACGAGCTCCTCTGCAGCTGCACTTCTGGATGCACAAGAGCTCAGCGCTCGACATCTTGACATGTCAGCGCATCTCGTGCGTGGAAACGTACCACGAGACTCTCCGGTTCTTCGCGTTCTATTCCATGCAGGAAGCGAAGCCGTTGGCAGGCGACAGCTCCTACTGGCACGACATCAACGGGTCTGCGTCGTACTTCATGCAAGTTTGCCTGGTCGGCCGTCACTGACAGCTGCGTGCAGTCCGGATGGCGAAGACGGCGTGTGCCTCGCGCAAATAACAATTCCAGCCTCCTGGTGGCCACCCCTGCCACCTCCTGATGCATCTGGCAGAGTTAAGGTCACCAAGAGCTTACCGAGACTCGTTCAGGTGGCTTATTCCGTTTTGGAACCGCGCACGGAAGGCGACGCTATATCCTGTCAGCCCCGCGTCCAGATTCAGCCTGTGACGCCGCTGGGACAAATACCCTTGTCTCCTAATCGTGCTGCCTATAAGGAACTCAGCTCGGATGAATCCCTAATCCTCTTGGTACCGCATGGACCTCTTTATCCAAGATCACGACTACACGTGCCGGCATTCTTACAACCACGATCTGGGGCTCCACCTATTGTTGCTCTCGTACTCAGGTATGTATTCCTGCTACCTCTCTAAAAGGTATATGTTTTTTTTCAGTCTCTCGTTACTCTCTCCATTTATTTCTCCTATGTTAAAAATCTTATTAAAATCGATGGCAAATCATCAATTGGACATTGATCAGATTTGCGGACTGGAAGCTTCGTATCAAATCTTATTTATAGTTCCAATTAAATATTTTTCTTTAGGGGGTAAGTCATATTGGAGACGATAGCTTATTAATTCCGAATCATTTTCAATCCGAACCCAAATACCTCCGATCGCCCCGAACGATTCCGATCGTAATCGAATCGGGTCTCTGTCGGTTTCTATTAATTTTATTCAAACTTTTTAAGCAAAGTCTTGCGCGCGCTCTCCCTCCTCCCTTCTCATTCTCTTTCTCTAGCCCTTTCTCAACGGAATCGAGCGCGAGCTCCATGCGGCCAATCGATAACTCTCCGGCAGCTCCTGGCCCTGATCGTCTAATGGCACATCCGGCGTCTCTCCTATACCTCCCACTAGTAAACTTCTCCTAGGCGGCGGACCTTCAAGAGTCAAAAATCTTTTAAAGCCACGCCTCCCTCGAAGAAAACCGCCAAACTTCCTTTGCTACTCTATGTAGATATTGGGAAACTTTCTTAACCGTTCTTTCCTTTTGATGTTTTTTTCATATTTTCTCGTATCTTTTGCATCTATATTTAACGTATATACATAGCTGTATTATTAAAATTCTGTTACGTAGAATTTGAAGTCTTCCTTGTAACTGATGCGTAACAAAAACAGAGGTCATATATATGTACATAGAACGATAAAAAGAGTATGCCAACACAAAGTCCAATAATTGATATGGAAAAGGAATTTTTTGCAACGTATATCATGATGAGGTGGCGCTAGCTGACCTCTCGACACTTACATTTCTAGCAGATAGCATATCATTTTAATACTACTGCGAAGCTGACGAAAACTTAAATAATCTATTAACTCATCTATTTACGAAAAATAGGCTACTTCTAAGGAATCTGCTCGTGATTAATTCTAGAAATTACTCGTTCTCTTTCAGAGCACGGGTCAAGTCGAGCGTGCGCATTCTCGAGGCTTCTTCGAGCAGTCCGGATTGGATCGTGGATTCGGAGATCAATGCGAAGAACACGGCTGCCACCTTTACCGCCAGACGAAAGGAGAACGTTTCACGTTCGCCAAATACGTGAGTATTTTTTCTCTGGCGAAGACGAAATAGGAAATGGAAGAGGAAGTGACAGGGAAAGCATTGATCTGTCGCTATGGCTCTTTTCTCTGCAGTACCTTTATTAGGTTCTTCATTCTAGGTATCGTTACTCGATAATCCATTTCCGTCAGCCATTGGACAATCCTCAATCTGCATTTTTTTTTTACTCTGGACATACACAGATTTTGTTAAATTATCTCTTATCAACTAATAGTCTAAGATTTGCCGTGAATGTTCACTTATTTATTTTTTGAAAAAATCATCAGTGATTTTTCGAAGATGATTTTCATGACCTTCATGAAGATGAACTGTTGCTGCTGCTGCTGCTGCTGCTGCTATCCTCATCAACGTCCTTTTTATTCTTATGTTTTATGCTTTCTTTCTTCATGACCTTCATGAAGATGAACTGTTGCTGCTGCTGCTGCTGCTGCTGCTATCCTCATCAACGTCCTTTTTATTCTTATGTTTTATGCTTTCTTTCTGGGTATCGCTGTTTTCGTCATCGTCATCATTTTTGTCATTATCGTCGTCATCTTTGCACTTTTTTTTCTCTACCTTTTCGGATGATTCACTACTGCTGCTGCTGCTGCTGCTGCTGCTACAGCTACAGTCGTTATGGTCGTGTTTGCTGTCAGAACGTCGTAGCCTCGTTAATCCCTCGTTGGATTCTGAGGATTCTGAAGATTCACTGCTTGGTGAATTTGAATGGTGTTCACTCGCGGCCACAAGGACAGGAGGAAATTCTTTGGAGTCTTCGTTGGATACTTCGGGCAGACCATTCTTCCTCACTTTTGATTTTAAAATCTCTTCCGGAACGTCATCAGGCGTATTAAGTAGAAGATCAGTGTACTCGTCGTTCGCAAAAGGCTCTAGATCCCTCTTGTTACTTTGGATGACTGAAATTCCTATTTCCGGGTCTACATTGTCGACCTCTTCAATCGGAAAAGCGTGGACCGACACGCTAATCAAAATAGCCAGAAGGAAGAACACGCTTGATGAATACATCGCGAGTACTGTGTTACTAGGCTCTTCTCCTTCCTCTTTATATCACTTTGTTACTGCTTATCACAAGCGTATCATTAGCAGTCAGTAGAGTATAGAGTGTCAGGAAGACATAGAAACGACGTAAAAGATAGAGAGAATGAAAGAGGGAGTTGCAAGGGAATAAGAAGGAATCCGAATAAACAAGATTACTATTTCTAAGCAGCATACATAAAATTAATGGTAGAATGGAATAAAAAAAAATATGAAGAATTCTCTTGGACCTTGAAAGCTCTCTTGACGTCTTCTTTTACATCTCAAGCAGTTTTATTAAAATATTTTATGTAGAACAAAGGGGACCCTTTACAGTTTCATGAGTTTGCTTTTATCGTTATTTTCAGCACTAGTCTCGTTGTTTAAACATATTAAAAAAAGTTCTTATTTCATCAGCGGCGTCGATGACGTCGTTGGCGTCGCTTAGACCAGACATAAGTAAGATCGATCGTTTATATTATCGTGGCAACGTGAAATGCGCGTCTTCGGCGTTTTGAGGTCGAGAGGTCACTCGTACTCGCTCAGTCCGGAAAAATGTGCGATAAATACATTGCTTCGTTGGGAAATCCAATTGCAGATGAATTCAGGCATATTATCGATCGCTCTACTTTAAGTTACCGTGGTGTTAATGTACCGAGAAAAAATGTTCTTCAGTTTGCACAAAATTGGACCACTTGATTTTCTTTGAAGTGCACAATGGAGAGTACGTCATCCATAGTTAATTGAACTCGACATATAAAAAGGCTCAATTAAGAGATTCTTGAATGTAGAAGATTAATGCCTTACCTCATTCATCACTATTTATACACAACAGTGAAGATTTATACGTTTGATAAATGTTTGACAGATTAACAACCGCTGAGGAAGTGCTGACAATGCTGCTGGAGGCCAGTGAAGAGGGTGCAAGTGGCAGTTGGGATGGTGGAAGAATTGTTTGGAGCGTCCGTTATGCATTTGAGGGCGAGGAAGACAATGCTTCTTTGGCCGGTGGTTGGTTGTCAGGACAGCAGCAGCAACATCATCATCATCATCACGTTGAAAGAAGGAAGCTTCAGGCACGTCTTGAAATTCAAAAAGATGATATTCAGGCCGTGTTACCAATTTCCAAGGTGGGCTTATTTTGGACACTGATTGAAATATTAATTTGAAAGTGTCTAAAGGAGATGATTACTTCACTGTGCTCCTTTAATTATGCTTTAGAACTGGGAGGTAATGAACACAGCTGTGCTGACACATCGGCAAGTCTCGCAGGCGATGAAAGTCTTCATTGTAAGTCAAGCTGGAAAAGTGGCTGATGTTACGCTTCAGTCTTCTTGTCACTCGGAGGACGAAAGTGTACTTAAGGTAAGAGCTATGCAGTGCAATAACGTATTCAATGTGATGTAAGGAAATGCAATAGTCAGACCAGTTGGCGATATTCTATCTGAACGAACCGGATTTCTGACTTATTGTTAATTTAAAGAGCTCGTGGTAATTATACAACTTGCACGGTGGAAATTATTTCAGGTATCCTCATCGTGCAGCAGCGTTTATGTGGATGGCTCAGAAATACGAGGATCAAGCAATGCCTCGGTTCTTGTCAAATATGGCACATATACTGGCTTAGCAAGGTTTACAGTTTGGATGCCTGAATTTCCGCTTGATGTCACCGTCATGGATACACGACTGAGTCAGATCAAAGGTTGGAAGGTACCAGAGGAGCACTCTATTGCTAAGAACAAACGTAGTTTGAACAGCAGCGCATCTAAATCTGATGAAACATACGCTGATGAAGTGACAGCTGCACCCAGTGAACATCTTTTTCATGCTGATGAGAACGCTGTGGACGAGAATAGGGAAAGTCAGAGAAATAACGATGCGGTGGAGAAAAATGCAGACTCGAGGATACAGCGAAGAGAAATAAGCGACAGCAAAGAGCGACGAGAACGACGTCGCAGACGAAGAAGATCGGCTGCTGGTGGTGACCAGGAAAGCAGAATGTCCAGGAATGGAAATTCGGAAAGATGGATAGAACCGGATGGCAATTCTATCGATCGTACTCCAAATTGTCGATTGAGATTTCAACAGAGTACTGTGGATATTTATGCACGATTTGTGGCAGCTGACCATGATTCCGGTAGAGTATCTTATTTCGTGAATCGACGTACCATGTTACGCGTTACGGACCTTGTGGTTGGTCTGCTGCGAGTCTCGGATCCACGAATTGCAACTCTTGAGGGAAAGATAGTCCAGGGTCGTGGCGTTGGTCGTACAGAAGTTCAAGTCCTATCTCCTATCACTGGCAGAGTCATCGGCGCCAAGGAAGTGCGTGTTGGTAGCGATCGAGTCTCAGTAGCGCATCTCTCGGTCAGAGTCGTTTCTGGATTGCAGTTAACGATCAGTCCTGACACTGCTATCGAGAATGGATACGTCGCAGAAACGTCGGTCACTAGGTGGTTGACTGCTCAATATCAGGTGGGTTTAACTTTTTCAAAATTTTCGCTTTAGCGACTGGACTGCATTATTTATTCAAGTTACTCTCTTAGGAAGGCCTGTTAGACATCGACATTGAATATTCTGACGGCTCGCACACTCCCTTAAGAGAAATTGCAGCAACAGACTATAAGATCCAGGTGGAAAGTGAGGAAACTGAGGTGGTAGCAGTTGCTCCTCCGGTCGCTTCCCATCATCCTCGAGTAATCGCCATAGGAGAGGGACGTGGTGATTTGTTACGAGTAACTCTACTACTTGTTGACGTCTGCCAAATGTCTAACAGAAGATCGAAGTCCTCGTCATCGAAAGCTGCTGCAGCTCCACTGGCTACTGCGTCTGCCAACGTGGAGGTTAAATTTGCTTCGAGTAACCTTACGAATCGACCTGAGTTCGTGCAAAATGACGGCGGCGGCACCGTGGGCTCTCACAAAGAGCATAAGACTGGTCGCGAGAATGGAGACCTTCACGATATTGTCATCGGTAAGTTTCATCACACCTTGTTTCGTCTCTACTCTCCTTGGCCATTTCCTGAAGACCGGAAGAGGATGACGATTATGAGGATTGTTAAGAGGATAAGCCTAAATGGCAAATAAAAAAGTCAGCTATAAACGTGCTGCGTAGAGTCCAATGTAAGAGTGGTGTGCGTCGCGCTTGCCCGTGGCGAGGACCGCGGCCGCTGATCCCACGTCTCTGTCTGTTTTCTGTGCCTGAAGGGATTCCGCTGAGAGATGAGAACAACTACGAGCCGACGGTGCAGGCGCGTCAGCACCACACGGCTATAGCTAATGGCATGTCTTCAGGAGGATTAGACGGTGTCGGGATCATGCATGAGGGTGGACCACGTATGACGCAACTGAAGATCGGCATGTACGTCCTCTTGGCGGCGTTCTGTTTCGCCATCATCGTCTTCGTGGTGTCCTGCGTCGTCTACGCGAGCAAATTCAAGCCCCAGCCACCAGACTCGCCATTACCCAGCATCCCGGTACTTGGTGCTGCCAGAGCGGCCGCGAGGCAGCTAGCACCAGCTGGACGACCTAGGGAATCTACCACCAATGCCCACGACTGGGTCTGGTTAGGTCGTGCTACTCTTGAAAGAGCTGCATGTGCTCCTCAACAGGTACTTTCCGTGTTCACGAAATTTAATTAGCAAAATGTATAATACATAACTGATAATCATTGCAAAATTTACAGGTGCGACTGACCGCAAATCCACTTGCTACTGAACCGCTTGTTGACAATGACAACGAGAATGAAGATACTGTAACTGCTGCTGAACTCGGTACCAGTTTCGACAACCCAAATCATATCGAGCTCCCAAGTTCTTTAAGGATTTCTGGTGATGGATCCGCAGCTGCTATAACTGGTGCATCTGCTTGTACAACCACGTCTACAGTTCCCATTGACACTACGACTTATTGCAAGAAGGACAAGACACCACGAAGCTTATCTGGCAAGGCGAATCTTCATGTTAGTGCAGCCAAAACATCGATTACACGCAACGAGTAATTATTATCTTCTTTATTAGTTTGCAATTTGCTACTTCTTTCTTCATTTTCATTCCATTATTATTCTATTCGCGGTATTTATTTCGGGTTTTCGTGAACGATACTCGTTACAGTAATGCCCGAAACTGCGCCAATGTTGTCAGCGGCAGGAATGAGGACGATGACGACAATCGTTCTACCGATGATGACATTCCACCACCATTACCACCTCACGGAGTACCCGCAGTCGCAACTGCGACAACGACAACATCAACGATGACAACGATAACACTCTCCGGGGATCTTAGTAACGGCAACATTAGAGGAAATGGAAATGGCAGTGGGGATGTCTTTGGCAAAGTTTTCGGCAAGTCAAGCACGAATAACTATGTAAACGGTAACGCAAGCGAGCATCCGCAGATAAAAGCAAAAAGCGGAAGTAATAGCAGCAGGAACGCAATAGAGGAGTACAAACCTCCAGTACCGCCTCATCGAAACCGTGAGGTCTGGACAAAGGCTGGGATGGATCAAAAGAAGTCGCGGCACAGATCGTCAAGCGGAAGTCACGGCAATCAGCGACATGCATCATCAGGCAAACATCATTCCCGATCTCATCATCACCATCATCACAGCAAGAACAAGACGGAGAGCTCGAGAGAGAACGAGGCGGAATTCGTCGAGCTAAGAAACCACGAGGAGAAGCGCGCCAAAGACAAATCAAAGGAAGTCAAGAGGGCGACGATCGTCGGGAACCCAATGTATTCATCCCAGGAACAAGAGGAAATGGCTCTGGATGATCTAAACCTGGGCATGGATTACGATCAGATCATGCATTACTTTGACAACCTGAAGGAGTCGAACGCCTAGGCAGGGACGGCCGCGGGACGAGTCGATCCAAATCGAGTCGATTCGCGGCCGAATTCGGCGCGCCCTCCTTCCTCCTTATCACAATTTTCGGTGCTCTCGGAGCTTTGGGAATTTTCCAAGTTCCTAGAGCCTCCGGCGAGGTTGCCCCGGACTGCTCGTCCTAACTTATATTCTAGTCAGCTTCCTAGCAGCACATGAATTTACAAATCACATAATCATCGACTTCCTAGTTATTCAATGGCGGTTTGACCGATAGAACTGGCCCTTGAAGACTTCGGAGAGATTCTAAGGATATCGACCGCATTCGCTTCACCCTAGTTCACGACTTCTTTCCTTCCCTCCCATCTCCTTTCTTATGAACTCTTTCCTTTCCTCCCAGTATCCCTATGACTCTCAGATGTGTCGTTCCTGTTATCGATTCCCTACATTACCTCCTATTCATCGGTCAGTTTTGCACATATCTCTGTCTGCATTTCAGGCTCTTCCTTATTTCCTAATTACCCTCGGGACCGATTATCACCAAGTCCCGAACCTTCAACCAATAAATATACTATATTCCAAAATATCGTACTATCGCCGTACACAAATGTCCGCCACTCGTCTAGCTTACCTTAGTTATCATTTAATGACATGTACTATAAAAGTCATCATCGTTTCATCACAATCTGTACAGCTCGCGCTACTCGATTACTCGACTCATCATTTCCAGCACGGTAAATGATCATCTCGTCATAATTTTCATTATCATTATCATCAACCATCGTCATCCCCATTCTGTTTTGTTGTGTTTGTTGTTATTATTATTATCACCGTCACCCCATCATCATAGTTCATTATTATTGATATTATTATTATTATTATTATTATTATTATTATTATTATTATTATTATATGGCCGATATTATATTGATTTCGATAATTTCTTATTCTTTTTCATACGAGAATATGAATAATAATATATATGCGGAGGCGATCGGCTGGCCGGACAAGCGAAGCGCACAGAAATAATTTGATAATTCCAACGTGAATCAAGATCGACTATGTCTACTGTATCAAGTATAGCGTTAGAGTAACATAAGGGTGTTCGTGGTGAAAATAGCATAAGAGTAGTTTGTTTGGAGTATTGTCTCAGAGTATTAGAATAAGATGGCGAAAGAAACGTAATATAATGAGAGTGCAGCCTCTGGTTCGGTCGAAAGCCGTCAGCCATCTTGCTTGGAAACTTGAGATTCAGTCTTTTCGAAAAACACATAATGCCGGGTTTACCGAAAAATCGGATTTCCATATAAAAGTATATGAATTCCTGATATGAAAAATGATAACGTTACACTCCTCCATCGGTATTTCATTTATATATTGCCTATTAGTTTATGAAATTCGAGCGATACGGTAAACTCCACACGTTGTGTCGTATGATATTTAATTCGATTGACCGTGCGTTCTAATATTTGTAAATTTTGCGTTGTAAGATTTTGTACATATACCTACGTATACACGCGAATATTGCAAGAGTACTTAGGGTCTTTAATGTGTAACCACAACGCGCTGTCGGACGACCACACGTCCTCGTAATATTATCGTTCACCGAGATGAAAATCTTTAACGATGACCATTACTATACACGGTAAACGATTACTAATGATATCCATTTCTATTATATATGCTAGAAGACAAAAAAGAAGAAAATTAGTGACTGTTGAGCTTTTCGGTTAAATTCGATCAATTTGTAACCGCCAATCCGTCCCACCGCAGACGTCCTCGCGATATCATTCGTTCCTAGTAATAAATGACGACACGACGACTCGCGGTGATGTGTCGAATTAAATAAAAATTGGGACGGGACGATCTTGAATTACTTCGATATCGCGAGCGATTCGAAAACCGATCATTCAACAGAGAATACGATGTGGTATAAGTGTAAACTCTGTGTTTAGCACGTATCTAAGATATGCGACGTTGCTATATTCGTTATAAGAGATACAAATTTAGTGGGAATTTTCCATATCGTCCCCTCCCCAACTGAATTTCAAATGAAATTAACCGAATGGAGTCATGCAATTACACACACGGCAAATCGCTGAGAACATCCACGAGGTACCATTATCGATTGAAATAAGAGAAACGACTAAAGGAGAAAATGTTTATTTAAAAGAAACATACATAACACGAGAAACAAAAATAAGATTGACAAATGCTTATCCTATATTATATCACGCGACTGGACGCTTCGCGTATTCCTAGAAATTTAGTTCGGCTGTCTACGTCGTGCAGACTTTTTGATGCATCGGCTGTAGTAGACGACTGTACGCACGTGTATGCTTTCCTAATGCAATAGATGATACATGTGCTGCAAAAGTACAACGTTTCGTGACGTTCGTCGTGTGTATGCTCGCAATATAAAGGCACGTGCGCATGCAGGTATAAACAGCGAGAGAGTGAGAGAACGTTTGCGCGAATGAATGAATGAATGGCGTAGAACGTGGATGAGATACTGGGACAGTGAAACTCCAGAAGAAAAATAAAAGGGGGAATGCGTGTTCATTGTGTGTTAAAGAATGAATGAATGATGATATAGCTGGTGAGGGAAACATTAGCGGGAATGCAAACCACCTGCTGAAGAAGAACCTCACTTGCCATGTACGGGCGCCATCAACGACTAAAGACTAATCATTCCTTTGTTATGATAGATGTTGCGCTGATAATACTAATAATAATGCCCCGAGTCAGAAGGGTTCTTAAGTACCCGATGCGTTAAATTATTATTTATGACGATGATAACGACGTTAATATCGCTACCCTATTATTATCGCGCAGATAAAGTAAATCGATTATAATTATTAATATCATCGTCATCATCATTAACGATCATTATTGTCGGCATACTAGACATTACGATACGATTATTGCCTATTCAATGTACAATATGTAGCATTTACCTGTTGTTACCACCGAACCGTCGACAAAGATATAAAATATTGTAATTGTATCATAAGTAGTTGAAACTGTTTCGTTTGCTAGTCAGAAATCCCAGTGGCACGATATCCGATGTCTGTGGATGGGAGATACGCGTGAAAAAATAATGAATGAAAAAACAAGAGATGACATTAACGAAATCATGAGTTTCCTTTATGAATGTTTATTCGTATTTTTTTTCTTTTCGTTTATTATTTACAACTCACGTTCTAAGTGCGAAATATTTTAGGCTCGATTTAGTTATATTTTCCAAACCATATTTTGTCTACCGGTGATATCCAGGTATGACAGCCTTGTATATTGTTTTGTATGAAATACTTGAATGTCCATGGATTCAAGTTCTGGTTCTCAATTCTAGATTCTTTCTGTTTCATTTTTTGCATTTCATATTCGTTAACAGCTATGGCTTTGAAAGGCAGCTTATTTGCGACGTCGGTCAATACTTTTTTGATCTATATGAGGAAGTTATCATTTTGAGATGGAAGACATTTTTTAATGGATTGGTTGGTTGGTTACTTACCTCGACATATTCGCACGTACCACCCACTTCTAAGATCACTCGACCAGCTTTAATTGGAGTTACATAGTGATCGATTGCACCTTTTCCACCTCCCATACGTTGGCCTTGACCCTGAATTTTAAAAAACCTGATTTATGTCACAAGACAGTTACCAGAACAAGTAACCAACCTTTTTTGTAACTGGTTGCCAGGGTGCATCAACACGCCAAATAGCAAACATCCTATTTACATCTAACTTACGGCCAATAGTTAGACGCATCATCTCAAAATGGCCTGATCGTAGTCTACCACCACCCGTGGCCTGTAAGAATCCATCAAATTCTTTTTTCCAACTGTTTTTGGATGAAAATGAACACAATAAATATTACACTCACAACAATTCCAAACTGCTTATGTATGAGACTGTTATGTATCAACTCTGGACCCCTCATGAACTTCAATTTCTTCTGCATTTTGAATGGCCTCATTGAAGGTGGATATTGTGGTACCTTTTGCATAATTGGCAGTTTTCTTTTCTCCGGGAACTCAACTGTCAGACAAAATATTTTCTTCAGACGTGTAATTCATTAAACATTATTTATCTTTACCATTATAAACTGGAGGTGGTTTAAAATTTTTGAGGCCTGCGATTTGTACCATAGCCAATGGAGCTGCTTTAAATCCTACATAAAAAAGATTTATTGATACAATCGAAATGCTGCACAATATTTATATATTACATATATTTAGATGTCTTACCAGCAAGTCGAACCTCATGCAACAGTTTATTTGTGGCTGACACAGCTTGTGCTGCTACGTTGCTTAATGACAACATTTTCTGTATCCGTTTCTTCAAGTCTTCAACAGTGTTGAACAATCTGATTAAGTCACCGTTTCATTTGTTAAAGAATAATTACTTGGTAACCGGCGACTAAAAATTAGTTGTTCCGTTTAATGAAACTAGCTTGGAGTAACGCTGGTAATGTACATTTATAGATAAGGTTCGTCAATGGATTTTACTACATACCTATAGATTTTTGGACAAGTTTCAATGTATGTACATATATACCACTTGATTGGACAAGTTTTGGCGCTCATAAGATATTTGTGAGTTCATCTCATGTGTACTTTGTACCAGTTTTAGCTGAAGATGTCTGAAGCTTTCAAGTTCTGCCGAACGTAAGCTTTACATTGCAGTAGGTACCTCTTCTGCTATTGACACATGCGTAACAGAATCGATCAGCTGATTTTATTCTATCCTCTAAATGTGGAGTAACCTTAGCATTGCCTTTAACTGTCAACCAAGCGGATCGTGCATAAATTTGACAGAATTGTAATTACTAATTGACGTCGATAGTAGAAATACTGTGCAACTGGTTCTATTCAAGGGTTCGTAAAATTTATGTAAGATGGACTTTTCCCATATTTTTATTTACAGCGTAATGTTAATATGACATCATAAACTTAATGAGTTATTTTATAAATTGTATCGTTTTAGAGGCTCACACAGCATTCAATTGACATATTTAATTTGAAATAAATCTAATACATGGTGGGATATGGATCTAAAATTAAATTTTTTGTCATGCACTTCTGAAGTGATTTCTGTAATATGTTCTTCTTTTCACAGATAATGTGAATCTGGCACAATGAGGGTTCTAAGTCTGTGTCTGCTTACGATATCCTTAGCTGTAGTCCATTGCAGTGATATTACACCAGCTGTCTTTGGTAGTGTATTGGATGGGTTACCTGCAGCTTTTGGTGATTTTGACTCTGATGAACTCACAGATGTCTTTGTGATTCATAATGATAAAAAAACTGTGGAAATCTTACTTGGTGCTGACCAAGAACCTTTGTTACGTCCTGGACAAAACTTGAGCTGCACCTTTGATTATCCAATAGTCAGTGTGGTTCCTGGAGATTTTGATGGAGATGTTTTTATGGATGTTCTGATCATACTGTTAGTGGATCGATACAATCACATGTACAATTCATATATTTTATGGGGTGGAAATGGCCAGCTGAACTGCAGTGATACATTAAATCTATCGATTGAAATGCATGGTCAACCATTGGCCATAGATTATAATCAGGATATGATCATAGACCTTTTTGGCATGGATAAGGATAACGTCCGCACATTCTGGGTGTTTAATGCCAATAGAACTATACCAATGGCTATACGGATGAATGTCACAGACTCTCATACATCTAATAGAGAGCTTCCACATATAAGGTCTCCACACTCTAATGCATTTCTGGATCTAAATGGTGACTTCATGCCTGATCTCTTCATTACAACTGATAAAAATTTTGAAATCTGGCATGGCAATAACGAAGGTTTTGTTTATCAAAGTACAATAGATCTTCCATATAATCTATCGTATGTAGAATTCTCAGGGCAAATTGGTCAGTCCTTATATTTGGATGTAGAACTAACAGGAAAAATGGATTTAATTTTGCCATTGTGCTTCGACAAACTCTGTACAAACAGTACTATCATGATATACACCAGCGATGGTTGGCATAATTTGCCAATAAACTTTCGGGATAATGAAAACTCCTTATGGGGTTTCATTCCCGGAAATGGCCAACCTTATACTGATACAATAACGTTACGAGGTGGAGATTTTAACATGGATGGATATCCAGATTTACTGGCTACCTTATGCTCCAATCAGCGGAAGACGTCTTTTCTATTATTAAACGTACCATGTAGTATTTGTGGAACGTTCAACAGAACATTCGAGGTTCGCTGGAATGCTTTGAATCCATTTTACAACGCAACGGTAATGGCAACCTTCTACGATTTCTACCAGGATGGTATTCTTGACGTGATACTTGTAGGATTGGACAAGAATACCGAGAAATATCGTATGATGGCATTTAAAAACAGTTTAGATTATGATGCTAATTTTGTGAAGGTGATGGTTCTCACGGGACTCACGAACAGTATGTATCCCATATCACCAGGTACTTTAGGCCGTAAAAAACGGACTTATGGTACCAATTTACCTGGACCTTCCATCGCTTATAAAACTACTACTCAGAATGGTAACCCACGTAGCGCAATCGCAGCGCAATTACCGCAAAGCGCTCATTTTTCATTAAATCTACCATTTACAACATTTGGCTTGGGTAGAACACCAAATTTTGTTGACACTCTTACAATTGGAGTAAGTATAATTATCACAACTTGTCTATAATTCATGTAAACGATAAATTGACTGTGTCCTTTTTATAGGTTAGTGGAAAATCCCGAGAGTGGCCCCAAATCATTCCTAACTCCCAAATGGTAGTGATTCCTAATCCAATAGGAGAACCATCAAAATGGAAAGCACAGCTTTTTGTGACACCCAGTAAATTAATCTTATTAAGCGTGGCCGCGCTGACTGGAACGTGTGGTTTAATATCTGCCATTATCATGGGTCTTTATTGGAAGGAGAGGCGAGAGGATAAAATTGAAAAATTGCAGGAGGCACACAGATTTCATTTCGATGCGATGTAGATCTAGGAATTTAGGATACACTATTGTGATTAATAATATTTCATTAATAAAATCCGTCTATAAACCACGTACATAGTTATTTTTTTTAGTGGTGAGAATTTATGTATGTATATGTATACTTATATGACTATCACTGGTTTTTTTTTTTAACATGTATTACGAAGTAGTGATAAAATTGACAATTTTATTAATTCTCGTCTTGGACTTTATCGTATATAAAACAGGACTTCATAATATTTCACAATACGATCGAAGCACAATGTGCATTGTACAGTAAATAATCTTCACTTGTGTGTTTGGTCGCTTTGCGGCGTATGCCCGCTACGTGCATTTCAATCCACGGGGACACGTTATTGACAACGATCATTTTTTATGGCTGGGTTCAAATCATTGAAATACGAGTGTGCCATAGCTTCGTCTGCCGATAATCTCAATGCTGGATTACAGACCAATAATCTCTGTAAAAATTTATGAAGATATAAACAAGTAGATGTAAGAAATTAAAAGTAGTGTAAATATACCTGAAGTAAATCTTTTCCTCTGGAAGTTAATTTTGGTGTGACTTGTGCTAATCCTTGAGTAGGATGGTACTGAGGAAAGGGTTTATAATCAGGTAAGGTAGTCAAATCTGGCCATGTCTCTTCCGTCGGCGTGCCTAGCATCTTAAAAATTCTTTTCAACTGATCATCTACATCAGATCCAGGAAAAAGTGGTCTACCTGCGTTAGCTAATTCTGGAACAAATATGTTTACAATTGTTACAAGGGTAAATTTAATATAATTTTATACTTTGGTCTTAGCATTTTACCAGCAAATATGCACCCTGCGCTCCACATGTCTATGGATGTTGTGTAGAGCTTGGCACCAAAAAGGACATCTGGAGGACGGTACCATAATGTTACTACTTCGGCTGAATAACATTTAACTGGAATTCCAAAAGCTCTTGCTAACCCAAAATCAGCAAGTTTCAGCTCTCCGTTCTACAAATAAACAGTAATTCTAAATCTGTCATGATTTTTTGCTCAGCTATCATTAACATACCTTGTTGATGAGTAAGTTCTGGGGCTTGAGATCTCTGTGTAGAACATTCCTACTATGGCAAAAGGCCAGTCCTCGCAATAATTGATACCTACAATCCAATATGCATTAGAAAAATTTAAAAAATTAATATTGATTAAATTGTGACGTTATCAATAAATATAAAAATACTCTCGTACAGGAACGATTTAACAACATCCAAGTCAATCTCTCCATTGAGACTGTCGAAATATTTTTTAAGGTCCTGATCACAGTGTTCAAATACTAGAGTGAGTTTCTTATCGCTATGAAGCACATCGTATAGTCTAACAATATTTTTATGCTTTAACTCCTTGAGCAAGCAAATTTCTCTAAGTGCAGATGATGGAACACCCTGAAAATAATAAGTCCAAACAACCAAATTCAATTCCCATAACAAATATCCATTTACCAGAATAAGGTAGCTCAACAATGCTACTGAGTCTTACTGAAAACACAAATAAACTACCTCGTCGTCTTCATCCAAACGAACCCTCTTCAGCGCAACAATCTCATGTGTTTCACGATTTTTCGCTTTAAAAACAGTGCCATAGGTGCCTGAAAATAAAGAAAAAGTTAACTTAACAATGACAGTTTTACAGAAAAAGCGACTTGTCAACCTCGAAATCACTAGTCCCGGCTACCCGATCGTTCATAAAGAATTTACAAACGAGAAAGGAATGTCATCAAATCGATTAAAAAAAAAATAAAATACTTAATTACATACCTTCTCCTATTTTCTCGAGCTTCTCATACTTTTGCATATTTTTAGTGAAATTACGGGCGGAACGAACGCACAGTGGTTAACGCTGCGCAAGCTGGCTGTTTGGATGCTTCTTTTAGATATTCAGTCGAGAATCATAAATGGCTCAATTGCGCAAGCTCCAGCAAGCTCACTATTGAATCGGCAATAGTCGGTGACATTCGGTAACAGTCGGCAACTATCGAAACACCCTATATAGTAATGACGGTAAAAAAACAAATAAGATATATTTCCTATTTGCTGACAACGCGTCATCGCGTATTGGTAATGTAAATATAGGCTAAAATCCTATCAGTGATTCGCCCTAGATGGATTAAATGGATAAAGATGATCCCGTTACTACTACGGCTTTTCAATAGTATTATTATAACCCTGATTAATCTTACTATCACGCTATACACCATTAACAGAGTTAGTACCCAATTTGATAAATCCTCATAAAGGTCTATATAAACTATTAAACATTACTTATAGTTTTTCCATACGATGCGAGCGCATTACAAGATGATGGCAGAAGTGGCAGAGTTCAATGACATTGTAAAACTTAAAAGAAAATGTCTTCCAAGCAGTGCGTACTTTTATTACTAATAAGATTTTACAGGTACGCCAATCTCGTTCGAGCCTTGAATACATAAGCTCCAATGTGTCAGAAGCGATGAAGGAGGTTATATAACATTTTAAATACATTTTTTATCGTATATCATTCACGTTACTTTCACATTAATAAATTGTTAACATATCTAATGCATATAGATTGAGGACGATATCGGCAAGGAACTCGAGATCACTCGCAACCTTACGAAATTGAACTCCAAGATGTCCCTGATGCTCGGTAGATTCAATACCCTGGAGGAAGAAGTAATAGAGGTTGGTGCAACATAGTTTCGACATACACAAACTTACTAAGCACGTCACTTCCTTATTTATAGCTGGTGCGCATGGATTGTAATATGGAAAGCGTGAAAATCGAGACTCCTATCGACATCAACGAAGAGGTGCAGAAAGTCCTGGCCTCTAAAAAAACTCTTGAACCTCCTACGACACCGAAGAAACTACGAATTTCTACAACCACCTTTCTAGGCACTAGAGAGGCACTACAGCAAAATCCTATCTCGAAATTCTCAGCACCTCAGACGTCGGTTCAACTGATTGCAGCCAATGATAATTCAACTGGATCAAATGTCATACCTAATTAATCAGCTCCTCAAGACATAGTAGACCCTTGGGACGTTATATGAAATTCTGAATAAAGGATGTCTCTTTAATTAGGCTGTCATCCTATGGGAATTATAGTGAGACAAGATATACGTCTGGGCTATGGGGAAATACAAGACAAAGTCAGGCATTCTCGTATTCAGTACTGTCACGATGGTGCTACAGCATAATACAGGTATCGCATTACCAGGTAAACAAGTCAGAAACTAATTGGAATGTTAAGGGTGAATGAATAGCGTTAGAAGTATCATAGATAGTTCTAATCAGTATCCGGTATCTCTTATTTCCGAGAATCAATCCTGTGCAGCAAATATTGCGGTAGGTTGGTCTACCCGGTATAGTTCAGAGTCGCTATTAAAAAAAGCCTCTACGGAGAGAAACGTTAACTCGTGTGCACGTATTCTCAACGTCCACCATAGGAACGGCTGAATCGCGTGGTAAATAATTATCGGAAGACACATCAAAGCACCATTATCGACAATTACGGTAGCTGCCGGACGCGCATGCGTCTTTTATGAAATTTCTCTGAAAACAGATATATAGACACATCTGCTGCACTTCATATACCGTGCACGACTACGTATGACGTTCGAATGAATTACACAAGCGTCCAGTATGAAATTCGACATTTTCAAGAGACCAGAATGCATAAAGGCGATAACTGCGGTTACGGTGCGAGATAAGAGAATTTAATTGGGAGTAAAGTCAACGTGGGTATTCCGAGGAAAAAAGTGTCAAAGGAAATAACACAAGGATATAAAAAGAGTTTTAGGGGCCAACGTAATCGAATTTAATTTATACGCTTTTATTTGTCTCTCGATAAAATAAAAATGTCTTCGCAGTTATTTATTATCGAGTCTCCTTCGAGAGAGCAGTGATATAGATTTGTGAACAAGTTAATTAAGGAGATCCAAATTGAGAATTTCTGTAGTCCTATTATAAGGATATCTGATGTTTATACAAACATCAATCGAGGATATTTCACTTAACTGATATTACAGAATGGTAGCTGGTTCTACTTTAATAGACTTTGTTCCTTATTCAGTTATTCAATACTGTAGACATTTCGTAGCAATTTAGATGATTGTGGATATACTTAGTTGAGGGGTCTCTACGTCTAAGTATCTTTCTATCTCAATTGTTACTCTATCGTAAAGCGTATCTATGAGAATAGAACGATTGATCCTATGACATTATAAGGTTCTCGATCGATTTTCAAAACAGAGCAATTAACTAATACTGCCTTTTATTCTATCATAATCATTACAATCGTTGTCAACGCAATAAACGGGAAGAGATCATCGCTCAAGGCAAATGATTCATCTTTCATCTATCTATCCAGCCATACGCACAGAGGATGGCTTCATATTTTCATCAAGGAAACAAAGAGTCAACCGATTAATTCTCATTAACGGGACGAAGGTACATTCATATCATTGACTCTGACATAATTAGTGCTTTCGAATAATTCATAAGACACATTAACACCTAGAATACTGGAGCGGTCTCCGAAGGAGTCAAGGGAGAAGATGGATTTTACAAAGAAAACAAAAAAAGGTAAAGAAATACATAAATAATTTTGAAAATTAATTATATAGTTATTAATAATAAATTATTAACTACCTCGTCTTAGCGTGTACGACTATGGTATAGTATTTTAGTATCTACTGCAGTGTACTGATTGTGCTAATACATTGGTATCCAATTGTTCTCAACAGCAACAAACGCCAGGACGAGGAACGCAAGAAATCTGACAGGTTGTAAGATGTGCTGAGATCGATAGCCTATGTTAATCCTATTTCTAGTGTTGTTCATTAACGCTGTTGATGTTGTTGTTTTTGTTGTTACGCAGGTAGGCGTCGAGGAGTCGTCGTTTGACAAAACCGCCCCAACCAACGCGGTCGATCTCGTCGAAGTTTCGTTTGACAAAACTGTCAAAACTGCTACGATCGATTTCGTCAAAGTTCTTCTTGACAAAGCCGTTGAATGCGCTCCGGTCGATCTCGTCGAAGTTGCGTTTTTGCGTGCCGAAGGTGGCGCCACTGTGAAGAAAAATAAAGGTAAAGCATAAGCATTATTGGCGTTAATTTGAATCTTTGTTTTAAAATATTGTCTTTTTTTCCTTTTTTTTTTACAGAATATTGTCTCTTTGGTAGTCATCGTCATTACGAAGTCCCTTTAGTGAGAGACAAAATAAGAATATCAAATAAAGCCGAAGCCAGTCCAATGCTCGTCAAAAGGGTAAATCTTTGATCTTCGTGATTCACTGAATTCTGTTCGCTTTAATACGCTGAATGCGTGGGAGGCAATAATTTTACAGATATTTTGGAGATAATTAGATTTTGTAAGTCGTGAATGTGTAGAGGTAATAAAATAGACATAGATTCTACCTTGAAAAGGGACTTTACACATTTCATAACGTTTAGTGTAAAATTTGTGCTCTATTTTAGTTGTGCATCCAGTGTGTAGATAAGCCGTACTGTATGGATTGTATGGAGCTTTTGACGTTATACTATGATAAACATTAAAGCTTTACTTAGAATGCTGTTCCATGAAAACCAAATACGTCTCACGCCTTCATTTCAGTGGAGCAAGACTGAAAACGCTTTCATGTATTTTCGTGAATCATTTTTAATAGATATTTTAAAAGTGGAATATACCGACTCACGAACTGAACTCGAGTGTACGTTTTATATTGAACCTGGGAGGTGAATAAAATGTTGAAATAAAATCTACTGTGACGAGTGCGTTGACGGTGGATTGAAAAGAGTCGAATAGTATTAACGTTTGATACGTTTCGAAACGGCTGAATGGTATTACACTGACGAGTGAAGAGCCGTCAATAGAAATCAATCCCGTCAAGAATAATCCGGAGACCGTTTCAATTGTCACTTATAAAATCTCTGATGCATCAGTATTTTTAAAGGCAATTCAAAAACCAAAGAGTTTGGTATAGATAAGAAAACGTGAACGAGGATGAAAACAGAAAAGTGGATTCCATTATACCAGGTCGGTTTGACATGCTTCCGCCTGAATCCCGAGCTGCATCCAACAAGAAGCAAGCATGACGTGCAATTCCCGGAGGAATTGCAGGAACTTTCAAAGATAAAGAAAGCGAGAGATAAAGAGAGAGATGGGAATGGCAGAGAGTAAGGTTCTATTGGGCATGTCTCCATAGTAAAGCGTTCCATGCACTCTGACCATGCCAGATAGGAATGTCCTGGCTAGGAGTAGGTACTAGCACTCTGGGAACCCTTCTTCGACAAGCTTTTCCTCTCGACCACCTTTTACCTTTCAACCCTGCTTCCTGTACAGGTTTAGCAATATTACGTTTCCGATGACGAGCTTTGTCTCCCCTTTCTTCTATAGACCTCCAAACATTCTTTATCAAGTGTAATGATATTCTTACTGCTTAAGGTTACTTTTCATTAATATCAAAGAAACAAGCATTGCTTTGACTGAAGTGTACGATAGGTGAATTTGACAGGAGGATTCAGAGCTAATATTGAGAAAATTGTGAAAAATTGCTAAAACTTGTTGTACCCACGTGCGTCTGTCAGGTATTAGCATTGAGAAAGGTCTTGATGTGCCTTAAGATACATTGAGTCATTGGCGTCTCCCGTTACTTACGTGTTAGGTACGAGCTGTCAGATTCCCTAGGAGGCAACCTGTTGCTTCTCTGATGCTGTTAAACTACATGATGCTTTACATAACCAACTGGATGGCTGACTGCACTTTACCTCAACATCTGTTTTATGATTGTAGATTGAACTCACCTCAGGGAGTCGAACCTCTTGTTCTCGCCGAAGGTTGCACCTGATAGGGAATCCAAGCCGCGTCGTGTCTGACGAAGAAGATGACCACCGCCGATACCATCCAGGTTACGTGGTCCGGTTCCACCTGCTGACACTGCTAAATAATAATTATTTGATTGATGATCCTTTGCTCGGAGAATAATAGCTGGAAGGAAAATAAATCTGCTAACTGTTACGTTTTCAATAGTTTATTCGTATACAGTATTACTTTTGAACAATAGAGTTAAGTGCGATTTTTTTTTAATGTATGTCTCTTCATCGATGTCATTTATTCATTCATGATTTATTAAGTCGTGCCGATCATTTTCGTACAAGGTTCCCGCCGCCGATGCTGTCCAAGTTACGAACGTGGAATCGTCCTCTAAAAGTCTGCAGGTCTCGTACAAGATTACCACCCCCAATGCTATCCAAATTACGGACCAAGTTACCACCCCCGATGCTGTCCAAGTTACGAACCAAGTTTCCACCTCCGAGGCTGTCCAGGTTGCGAACCGAATTACTACCCTCGATCCTATACAAGTTTCTCACCAGGTTTCCACCTCCAATACTATCCAGGTTGCGTACAAGGTTACCACCCCCTAGACTATCCAAATTTCGTACCAGATTCCCACCGCCGATGCTGTCCAGATTTCTTACCAAATTTCCACCCCCAATGCTATCCAGATTACGACCGTTTCTGTTTTTCCATTCTGAAATTGCAAAATTCCATGACACAGGTTGAAACAAAAATATCAATCCCTTAAATAAACATGAGCAAAAACAACAAGCAGTAATGATAAAATATCGAAGCGATATAGCTCCAATAAATTTTTACATTGAGCGACGGTAGCAATTTTTTAAATGATATGTACAATAAATTTATAAAAAATTTTACAGAAAATTAATGGATTCCAATAAACAGTCAATGTCTTACCTCTTGGCACAAAAGTATCTTCAAAGGATTGCACACTCTAATTGAGAGACAAGAACGTGATGAATACGGTCATACGAAAACGAGCATTCTGTACAATATTTACATTTTTTTCTCTCACAATTTCTTTGTCTTTAATTTCATTATGGAGCCTGATAACGTTCTGAAATCGAGTAACAAGCATTTAGTCATTCTAAAGCATGTTTCTATAGTTTGACAGTAACGTACATTTAGAATAAGGACGACATTCATCATATATTCGTATATGGCATAATGGCGCATTAACAAATAACACGGTATAAGCAGCCATTGTTATCAATAGTATTTAATGTTCTCTAAGGATTAATTCAGACCAAATCACCAAAGGCAGGCTTCGATCAATAGGCAAAATGCTTTGGGTTCAAATTATGATGACAATAGTCAAATTTTATTTTCCCATTGGTCCATGCCTGTTGCCTTCGGTGTGGAAGTCTCATAATAATTAACCAGATTAGACATAGCTATAAGTTAACTATAAAATTGGAAGGCATGTCCAATTATTCTCCTTTAAATATTGACTGATGTCATATTACCCTCATATATATGTATACATTTTCAACAAAAAGCTTTTGCGAATTAATAGTTGTAAAATTTTATTAACTTTGAAATTTATTTTATGTCAATCACGCGACAATGCCACTTGCCATTGACATTGTACTTGTTTTGAAAGCTTCAACAAAATGCACTCTCGATACAGCAATATCACAAATGCGTATAATACAAATTCGTATCACGTTTGGCTTCAAGGTAGAAAAATATTTATACAGACAAGAGAAAGCAGTCACCATATAATTATGTTGGAATCGATAGCACTGAATAATTCACGATTTATGAATATCCGTAAAGATTCTTCTTCTCTTTAAATAATATTAACAATCAAACGATGTTCTACCTGAAAAAGCTTACATAACGATAATACCGTTTAAAATTTATTTGACGAGCTCTTCGAAAAGTTTATCGCATGAATTGTTAAAAAAACGATTCACGGCTGTGCCCGAGGATCGATAACAGTTATGACAAGGCTTCAATTTTAGGTTAGAAAAATAAAATTCTGTTACCTCCCGATATACCATTATTTCTTAATATCCTATTCTGGTTCCTATAGGCTTTAAGGTGTGTTCCGATATTCGCTCCAAGCTCTATGACCATGGTTATGTCCCACTCTATTGCATGCAGGTAAACAGGGACAAGACGATATTCGTAGTAGTAGCGGTGAATTTCGGAACGTACCTTAAGTAATTCCCAAGAAATAACATAGGAATATTGTGAAGCAATATTTTTTATTTTTTATTCCATCTTATCCGACGGAATCTACTATGACACGTGGCCATATCACAAAACAAAAATCAATTTCCGTGGTAAAATAATATTTCACGATAACGACATTGTCCGAATGTATAATTATTTATCGATCCTTGTAGGTTAGGGAGACCAGCTGAGCAACAAAGTACTGTCTTGAATAAACACGATCGAAAGTTTCTGCCTGGTTTGAATATTACCCAAGTAAATAATTCAGATATAAAGACGCGATCGAAAGAAATTGTTACCCCGATATTAAGACCACATTTTCATCATCATATTTTTTCAGTAAAAACGTTATTGTTTCGGAAACGATAACGCCATGTTACCATGGCCGGTGGTTCTCTATTTATTATATCTAAGTGACTGAGGGTGCACATTTTTCACGAAAACTCGTGCTTTATAGGATCTTCATTTTTATGAGGATTATGCATATAAGTTTTCAAATCGTTACACATCATTCAGGCTGTTCGATATCATAATAAATATACAAAGAACAACCCTGAACCTGAACACGTGAGGTGCGCATAACAGACCAATGAAAGGTCGCGGATAAAAATGAGGTATGAGAAAAAAGGAAAAAATGATAAAAAGGATTATCAGTTTTACAAGAAAGATTTTATAGGTAAGGCTGGCTTTTAGTCGTTCGGTTTCTATTCGTCTTAACAAGTACCCAACGGTTTCTGACTAGCTGTTCGATGTCATCCCTAAAAATTTAATGAAACTCGATCCGACGTTATCTTCGCTACCCTGGCTGTCGAGAGTCCTTATGGTAACAGTTCAGCAGTTTCAACCTTGTTACTATAATCAAGGATTCAAGCATATATATACAGGCGTGACTGGCACGAGTTTACATATTTTTTAACGCTTGTAATTTACAACATGACGTCACGTAATAAATACTTATAATAAGTATAACAAGAATTTTATTATATACAGGACTTACCGAGAGCCTCATAATGCCTGGCCAGTGCTTCAGCAAGTTCAGGCTGAGAATAAACCCTCGGGTCGGCCTCCATGATTTCGTTTTGATACTAAAACAAAAAAAGCGTTTTTACACTAAATTATAATAGAATTCGAAAAAAAAATCCAATATTTCAATTTCAAATGTGTCACGTGCCTTTACGTACATATAGACTTGTCAATCCAAAGACAAAGGGCTAAAGAAAAAAAAAATGTCAAAAAATTTTTCTACATAGATGCTAAACAGAAAAGTAAATATATGTACATAAAAATAACCAAATTTTTTTCTTATCATTTCTCATACAGAATTCATAGGAAGGTAGTCGATAAATGAGAAAATGAAAGTCTGATATCGATCCACAACGCGAATCGATTGAAAGCTGTCGCAGTCGCATTAAAAAAAAATTCCGCGGAAAACTCAAAATAACGAATCACAAGTATCCCCAGTTGTTGAATATGTATAATAGCTTGTACCAGTTAAGACTTTCTTGGATTATATTATCGCAAAATATTTCAAGCCGTTCTCCTCGTACGCCTCAACGACTTCCTTCCATTATCGCGTTCCCGTATACAAATGGATGAAATACCTTCATTAAAAATTTAAATTCCCTATAATACCCCACGTCCAAAGCGTTGGCCTAACAATATTTATAAAGAGGACGCTATGCAGAGTCACTTTGTTTTTCATTGAGTTTCATTGAATCTCTTTTCATCCATTTTATAACGAACAAAATTGAATACAGATAATGAAGTGTTTCTATGTTTTAATTTCATATTACTATTTTTTTATTTTCGTGTTTTTTCTGTTTGTGCGCTATAAGATCTCTCTCTCCCACTCACACCCTGTCAATTCTCAATTTAACCAACTACTCGGATGTTTGCTAAAGGGTAATCGATTTCCCGCAGATAGATGCGTACCAAGTGCCAGAACCTAATACGATTGAACTGAAACATTAAAAATTTTCAATGCAGACTCGATACACGTGAGCCCTTACCAATGGACAGTTAAATCCGTAGCCTTGTTTCGGACGATCAAACCCCTACCGAGACGGTTTGTATCAGCTGTCAAGTATATCGGCCGATCAGATTATCCATGCGAAGAAAAGAAAACAGCGAATAGGTAAGATAAGAAGAAAAAAGAAAAGTAACACGCACCCCGCTGATATATGTGCATATGAATTTTCTGCGCACCCTTCATGTCCTACTGGGATACTAGAGCGACGTGGCGAGAGACAATTTATCCTAGCACGTAACTAGAAGATAAACGATAAGGGCTGGAGCGTGTCTATTCCTAATGAGAGCAATGGGTCACGCATCTCAAAATTGGTTAAAAAAATGGTTTAGCCACATTGAGCATATTAATGTGGTTGACTGTAGCTGATTATTTATCCACTTTCGTGAAGTGGATTTTCGTGAGTCAAATGAGTTTACTGGTTCAATTCACGCAGTTGAGAAGATACGATTATCATTTGGATCAATTAAATTGTCTAGTCAAGTACGTTTAACTGCGTTAATTAGTTACTTGCTAAATAGCTATTCATTATGTATGTATTGTCGAGTCAAGCAGTCTCGCAGTTCTCTGGAGTAGTACACTCTTCGAAGGTCGTCAGCTATTGCACAGTGTAGAGCGGGCTTTTAATTTGACATGAGATTAATTTCCTCCGTACGAGGAAGTGCTTTATAGACTTTTCCCTGTGGACTGCCGGAAGTGCACTAGCCATATACCCATCCGGTATCGGGGTAGTCAATAACTGAGTCGAGGAATCAAAGTTAACAGAGGGAACGAGGTATTGGACTGGTTGGTGGGAAAAAGTTAAGACGTCAGTGGTTTGTGTATTATGCAAAAAAGAAATGTTAAGCTTGACAGTTTCACTGAGAAATAAGTAGGGTAGATTCACAATCAGCGACTTCCATTTGGTCCGGGAATCATACTGTAAACATACCAGAGACACTTGAGCCTTTCGTATTTTTTTTTCCGAGTGTTTTCATGCCACTCTTATCGAGGGTCTTTCCACGATCCATAAGCACGCGCCACATTATATTCGTGCCGATAAGTGATTATAATTTTGCAAAGATATTACGATTATCGATCTATGTTCGATTCTTCAATTATCGACTCGCGTACTGAGGTATGGTGAGATCGTATTCGCAAAGATCCTTGTAAAATTTACCATTTACCCGAAATCACCCGATAAATTTAAATCGCCTGCGATTCGGTAGAAACGGTGAAAATATCGCAAACCGACCTATACGAATTAATGGACGAATGAACGAGTAAACGATACTTTGAATTGGCAATTTCAATAGCGGGAAATACCCGTGAGCTTTTACGTAAGATGATTTTCATCGTTCGTTCGTTTTATTAATATTGAGTAAAGTCAACAAGGAGAAATGTGCGTAGGAGAATAGAGTCCTGGTGAATCACGCGCCAGTCATTTATTTTCAAAATAAAATATAGCAAGAAAGAATTCTGACGAATCTCATTGTGTCTCGGATCCCTTTCTTTTTTTTTTTTTTTTGGCAAAATCTCCCGGCTATCTGGCGCCACGGCATTTCCCCACCTTTTTAGCATTTTTCATTATCACGTTTCCTTTTCCAATCTACTAGAAAGTACCTGAATAACAAAAAATCCTGATGGCACGTAGCTTATTTAATTCTGATAAAACTGATCCATGTATGCCATGCCATGTATACCCTGATAAGAAAATTGTTTATCCATCATGTTGTCATGCATGAGAAAAGTTGAATGAGAAAATTGCGTAACTCTGCCCATGTATTCGCATTACATACGTAAAATATTATATTTAATTAATTCGCACGTTTCAATTATTTCTATAATTTCAAATTCAAACGTTTCCGTATTTCTTGATATCTTCGTAGTAGGATTGATAATAATTATACTGTTTGTGATATTGTACAATAAATAAATAATGCTTCGAGTTTGCTAAGAGCGAATAAATATTTGTATATGCTGACAATCATATTTTCCAGAGTTAAAGTGCAAAGTGGAAAGCAGCCTGTGTGCATCGTGTGCAACAAGTTGGGAGAATGGAATGATGTTGCCGCTCTGAAAACTTCTGTTATACAAGGAATTTTCGAAACTTCGCCAGAGTCATATTAACCGATCATATAGCGTAGACAAAAAAAAACTAGACAATTAGAGCATAAACTTTATAACGTATAAAGTTGTAAAATACAGGAACCTCGTTTGAAAATAAATTACTCTGAGATATCGTGACTAACAGAAATGATGTAGTGATACCAAATTCTGATAAAACCAACAGTTTGAATTTACCGAGGAGAAGTTAAATTTTTTTTGTTTAGTGACTTTTTAAATTAAATCAATTCAAAAAATGTTTACGAATCAAACCTGTGCTAAGTATAAATCAAATAAACAACGTTTACTCAAACGTTTACTTAAAGTATTTGCTTTGATTAATTAATATGTACGTGACGTAATTAATACTTACTATTAATTTATATATAATTTATATGAACTACGCGTATTGTCCCTTTGAAGCTAAATTTGATTGGACTGACTATAAACTCAGCCAGGAAACGCATGTACTTTAAATTGCCTAAAAAATGTATTAAGATGATACCTTAAAACCAAAGCTGAATACCTTCCTTACTTCATTTTAATTGCGTGTAATAGATTTCAAAATGAAATATGACAAACTGAAAAATTGCTTAAAACTTACCTGTGTCGGTGCAGCATAAATGCAGCCGGCTACTGCAATCAGAAAGATTGCGCTGATTGGAGTGACGATTCCAAAACGTGACATGGTGCACATGATAGTTGATCCTGAGGAAGGTTGTTCTTCCCTTTCAAGAGAAAACGGGCTGGCGCAGGGATGTCGTGGAATTTGACACTGACTACTCAATGGGGTTGTTGGTGGTTGGTCACAGCGTGCAAACGCGTGGAGAGTGCAGTGTCGGGGTCGCGTGTTTCCCCGAAATATATAGTCACTAGCGATGAGGGTGAAACGACGAAGGGGTACCAGAGTGCGCGCGCACGCACGACCTCTTCACGATTAGATATGACTTGCTACGCACTCCGATGGATTCTTATAACTTTTGAATGGTCTAATTGCCTTGATATGATTTTTCTGAAATTTAAAATATAATAATGTTAATTAAATATTATTTATAATGACAGTCAAAAGTAAAGTTACACATGGCTGTGCATAATTTATAAATATTTTTCAAATACTTACATCCTGTGGATACCTGATCTCTTACCTGTCGATTAGACACGATCGTTGCTCTTAGTCTTATCCGAAGGATGTGACGTCACATTTACAAATTTCCAGTCTACAGCCGGGAAAGAAGATGGAAATGGCAACTGGTCCAGCGTGGGCGAAAGACACGATATGATTGACGATAGGTGATGGAGCAATTTTCTTTTAACAGATAAAAGGAAGTCAGGGAAGCAACTCGAATTGAGAAGGGAGGATGCAGTTAAGAAAATACAGAAGAAAGGATATATCTTTACGTTGGTTGATTAATGGAAATTATTCGGAATCGTCAAAACCGTACGACCCTGACCAATTTCCAGGGGTCGGTGAAAATGAGGCAGTCTGATGATGAAATTTGAGACTAGGACCTTGAAGCACCCTCGCTATTCTATGACGTTTTCTTTTTTTACATATAGATATATCTATCTAGTGTATATGTATATATATTCATATAGAATAGGAAAATTCTAAAGAATCCTACAAATAAGGGCTGTGTGGTTTTTAATATTACTAGATTGGTAGGCGGTTGACCAAGCTTTTCAGCAAATCCCTATAGGATTAGCTGTAGATTTATATCGTTAGTTTCCTGTCGTTCTATCTAGCGGTCATTAATACGCGATACGTTACACGTACGTTTAATTAGTATCTAGCACGATATATAGATATATTATCTTGAAAATTCGCAGTAGCGGGTATAAAGGTATTAAACTATGAAAAAGACAAATTCCATGTTACACGTTGGTAGAAAGATCATTGAAGGTATTGATCTCTCGCAATCATTATCTCACTTCTGCCAGCATCGTAAATTAATTGAAATTTTCTTCTCGCTTTCTCTGCATTCTTCCTTTTTGTTTACCCGTCATCCATGAGTTTGCTGGCGCGCATTACTTGACTCTCTTTTTGATGTTCTTTGATTTTAGTCACACCTGATAGCGAAAGGGAGTCTTCCTCGTGAAAACAAATCATCGTTTTATTATTATATTAATTAGAGCGGCATTGACGTCATTCGAATTAATTACCAGTTGAATTAACTGCTCATTAATATTATATAAAAAAAATAATCCAGTAAGATTCGGGAATGAGCGAATTTTACACGATCGTGTTGAATTCGAAATTACCTGGACAAGTAAAACTGAAGAAAAATCGCACGAGGCACGTGGGAGCTTTACGGACGATGGGAAAAAAATATGGCACCGTCCAATCGATCCGTGTTGCTCATATCTGGTGCGGAAAATTCTCTTGCCCCTGTAAGTACAGTTAAAGGTAAGCGTCTAAGTTTCATATTTGTTTAAATATCAAGAAATAACACAAAGTGAGAATACGTGAAACGATTTTTGTGATAACGCAAATAAAATTCCTGCGAATCCCACATAAGAATCGAATCGGCGCGAAATTGGAAATACGTACAACTACAAAAACAATGATTGTCCATTATGAGTGTTTATCGCAAAATATTTACAGAGAATTTTCATGTACAATTTGTATTTGAATTTTTGACTTGAGATATTTTCCGGAAAATACATATCTTGACGTCACTATACCACATGTACTATATATATACGAGTAGAAGGGTAGGGTTTATCGATAGCACGGAAGAGTCGCTCCCATTATAACCACTTTCGAGGCTTTGTCACTAATGGATAGAGACTTTGCATTTCGTTAGTTTATGTACAGCGATAGATAAGAAATTATGCAAAATTCTCACGAAAAAGTCAAAAATACCATTGATGTGATCTTTACAGGGATTCAGAAGAAAATCTTATGAGCATTTCAGATATGCCTCAGCCAAGAATGGACCACTCTATTCTGCCTACCTATTAATGGCTATCAGGTGTCTTTCTTAATGGATTCTTTGTATAGGAGGTGAATATTGTTCAGAGTGACGTAAGACTGCGCATCTCCTTTCATCTTGTTTTGTATAAAAGCCCATGAAACTTTGACTCATTCACTTAGTTCATCCCTGAAGCTGACCACCAGCAACATGAAGATCCTGATAATCACTGTAAGGAGGAAAAATAATTAACGTTAAATAAAATTACGATATTTTATAACTAATTTACGTTTTCAGGTTGCATTATTGAAATTGGTGGTAGACGGTGAAAGTTTTCTAATAGAAGAACCCTGGGATAACAGTTACATCTTTGATGACGATGTGTCCTCGGCACGAGACGAATGCATTCAAGGATTGTGTCTGCCGTTTAATGAAAAGCGTAACATCATTTCCGGAGAATCTAGAAGAGGATTACAATCAAGGCCAGAGGTAAAATTATTTCTTTATTATCGTGTTTTGTGGAATTTGAATACCTTGGTCGGATCATTGATATCATTCGTGCATTGTAGAACTATTATTATACTTCGTCGTTGTCATCGTCATCATGCACCTGCTGCACGCAGGACGGGGAGGTGGATCTTGGCGAAGGACACTTTCCGAGAATTCTGGCAAAAGGGGAGTGCGAAGAACATTCTTCTACTCCGTTTAAACAGTGCGAAAATATGAAATATACAGTGAGATTTTTAAAATTGTCACTTTTTACTTGAGTACCAACCTGATAGTTACTGTCACTCAACCCATAATTATTTATTGATGCTTGATTTCAGGTGTACGTTTTGAAGCGACTGGGCTCTAATAACAGTACTGAAGTGAGCGACATAAAATTCGAAAAAATTAATCCTGTACCTGACCTCCTCTATGGAAACTGGCGGCTCGCATCAATGGTAATCAACGTCGCCTGTAAGCAGGTGAAGAATAAGCAAACCTGAAATTTGGCAAATGTTCTTGTATCATTTCTATAGTGTATTCTGTAATTTGTGACGAATAAAGAAACAATGCAAAGAGACACGAGTGTCTTCTAAGAATATTGAATTTTGTCCTATTGTTACTACAGAGCAGTTAAAGAGTGAGATATAAAAAAATGAGAAGTCCATCAACTGGATATAAGAGAGATTAGAGGATCACAAAGTGTCTACGGAAGAACGAAAAAGAGAAATCAAAAAAGTGATTCTGCGTGGTCCGAACATAGAAGAAAAGAAAATAAAGAACGTATAAAAAAGGGGAGTAACCAATTAAGCAGAAAAGTGGTAGGAGCGTGAGTGAATCGCTTTAGGGTCGTCGTGTAAAAAAAATGAGGGAGGTTAGATTGTACTGGGAAAAGGAGTTGAAGGTGACGCAGCACGTGGCTATCAAGTCTTTTTGGAGATAACCAGAATAATGGGTTCTGAGATTTGATTTATAAACATAACCTACAAATATTGCCCTCTGTCAAAGTAATTCAAATTCATTTTCCTGTATTCCCATAATTCAGTCCACAATAATTCCGTCGCTGTCGTGACCATCTTCAATCACTTCACCAAATAACTCTATAGAAAATTGATCGAATGATTTTCGATGGCTCTTTAATGCACCGTCGTTACCCTACGGCTCCTTGGCACGGCACTCAAGACTTGATACACATATATTCTATGCTGAGGGTCACAAAATTGTTCAGGTAAATCTATTCTCATTTAAATTACTTTTCATCAAGAGAAAGAATAGACCTAATTATATTCAAACCTATGCTTATTGAAAACTGGATTAAAAAAGTCGTATCGTGTAACATAACCTGTCCCACCTGTCAAAGTTCCTCGCCTGTGTACATTTTTCATCTGCGATGCTATCTACAGTGCATATAGGGATACGTATATCAAGAAATACCTTTATACTTCCAGTGTTAAGTGTGCAGATCTAGTATTCTAGCCGCTAGAGCAAAATATATACAAGCTATATCCATAAAGACGACAAGCGACTAACCTCAGGGGGAGTTAGATGAGGTTGAGTGAACCCCGTGTACACGGAAATCCACTAGGTTACTGCAGTCTAGTCCTAGTGAGAAAGAGGTATGAAGAGTCATGTAGTATATGTAAGTATACGTATTTACGTCACATATGTTGTCACCCTGAGAATTCAGTTATTTATGGTTAAACCAATGCGGAAGGCGTCTACCTGAAATAGCACTTGTGACGGTGAAACATTCGTTTAGTAAGTCTGTTTGATTACGCGGGGATGAAATTGAAACGTACCAAAGGAAAAAGAGAAAGGGCTGGATATTGAATAAAGGTTTTATTCGCAGACGGAAAAATGTAAGCAGATTCGTTGTTTACATCTGCGTTCCGTAAGGCCTTTTTCAGACGATATGACTTTACGCCGTGTCCGGTACTGTGCGGTGCATACCGAAGGATGGGTCGTCGAGCTAACGGCGCGAAATGCTACGGCACTGCTTCGTGCCGTCCCCTGTTCAATTCGATTGCTTTCGTCTCGGTTGGTTGCATTCACTGTACTAAATTGTTAAAAAGTATGATAGCGACTCTGTTCGATGGACGGCAAAGAATCGGCATGTGTGAACACGTCCGTTTAGCGCTGTGTAATTTAAAGCTGTGGACGCCGTTACGCCGTGCCGGATTGAATTGGACGCCTTGATGGCAATAGCAGCCGTCCACGACGTACGTCGTTGCGTGTGAAGCACCCACCCAGAACACTTATAATTATTTCTAAGTACAACGCCGTGCCGTGTTCGGCGCACGATGAAAAAGCTCAAGAAAAGAAAGGATTTCTTTGAACGTGAATCAAGCAGCCTGTCTTACCGACAGTTAATCTCGAAGAACAGAGAATTAATATATAGACAAAGATTTGTCCTCTTACTAATTAAAATTTGAAAGGAACACCGAGTTTTGAATGGGATCAAGAAGAAAATTTCAAGAGATTTTATTTTGATTTACTTGACTGACTGAGTACTACCAATCGCCATTAACTTTAACAGTGAAGAGTTATCTTTTGCCTTCTGGGTATCAACTCGGTTTTTTATGGGCCAGTTCAGCACTCTCGATGACGTTTCTAATAAAAACTGAAGAGGTCCCTATCCCTCCCTTAGCTGAGTAAACATTGATTCACCTCAAAGAAAGCTAATCGAGGAAAGTTAACGATTTAGAATGAAAAAGCTGTACTTGAAAAGTTTTACGCAGTTCCGAATTACTACCTATGGTATGTACAACATTCTTCCGCTATGGGCTGAGCATTGTTTGCTCAAGTATTTCAGTGAAAGCGTCATCCCTCGATAGCGTCCTATCTGATCCCTCGATTGATTAAGCTCGCTTAAAAAGCTTCAGGGTTCCGCGCGTCCGATACTTTCATCGTGTAAGCACTCCTATCGTGTTTGTATTTTAGCCTCAACAATATTGCCTCTCAGCAAGTTGCCGTCGGTTACGCAGTCCACCTGCTACTATGCTATACGTACGTGTAAGATAGAGAGATAGAGACAAAAAATAGATAGAGAAAGGACTAGACTGGTCACCATACCAAACCTATAGCATCGCACTTCTCTTCGAGTCCCACGCCCTAAAGATTTCCCTTGGCCTCTCCGGCATTCTGCTCAGTGGCCCTCCACTGTATTCTAGCCATCGATACACACTGTCCACCCTGGATATAGCCACTCAAGCCACTGTTTACCTTGTAGCTGATCTTTCATTTACTTTCCAGTGGGCGTAGACTTTCCAACCACTCATTGAAAGGACTATTCGATACTCTACGCTTATTCCATCTATGTTAAATCAACACGTAAATTAATGGATTCCTTGATGTTTGAAAATTTATTATTAATTATATAACTATTTTTGAACCTTCGAACGACCCTCGAGAAAATCCTTAATCCTGGGGGATTAAAGATATCACAAGGATTTGCAGACGTTTTAAATGTCCTGTCCTCGTCCAAGGAAAGGGCTCGTAATTGTCCTTGGAAAAATGCGGGCGTTCCCTTGAAGTGGCCTTTGGGGTGCAATGCTTATACGTTGACTTCTTTCATTTTTTTTATTCTTTTCTGTACTTTCAGTCGAGCTATCTTCCATTTTTTTTCCTTGTAACGTTCCGCTTTCGAGCTTCTAGTTTAACTGGAACGCTCTTGCAGTGCTTTGGCGTCGTTTCCGGAATTAGGTTTGTTTGATTTACTTTTTTCTCGTTCTCTTGCACAATAAATAAATTGTATGCAACCGTGTGACAAGGTTGTTCTACGCGATTTACCTGTTGCAGTTCACGAGCAATGTCAAATGTTAATCGTACATTACTTATGGATGAGTTTACAAATGAGCATGCCGATCATCTGATGTTATTATTACAGACCGACTGAATATAACACAACCGTTCATAATGCTTGACATATATAGAACTCGATTTTTATTCTGGAATTATATGTGCTCTGATCAGTAATTTTCTTAATAATTCACGAACCCGCGCTTGAATTGTGTTTTGTGAGCTTGAGATGAGAAATTAAACAAAAGGCAGGAATTGAATTACGAAAGCAATCACGATAACGTAATATAATATACGTTTTTAATTAATCTGATAATTTATCTGCTTTTATCTTCCTTATTTAAATTAATATAAACCCGCGCTTATCAAATCTCAGTTGCTACCAACTTTTTTATAAATCCATAAGCTCTTTATCTTTTTTCTTTCCTTTGATAAAATAATCAATTACAGTCAGTCGGTATAATAGAACTTTCTATTTTCTGTTGTTATCGACCATCGAATATGCAGTGACATAGATTTAACGACAGCGGCAGCACCAATGCACATGTTTCGCCCAGTTTGCATCATTGTCATGTTTAAGTAATGCGTATTAAGTTTCTTCTAGAGAATTAGTTCAATTTGAAGGAGTGTAAATATCATAAATTTGACGTTTGAACGCTGTGCAACTTTGTTTCATCGTGGCCCATTTAAAAATCGGTGAGTTCAGCGTTTATGTGTACATATACGCATGCCATATTGATTTGTGTTGGGGCCATATTACTGAAATAGAAGTACACTGGACTCGTACGATAGGGGAGAGAGAGCAACGTAGAGAGGGGGAGAGAAAAATAGCGTGAAGAAAAAAGGCCAATGTAGTATGTTGTCTCTATCGCACACTGTATAGTCTCTTAAAAAGTTAATGGTGTTAAAAAAAAAAGTATTGCTTAAAGAGACAACTGGGGAGGCCTGCTTGGTAATTGTTTGTCGAACAAAATTATGCAAAAATGAAACTTTACTTCATCCAAAATTCTACAATGTGCATGTGATGTGTTAAAGCGTTTTGTCGGAGCTAAAATGTCACCGGTGCGACATTTTTGCTGGGCCTGTATAATACATGCGCAATTTGGTTCGAATAGGAAAACATACTACAGAGTATGAGTGAGATCCTACCTTTCTTTTCGTTGTGGCTTTTTCCTTCAATGAGGTGTACCACGTGTTAGTGAGATAGTAGCGACTCACGGGGTTACCCATAGAAAAGAACAATATACTGACGTAGAAGATCGCTGGACATATCGTCTCTCATCCTTGCTTAGGTTTAGGTTCGTGATTACAATTCTTGATCGCTAGCACTCGCTAGATATGGGCCCTTTTAACGCCGTTTGTCATTGCGATTTAAAACGCATGACGTCTTAGAACAAGGTTACATTTGTTTCGTAACTTGTAACAAGTGCAATAAACGAGCAATAATGTTTCGTGTTTCCGTATTTGGACAAGTTGGCAAGTACCTATTAATAATTCCTTATAAAATTTTCTTTTACTTCAAACTATTTGTTTTTTAAATTTTATTATTGATACTATTACCTATTAGAAAGAAAGAACAATAAATAGAATGTATAATAATAGTTTAATTTGCATAAACAAATTTGTTAAGAACACTGCAATTTTTAAAAAATTAAGTAAAAGAAGTTTGAATAATCTAAGTTTTCAACTTTTGACAAACTTTTGCTATTTGGATTTCTCATATGGACAATACAAGCAAGTATTTATTTTCATTTGATAACTATTATTCTAAAAAATTATTTTATTCTTTGTTAAGAACATTATTCTAAAGTCAAACTGCTCTTTTTTTCATGCTTGTTTCAGGTTCAAAATTTTTGCCTGCACAGGCTGAGGGAGTGCTGACTGTCCTATTTATGGATAAACTATAAGATAGCATAAAGGAGTGCGTTATTCAGCCAACCGATGGCAAATACTTGCGATGTGTAATTAAGAAAACCAACCTGTATTTCTGTGATTTCTGAAATGAAGCTATCAAAGTACTGTTAAGTATTATTTTTGTGAAATCCACAGGGACACACTTTGTACTGCCACCTTTTTCAAGATGGATTCACATCCTTGATGCATTGAACGTTTTGTGGGGAAAATTAAGGAAGGCAGGCCTCAATTTTCTATTACTCTGTAATATTAACCAAGATAGATAAAAAAATGTTTTTCTATGAAGTCAGAAGCTAGGGTATTAGAAACATTAATCCAATTTGTTTACAAGAAATTTTCTCATATTAGAGCTTTAGTAAGGAAACGGTATCAGTAATTCAACAAAAAAATTAAAAATATCTGTAAGAAGTAATAATAATTGTAACATATGTACCTGACAATACTATCAATAACGGTGTATTAATAGCTTACTTATAGTTTTAATAAAATCATTGCTAATGTTTTTGTGATTTGCCTTTCAGAAAACGCAATAATTGTAATATATAACGAATTAACGCTATATGCATTGAATATCGATTATCTGTTGAATGGACACCACTGTAAAATTCAACAAATCGATATTTTATGCATATGGTGTTTATTCATTTCTAAATCATAAATATTTCACTATAAGTTTAAATCACGCCCTAAAAAAGTGAGTCTCATGACTACGTACACACGTTTGCAGTATTCCCTCCCGTTCCTTATGATTGTATCCCCAATGAAGGACATGTGCCAGATTTCAGCAACATTGTCACAAATATCATTTGGCGACAACCAAATATAAGTAGGAAAATGCTCAATGCTACGATTTTAGGCAATACCAAAAGCGTGGCGCCAAATCGTAGCGGCGAGTCCGGGAGTAACATTTTGTGATCATCGCCTCCGTCGATAATGCATCAGCCATGGTAGCCAAGCTGAACGTGATCACGAACGCAAAGCTTGGCGGGCAGAGGTTCTCAGCTACTTACTGCTGGTTCCTAGAGCAACCCTTTGAACGAGGTCACTCGTCAGATATTGCCTAAAAAATTGTTTTTCTTTGCATTCTTAAGTTCGAGCGCACAGTTTAAGCTCGATAAGGTTTACTATGACAAAAGCCAGCACCTTATGCCTATCTGCACTAGCAGAGGAGTTAGGTTCACACATACTCACGAATATGAAAATGTTAACATATTCGTGGTACATATTTCAAAATATTTCAAAATTCTCCATACTTACGATATGATGGTGCATTTGATAATTCATACTTTTAATTTACTCTTCTGATAACATATCCAAGAATCTGTTTTGACACCATAATGTAAAATCGATGCTTTAGTACTTCTATGAACGTTGAACGGCAGCACCGTCCCTGTGATTTGTACTTCTGTACGTTATATTAACCGTATAACGAATTTTAGGAAAGTTTTGATCCCTGTCTATCCGTAAGTAAAATTGTTTAATATAAATATAAATGGAATGTTATAAGATCATAAGGTTCACTGTATTTTTAAGAGAACTTACTAAAAGGCGCTCCATTATCTTAGTATCCGTAAAGGCAGCTCATTGAGGAAACGAAATGGGATTGCTGTGATAGAGAGCGCCGCCTGCTTTTATATCCTTACTGTGAACTCTATTTTCTCAATTGAACCAGCTAATTGAGACTCCTCCGGATAAAGAAAACGTAGGTAGTTACTCCTGTTGCAGGGTTTATTGTTTATCTTCAGAGAAGTACATGTACATGCGATATAGCGGGGTGGTTTTGACGTATTAAATACATTTTTTCTAATTAAGTTATACGAATTATCTTAAAAGTTGTCAAATCAAAATTCAAATCTAATAACTCATATCGAATAGAGGTATTACTTAGCGACAAGCTAAAAGGTACATGCTGGCTCACGCCATAACTCGGCATATGATTCATATGTTACATTTAATATTAATGTACACTTAGATAAAAATTGCACAGGTACAATATAAGTTATAAAGTAGGAAAGTACACGCGTATAGAAAAATAATAAAAATATGTGGCTCCTTAAAACGTAGTTGCGATAAGATAATTTTTAATGTCGTACAGCATCGTCTACACTCTGAATCAATTAATGGGGACAAGACACAGGAAATTAAATAAATATAAGAATACAAAGCTGGTACGAATCTACGTAATAAAAGAACTAGACGTGTCCTCGTATATGCGTGTAGGACGAAGAGAACAACAAAACTTCTCTAAAAGATAATATAAATAAATTTAATGAAGGGTGCAGGCGGGCCCCCCCATCTCATTATAAACACTCGTACGCGTTATCGCCCAGCGTCATCGCCAGGCTACCACACGGATCTTCGTAATCGAAATTATCAGCCATTATGCAACAGCGATTCCGTCACAAGAATTTCGATCTTCGTCGCGCCGATACGCAATATAATTTGTATGCTCGGAGGACGATACCTGTCTGCTATAAATTTGTATTACACAGCCAGAATAGCTAAAAAAAAAAAAGCAATTCTTCGTTCTCTTACTCGTAAATAATTCAAACATTTCAAATTGCATGCAATATTTATTTGAAAGTATCCTTTTCAAAAGTGTTTCCCTCATAATAATGATTTTTTAAATTTCACATAAAGTTCCTTTTATTTCTATTTTTTCTTTATCCATATCTTTTTCTATCGCTCTGACAAACGTTCATAAAATATTTCCCTTGATTTGGATTTTCTACAATTTTAATCGTTCCCCCACCACTTTACTACTGCGCGCCGTATTACGTTCGGACGAAGCATTGCGATATATCCTGGCTTAACTTTTTTTTTCCTGAGAATAATAAACCCTCTTCGGCCGTTGCACCCTTCCTACGCTATACTAGGGAATAAATAGAAATTCATAGCTCGATTAAGTTATCGGTAATTACGAATAGATAAAGTCTGGATGCGCGCGCACGTGCGTACCATCATTATCGTACCGTAAGTAACATACTGTCCAATACTACTGGTCGGTTATTCAGTAACTCTTTTTCTGCACCATAATTACCATGCGAGTCAGAAGCTGCGTGATTATCGTTATTCAAGAATTTTGATTAATGTCAAAAATGAAATAATAACAACACGATCGAGTAAAATCATTTACAATAAGGATTGATTATCGATCTCAACCCAGCACGATTGTGGTAACGAAAAAAAAAAAAAAAAAAAAAAAAAAAAAAAAAAAAAAAAAAAAAAAAAAAAAAAAAAAAAAATCAACTCTCGACGTCCAATTCGCTAAAAGGATGCCGTTCGTGGTTGTTATTGTTCTTGCTGGTGGTTTTTCTGATTCTGGTTCTTGTTAGTGATGGTTGGTGGCTTGTTAACTGTTAGTCTATGGACGTGGCAGCTGAATCGCCGTGGTTCGAGATCTGAGTGACAGCCACGGGCTCAGCGGCAAACTCTTCGCCCGAATCTCGGAAAGCCTGCGTGCGACACATAACACACACCGATCAATTTCTTATACCTTTCTCTCCTTGTCGGACACTCGATTCCTCGTCATTCGCTCACTCGCTCTAGCAATAACATCAATCGTGCAAATTAGACGTGGAAACGTTCACCATTCTTTTCTCGCAATTTAATCATATTGTTGCATCGTTAATAAAACATGCATGGAGCGTCTCGACGGGTCCACAGTCATACGGAAATTCGTATTTAGCTCTCGAGTCTAGCTGTTGTCTCATTCACTCTCTTTCTCTCTTTATTTGGCTATCACATGTGCGTACGAGCTATAGACAGTTCTGCGTGCTCTTTTTTTGTTATTACTCCATTTTCCATAAATTTGCATTTTTTTTTCTTCTAATTTCCGATCAAAATATTTTCTACGATTTTTTTATAAATATATATATATATATATATATGTATACTGGGCTGAGGATTGAGGGGTGCATGACGGAAGAGAAGCTCAACGCTTGATTGGATTTTCGCACTTACAACTGCCGCTTGCGTCCCATGTTACAAATCTTGAAGTGACAGAGGGCCATGTCTGTAACAAACGAAAAATGTCTAAAGTTTTAAATTTGAATTTTTAGATGAAGAAAACTAGTAGTAATCAAAGATGGCGGAGGCTGCATACTGGCGCCGATGTCTTAACGAGTCTGACTGTGTCAGCTATACTTTTATTTGTTAGGCAAACACGAGTTAAATCGATTGACAATTCTGACGTCACTAGCTCGCTTGTCATCGATGTCAATTGATTTAATTGGCTCGATCGAAAAGTCCATACAGCAATAGCGACCGATCTTACCACCAACGGTTTACCTTCAATTCTACTTCACCGTCTCTCAGCTTTGATTTTATTTATCACGCTGTGTCGGTCTGGGCAATCAGTGATCCCTGTATCAATTCTGTAATCACTTTTTGGACACGTACTCAATAGCAGTATCCGTGATACTGTCGTATATATGTATATCGCTAATCGGAAGTTCAAATCGTGTGATAATTATTATCGATCTCTACCGTTCGTTATACGGGTTGAAAAAGTTTCGCTGAACAACGCGTTTGGGATATGAATTGATTTGAAGAAAAAAAAAAAAATACTCACAGCTAGTTCGTTTGCCAGAATGAATGGGGGAGTGAACGATGGCACTAGGAACCGGAAGTGCCTCAGCATCCTCGTTCAAGAAATCTCTTTGAAATCCTTGATTGATCCTCTGATCTCTTTCCTTAGCTTCGAGTATAGCCTGGAGAGTAATCTGCTCGGCCGTTAGTTCGCGTTCCTGGTCGATTACCTCGTGTTTCCGATCGATCACCTGCCTTAACCTCTTTAACAGGATCTGCGTGGAAAATACGATAATTATGAAATTTGGCAAATTAGTGAATAACTCTAAAAAATAATCAAAATAGATTCTCACTTGACTCTCCATGTCGTCACTAAGCGCGTCGCTGTAGAACATTCCGGATGATTCCGGTTCCGGTTCGGCACGCACTACATGATTGCCCAGGACGCACGAAACCAGGATTAACAGAAGCCATAAGCCCGTCCTGCTGGTGCTGTTGTTGTTACTTGACATTTCTGTAACAAATAAGTAAAACGTACGTCAATGCATATCGAATAATATACTAATATACTATAATATACTATAACAGCCACGAGTGCGAGAAAGACAGACCGATAGGAATTCATAGATGCGAGACAGAGACAGGCATAACAGAGAAGCTTAAATAAAACCGTTGGACCTGTCAATTCGTCCAACCGTTTGGTGAAGGTTGCGGGAGGGTCTTAGATTTGACCAATTTTCTATACCGTAAATGAGCGCGAGAAAGATAAACGTATGGGCGCTCGCGTGCGTAAGACAGAGACACACATAGTCGGGCAGGATAAATTTCTTATTTATGTACTTTTTCACGGAATGGCATTGCAAACTGAATCATCAAAGTATCAAGTGACTGTCTGATGGTAATTTTTTTTTAATTTACATAATCACGTACGAGAAAACTACTTTGTAAATATTGAAATGGAAAATTATTTTTTTATTTCCTTTATGTCGTACTTCTCAAAAAAGTCTAGCTCGTTATATTTTTTGATGACCATTATAATATTTTCGATACAGAGATTGCCACAAACTTTTTTCTCTGTATACACGCTACCAGCATAGGCAACTTTGTTAGGAAAATATCAGTGGGCGATTTATCTCGATTTATTGTATATAACTGGAATATTATCTATCTATCAGCTGTGGACTCCTGACGTGCCTTTGAATACTAATGGTCGTCAAGACGTTAACAATCGGTTGTTATCACGACAGCCTGTTTCACGCACGTGCGTATTCACAATCGCTCAAACACTCTTGGTAGAGTCATTTCCAAAAGCTTTGCACATCTGCCACGTTTGGACGTTTAATGGCCCTTTGATTTTCCACTTGTTGCGCCAGCTCTGGCTGTGCCTCGAATAATGTACTGCGGTCAATTCTCGGAGTCGTATTTCCCAGAGGGCATTGCTTCCTTGTCTCGTGAGAAACGACATACTGCCGGTTCACATTTCAGTGGTTACAATAATACGAACGTAATTATTTTTTTTATATTTCAAAAATTTGTAAATTTTCGCAGCTACACCGATTCACGATATCCTATGGCTTCTTCGAAATCCACCCTTGTATTAATTTCAATAATTCGCTGTTGGGGTTGCGACGTCATTAAACGTCATATTATCTACGATTACAGTGTTGTAGGTATGCTGTGTTTGAGAACCTCTCGTTACTTAATTTTATTAATAATTAATATTCTTAACGAGGACGATTTGAAAATGGGTGAAAGTTGGTAATAATACTTATCCTTGGTATTAAAGGGCTGCTTCGAAAATATTATATCGGAGTTTTTATGCAGAATCCAGGGATCAGCTATGACTATGGGAATCTGAATGGACGTTTCTAACCTCAAGTACTTGAGCAGGTTTACTGTGAACACTTTGTGCAAAATATGGTTTGGATATATGCTTTAGCAATATCTGGATAAATTTAGCATTGAGCTATTTCGGTAACGATTTCATTTACGTTTAGACTATTTTGAGGAAATGTGGTTGTTTTGAGGTCTGTCCTCGAAGAATTTTCAGCGTAACAGCTATTTCGAGGGCCATGTAGCGAGATGCCACACCAAATTTGTTTAAATTTTTTTCAATGCTAGGCACCCGGAGTTGTGGCGGGCTTAAAAAATGTTTCGTTAGGTTAGGGTAGAATTTCAATGCAGTAATGTTCCAAGGTAGTAGTAAAAAAAATGAATCAGCTCGCTATTGTGAACGACCTTTTATGTTTCTTGTCCTCAAACTATACGATTGACGAGTATATATATATATATATATATATTTGGAAATATGAATAGCATATGCTTTCTGTACTTCCACGTTGTTTTCCCACTTTTGTTGTCCTCAAACTATACGATTGACGAGGTGGCGGGCTTAAAAAATGTTTCGTTAGGTTAGGGTAGAATTTCAATGCAGTAATGTTCCAAGGTAGTAGTAAAAAAAATGAATCAGCTCGCTATTGTGAACGACCTTTTATGTTTCTTGTCCTCAAACTATACGATTGACGAGTATATATATATATATATATATATTTGGAAATATGAATAGCATATGCTTTCTGTACTTCCACGTTGTTTTCCCACTTTTGTCCTATCGTTAATAGCTAAACATTGCGAATTACCTATAGGTATACGTCAAAGTACTATATTCCAATATAATTTTTTTTTACATAAAATAAAAAAATTATCTGCGGAAACTATCCCTATTCTCCCGTATTTCTGTCGTTTACCTAGCAGCGAACTTTTCTCGTAACTCAACATTTAAATTGCTGCCTACCATTATGGCCTGTTTGACGGCCCTCGGTTAACTCGACTAACGTATACCTGCCTGTTCTATAATAGGTATGTCCATTTGCACGAGTTATATTCGAAAACGTCGTTACAACAGAGATTAGAGTTTTAATCCCTTCCGTGATAACGATCACCGAATCCTGTATTCATTATCGAAATTTTTTTGGTTCTTTAATCTTCAGAAATTCGGCCTGGATCATTATGGTTCCGCAAGAAATCCAAAAATTTTACGCAACGTTGTTCATATATCTATATATTTTCAACATCAAAAGACCACTACCTTTGTACAAAATTTCCGGGTTTCTAAAGGTTAAACTTTCAATATGCCTTGTGGTTCGAATTTATTTCCTTCTATAATAATATTATATAATAATGTTATAGATTCAAAGAAATCAAACGCTCATTTCTATTATACAGCACAACCGGTGATGCAGAAGCTGTAGCAATCAATGGTATCAATAGAAACATATTTCATGGAAAAAAAAATGTAACCTGATCGACGCCTACACTTAGGTATACGTCTACGCTTACGAAAAAATGCTCTAGAAATGCATCTTGAAGGATACCTTAGCCACGTTACGATATAGGAAAATAAAAGATCGAAGGTTATAAATCTCAACATTTATTCATCTCCATACGGCACTGGTTTATCTTTAGGGTAGATTAGTGAGTGTGCAATAGACTAATTAGAAAGTTAAAAAATTAACCAAGAGTATAATTCCGTAGTATCGTAGTTAAACCACAAGGGAAAGTGAGTATACCATATCCATTAAAAAAAATTTCAAAAAAAGTGTAAACTTAAAAAAATTCAATCTCTCATTATAATTCGTAAGATATCGAAATAAAGGCTGGATGCCACTGTACAATGAAAGGGGTGTACAAGACACAGCAATAGCTCGTATATGCGTTATCGATTGTTAACTGTATATACGTACGTTACAATATAAACTTAAAACGCGATATCGATCATGGGATAATCTATTGATTGGGAATAATAAGACCCAAACAAATTTTATATAGAAACACGAACGTCCGATAATCGTGATTGGCACGATAAAAGGTATGAAAAAAATAACAAATAAAGTAAACGAACAAGGGATGATCGTTGAATTATTCCTACCTTTCTGCTTGTCGATGCTCTTTCCTTTCCCACCCTTAAGAGATTCCAGCATGGTCACGGAACCCTCGAAATTCTCAAACACTCGCGTGGCCAATTTCAAGGCAAAGTGGTAAGCGGAGCAGTTGTATTACTGATCCAATACGGTTTTCTAATCTTGAAAGATTTTGACTCTACGAATGGTACGTCACGCGCTTAGGTACAGAGGGGTGCTTTTTCGCGGAATGCCGTGTGCTCGAAGAGTGAGCCGTAGGGGCTGCTGCGCCCTCTATTATACCCCGGGAGGCGCACTCCTACTACCACCTGTGGAACAGATTTTTCGTCATCGATATAACCCACCACCTTTATGTTAACTGCCTTTAGCCACGTTGAACCCCCTTGAACACGTTTTTTTTTAAATATTTATTTATGCAAAAAAGCATTAAACTTGTGTACCGACTAAATACGCAGATATGAGTGAGAAAAAAAAAATTTGACGTATGCACCCGAAATCTAAAAAGGCACGTGCCTGGTACAAGTAACGTAATCTATACGTAGAATGTATGACGAACGATGTATTCGTTATCTAATATAATTTTACGATGGTACAGAGAAATTGAGATACAGAAACTCTTAAGGCTACGAGGATGACGGCAAACGAGAGTGAATGTTGCAAGAAATTTTATAGTTCCAGGAACGATGATTATTACGTTCGCGTAGATAATAATGATATTTGCTAACGGAAGCACAATTATTGCCGTATGTCGAGACCTATTTGCCCAGATTATACCTTGATAAGGCGTATTATCTGCCGTATGCTACTAAACTGTCATTGCTCTTAAGTCCCTATTGTGGAACTGGGATTCCGGTAAAGAATTTCTAAGAAGAATATTATATAATATTATTCAATTTGACATGATTTTTTTGGATCAACATATATGACTGGTATATGAGCGTCACGTCTGATATGAATGCGAACCTTTGAGGGCTGGTATACAATAATTTGTACTGACTGTACATAGAAGTACACCTGAATAGGGGCACGAGACATTTTAACGACGTTACCAAGACGTCCACATAACATTTTGGAAACGACAAGTTGTTCGTATTATTATACGATCGCCTACGTAATTTGTATCTTTTTGTGAACGCGTAGCCATTGAACTGTCACTGATGGATACAGAAGCTGATGAATAAACGATCGGGTCGTTTTGAGAAACTTCAACTTGTTTGACAAGGAATGTTATTTAAAAAAAAAGAAATTTGAAAAATTTTCATATATCGTAGGGAAAATCATTTTTTTTATATTATCCATAATATATTTATATACGAACGTTGCTCTTGATTTTTTCTTTTCGAATTCTAGGAAATGCGAATACAGTATATATTACTATTTTGTGTCTCGAAACTCCGTTACACGTTGCGGCTCTCTTAACGATTCCCAAAGTCCTTTTCGAACGGAGAAATGTTTTATTTGCTCTAGTGCGCATGCGCCGTTTTTCACTCCCTGCTATCGCCACTTAATTAAAGCCAATTCGTTTGTGCGATTAAACAGAGTCGACACGTTTGATTCTCTCTCTTCGTTTCGCAGCTTCTTATACCGTATGGATAGAGAAAGAGAAGGAGAGAGTTAGATAAATATATAGAGACACTTCGAGAGGAGGAGAGAAATTCATCCAAGCTTCTTAAGGAATAATGAATTGTTTTTTTTTTTACTTATGTAAAGGAAGTGAGCAAGAGACCCTCTCATGTTACTTGAGTAACAAAAGCAAGGAGCTTTCACTCTCCTGCGACTCGGAGAGCTTTTCATGTGTTCAAGGAAGTTTCTTCAAATTTATTCCAAAGTGTAACGAATTCCTTCGACTCTTTCGTCTGTACGTTGTTATCGTTGTCAGGTTATGTCTTACCGTTTAACAATGGCCTGGTGTCGTACACGTCTTGAATCCTAGCAATCTTGTCGCGGCTCATCGTGACTTAATATTTTCGGTTCTGAAATGCGAAAAGGGATACGATTTTTTGCTGTTTTGCTGTTGCCGAAAAGGATAAACGTATCGTGATATTAGCCAGAGATTGCGCAATTGTATCGGTATGGCGAGATGGACGACAGCATATTTGAAAAAGTCCGTTCAGTGCGTCACATTAATGCGAGTTTGTTGTTCCGATTGCGAATTAAGTTGCGCAGTTGAGGATAATTTGCGTACGGTGTGTACGATGAGCGCACGCTTAAAATTAGATGGAGAATTATTGTTTTTCAATGGGCGATCATCCAATCGGCGGACTTTTGTCGGAGGTCGCAAGTGCCGATTGGTTGCTCGTGACATCGTTAAAGCCCAAGTTCACGATAAGCTCGGTGGCTTATCGTAGCTGTGGACGTTTTTTTTTTCTCGTCGTCGACCGTATGCGGTAAAATGGCGGATCGCACCGATTGCTAGGACTTGGCGTTTCTACTCGCGTATCCTGTCGGATTTACGTTACTTGGGAGTTATTGCGAATTGACCTTAACGCGTTATGCACTTTGGAAAATTGCAATGCCGAAGTGTAATTATTGAGGTTATGTAATTTTTTGAGACAAACTTTTTCTTCTTCTTCTTCTTTCAGAGTAAAATGGCCGACTACACGGGGGACGAAAAGCCGTTTTTTGTGGAACGTGCGAAATCTGGTCGTGCTAAATGTAGGAAATGCAAGTGTTCCATCGAAAAGGACACGGTGAGATTGGCGAAAATCCAGTCCAATCCCTTTGGGGATGGATTGATGAAAGCTTGGCATCACGTTACGTGTCTCTTTGAAGTTTTCTCGAAGCAACGTCCACAGACGAAGAAGATCGATGATCCTCTTACGGATGTAGGAGGCTGGGAAGATTTATCAGATCAGGACAAGGAGCTTGTGTGGGCCGAGTTGAAGAATGCTGGTAAGAAGACATTAAAGCTCTTGAAGGATATACTCAATCCTTTTCAAACACTCACCGGCCCTGCTACCAAACGGCGGAGAGCTCGATGCGAGCAAGGCAACGATGACCCGTTCGCTTTCTTCTCTTCGAATTCACTGGCACGGAGACTGATCAAACAATGCTTTTTTTTTTCGATTTTTTTTTTCGCAAATGTATTTTTTTTTCAAATTGCGACAAATTACTTTCAATGCCAATTAATATTTACGCGAAAATGTATCGAATCAATTATCGGCAGATGTAATCAAAGAGCTAAGTATCTCATGCAGAAAATTGTCTGATTTTAGCATGGTACAAGACACCACCTGGAAAACAGCAAGGAATCTCGAAGGACGAAATTGCTGAAAGTTCTGAGGCAAGAGACGAGCGAGCTCCCGAAAAGAAACAAGACCTGTCGTCCGATTCGAAACCCGTGAGAAGAAAGTTAACCAAGAGAGGAAGCTCAAACGCCCAGAACTCATCCATCGAGAAGGTGCCAGATAATCTCGAGATTGCGTCAGAAAAATGTTCAGTGACAAAGGACGACATGTTTCGCGAATTTCGCCGTTTGTGCGCAGACATCGCCAACATGAGCGCCTACACGGAAAAGACTGAACTCATTCGAAATATGTTCACTCACGGTTCGCGGAACGGTGAGTCCGTGAAAAAATACCCTGACCCTTAGCCTTACGGTCTATGCATAAAGTGTTCAGGGAGATTCAGTTGAGACTGATAGAAAAGAGACCAAAAGAGGAGACAATGGGAAGGAAGACACCTCGAGTGTCAGAGGTCTATCTTTCTTGAGGATCTCAACATTATTCTTCATACTGTAAGAAGAAAAGATACCGAAAGACCCACCGTCTCTGTACTGTATATCGTAGGGTGGATCGTTACGTTGTAGAGATACTAGCTGGCGACGAGTGGCGCTTGCGATTAATTAACGCAACATTTTTTGCCTCTTTTGTTCTGGTATTCCTCCTTCTGTACTTACGATCAGGGTTTATTTACCTTAGTTTAAGCAGCGACAACCCTGGATATCTGTGGTATAGGTGTTCTCGTCTCGAGTGATGAATTGTTATTCATTTGTGAAATGAGGGAAAATGTAAAAATACTTTGCGCTCTTTTGAATTAGTAATTCGATTCAGGTATCCGAAATGTTGTACGGGTAGTGCATAAGAAAGTAGATCGCCGAGACGGTAACGAGAGGAATAAACCAGAATGAATCATGCGAGCAATGATGCACATGGCGGGAACGTATATGCATCGAGTGCAATAATTAATTGTATCAATGGAGTATCATTAGTTTCCATATAAACAGACTCTCGCCCTCGGTCTTCGCGCTACTTTTCGTTGGGTGTCGTCGACGCTCGCCGTCGGCGTCCTCAACGCGGTGAGCTACGTAAATATGATATCGGAATCAGATACAAGGAAACCATAATTCACAGCGGGCTTTGCCGCGACTAGAAAGTGGAATATTTTTATGGGTGGTTATCTCAGTGAGTTGCGACAAATTGAGTTGAGTCAATGATTAAAAAAAGTCTCAAGGATAATTCATGAGAAAAGGTTTGTCAAAATTTTCATTTTACATTGGTATTATTTTATCTCCCTCATTTCTGAATCAGGCGATTAAGTGGATCTATGGTAAATACTTACGTTAGACAATTGTTGAATTCAGTTGAGCCTCGTGGATCAGGTGGTTATTAATGTAAGCGGATTGAAAATTAATAATTGATTAAGATTGCTTATTCGGCGTATCAAAGATCTTCACGCTTCTCTCTTAAGGCATCACTGCTGTGCTTTGACTTCCGGCAGTACCAATCGACCCTGACGATTCTTCCTATACTTTATAGATATTTTTCTTTTATATTCTTCCGCCGTGTCTTTTACTTTGTCCGACTGTGAACAAGCGGAGTATATATGATATCGCGTTATTCTCTCCTACAACCGGCTTAATCGTCGTACTCGAATGAATGAGAGAATTCTTTGGATCTTGCGTAAGAGGAGAATGAACTATTAGCGATCCTTTTAAGCACACTTCATTCACCGTTTTGCGACTATTGGCCTACGGAGGGGGCCGCAGTGACTTATAAGCTTGGAGTCCCCACCGCCTACCAATCTGCTATGCCGATGACGAGCCCCTTCGTCTGCCTTCGTCTGCAGCCAGCTTGGCTCCAGACTCCTTCTCTCCAATCTTCTCTCTTTTCTTTCTCTCACGTCATTTTCTCCAATCTACATCTCTCTGCACAGAGATTTTTTTCATATCTCTCAGGCGGTCCAAGTAGGTACAGGAATATCCCTTCAAGGACAGGACAATTTGATAGCGATAAAAATTTGCATTATTTTTATCAGGGTGAGATTTACAGAAAAATTGTTAATTTTGGAAAAACTTAATGGAAAAAAATTCTTGTGTTTCAGGAAAGATTTAATTCCTCGATTCTTATGATACAGTCATGCCGGCGACCTTGTTCCAAAAAAGTTTTGTAACGTTATCACAAAAACCTGTCGCAATTTAGTTTTATCGCCAAATGCGCAATTTGATGATTATCCAGAAAGTCATAATTACTTGTGCTGACATTATTAATGACTTGTGTCTGACTGAATCGATTATCCCATGAGAGTGATAAGACAAATGTGCAAAATTAATAAAGGAGTTTCTTCCTTAGTAATCAATTAACGACAGTGAAGATTTTATGACAAATTGAAATTGTGACTTTTTTAATACGTATTTGTCGTATAGGGGAATCAAATAATGCCTACAATACGTACCGAATCCACATAAATCACTACGCATATGTAGAATATCGTTTCAGTCGTTTACATATAAATCGTAATCAGTCGCTGTAAATCTTGAGCGTACGTGATCTATTTTAAATGATGACAGAAGCAGCAAGAACGTAGCGGACGAAGAAGTTAACTTTTCGTCGGGACGAGAAACGAAAACTTTCGGGGTGGTCATCATGTGCGTCGTTGCCTTTGCGCCCGGGCTGCGACATTTTGCTCGTAAAATTGAAAGAATTTCGATAAACACGTATTTAGCAGGACTGTACGAAGAAACCGTGGAATTTTTATGTCCGATGCCAGCTCGTTTATCGTTTATGCCTCCGCGAATAGAAAATTTGCGTCTTCGAGTTTGTTCAGCCATTAATACCAACCAATAATATCTAGCATTACGGAAGCACTAGATCCACCTAGTGCACCATCCATTGGATCCATCCAAGATCCTAAATATTTTCCAAAACCAAAATTCATTTCAACCCAGAAAATTTCAAAGAATCTTGAAAGACCAGTCTCCGATCAATTTCTACGTCCCTGAATGAACGAGCCACGTAGTCTGGACGAACGAGACTGACACCTCGGCGATGACCCGTGGCTCGTAAACCCTCTCTTCGTCAACTTCTGTAAACTTGACTTCTTTCCTTCTCTAATGACAATTCCCCCCTATCCTCCCTACCTCTACGAACTCACGTTATCCTCTTATTATTATATACTAATTTAATTACCAGAGACTTGACCCATATCGGCGGCCTCTTTCAAGACTCATCCGATCAGATGGCCTCCTGATGAACCATCACCCAGAAATGAAGTCACCTCCCGTTTTTCGATGTTAATACTTTGCCACGTCCGTAACATCGAATACCCAAAATCCAGCCATCCATTATTTTGTCCCTATATTATCATCATCAAAACACCGGGCAACGTCTAGTCTGCTCCTCGGGATGATCAGTGATGCTGTACAGCTATTCCGCGAACAGCGACAATTCAACAGGTAGAATTTCTACTGCATAATGTCGCAATCTGGAATTCGCATGAATCATGCTGAACGATCATTGTGCAATTCATGAGACGAATAACAAGGCAGATGGCAATTCTTATAAGCAGTTAGATATCAGCAATTTTGAAATTTTCATTAACACTCAACGTATAGAATCTCTTATTTATCAACAAACATAGTTTTTCCGTTATCAAACATTTTGTTTACCTCATAATTTTTCTCCCTACGGCCACTTGCGCTTCACCCAATTCACTCTGGATCAATTGGATGTTTATATTTCCTTGTACATTCTCCAATTGCAGCAGGCCTGTCACTTTTTATTTCGTCCAAGTATCAGCCACGATGCCAGAATGCAGCCTGTCGAAAACAGCTGACAAATCATTGATTTTATAAAAAGTAATGAGTCGAAGGTGTTACATTAGTACATTAACGCCAATAATATAATCGTAGAAGCCTACACGTTACGAGCAAACATCGAACGAAACCAGCTCCTTTCGACATAAAAATTATGCTCGGAGATCATCAAAGGTAACTGCGAGACTTTGTCGGGCGTTTAGCACGGGGCAATTCGGTATTCTTATAAACATTCTTCTGAACGATATTTCATATCTCTCTCTCTTTCTTACTCTTTAATATACATGATTATCGGTGGTGAACGGAAAAGCTAACAGTACACACGATGTTGGCCGGGTTCTGTGGTACCACGCAGTCTGTCCTCTTATCTACTGTTGCTACTGTTGCTGTTACTACTACTACTACTACTGCTATTCTGCTTGTTGCAATATTGACTCTTCCCCATTATGATTATATTATTGTTACTACATATTGTTGACTGATACTAGGTCTATTCAGTGGTATCGTTTGTGACTTCCGGTACTGTAGATTTAGTGCCTCCAACTTTTTTTTATTGCAATCAGTTGATGCTAGCTTTTCCATCAATTTTTAACAGAACTAGAACAGAGTTAAACGCACGTGCTAAAATATCTGCGGATAAAGTCACATAGTGAGGATTATAAGTGCGAGAAAAAAAAGATGAAAAATATCAGACGCAGCGAAAGGACATCGATGTGCCGATCGACGATATCTCTATGTGACTTTTCATCATGAAATTTGTCTTTTATAACTCGTCGCTTTATATCTTTATAGGAGGTCACATAGCGTTCTCGTCGATTCGTCAGAAGACGAGAAGCCAATAATCACGCTCGACGTTCATTGTCTGATGTTTCTGGCCGATTTGTTGTTTTTAAGTGGCGCTAGACATTCTGACGCGATACTGGGAACGTGGAAACGTAACAGAGAGTCTTCTCTTTATTCCGAAGGTTCTTCATCAGGAATCCAAAATAGCTCAAGAGACTCCAGAGACTCTCATTGTAATCAATAGTTCTGATTATTGACTCGCATATCTATATACTTGGTTCCTATATCGATTTCTCCCTGTATTCGAGCGGTTTACGTAATCGTAGGAAATATCCGATGTTTTCCTCACGAAATTTTTTCGCATATTTTCCGGCAAACGACCCTGCGACGACGTCGTCGCGCACCGCGATCTGTGCCAGCGGACCTCCGCCGGCGGTTCTTGGCCTCGGGCGTCTCGCAAAACTGTGCCAAACCACGGTGACTTTCCATTGCGTCATATACTGTAATCACATCGTGAAGATCTCACGCGCTTTTGTCCCCTCACTCTCATTCGGATTTTCGATCTTGCCAGTGTCCCTTAAAACGACGAAGAATCGAAGAGACTAGAGAAGGAATAAGTATTACGCCGACGCATGTCATTTGAACTCGTGACTCTGTGGAGAAAAAAAGTTTGATTTTACGACGATACGCTCCAATTGCACTCTGACCTCCCGAGGCTAATTTTCACTCGATGGTCGAAGATGCCAGACACGAAATTGATCTTGGACGTTACATTCTCGTTCCGATCGCGCAATCGCCCTGCCGCGATCTCGATCCCGTGACAAGGTGGTCTGCGTAGCGTCGATCGAGATTAATAATGGCGATTTAATGATGACGCGTCTAGAGTCGACGCCTCCGACCGTGACGCGTCTCGATGAGAGGTGTGTCTCCCGCTGACGCAATAACGTCGCCAAACTCCGGAGTCAACAGAGCGTCTCGTGTTAATCCTTTTTTATAACAACCCACCTCTATCCTTCTTCATACTTCGGTCGGTCCTGTGTATCTGTCTCGCTACGTCATTGAATTCTTTGTATATCGAGGAGCTAACAATCGCCTCTTTGTAAGTTCATTCGATTCACGTCTGTTTTCGGCTCCGCGCTGTCTGCTTCTCGCAAGCGAGAAATCGTTTCGAGAATTTACGACGCTCGATCGGCACGTGGCTCAGGGACCAAGATAGCTAAATCGTGAGCTTGCAAGAGCTGGAGAGAAAGTGATGAGATATTACGTGGACTTGGATAGTGGAATATTTTTCTCGTCTATAGCTACACGAACAGAGGATAACTAACCGGTTGACCGAGAATTAAATCTCCCAGACGTTCAGCCATATACCGCCCCACAATTCTTTTTGACGTTTGGGTAGACGTACGCGGGACCTACTGACTCTTTTAGCCTAAGAATTTTTGTCGCGTGACAATTTCGGGGCTGCGCGCAGATTGAACGTCGGGTTATTGTGGTTAAAGGACATCGCGGGAAATCGGAAAAAGAAGAAAATGATTATGCGAAAATGAAGAGGTAATGGGTATATGCAAGGTCGTGATTGTTTTTTCTCGAGCGATGATGATTCACGATTATGCGATGTTGAGAAAATGTCGCGCGCACGCGACAGGAAATTCTTATGCGCTCTTGAGCTCTCGAGGGCGATCCGAGCCATCCGCAGGGACGCGAGGACGCTCGACGTCGCGTTAATGCTGGCGGCTGAGAGTCTACCGCCGCCATTGTTGACTATTCCGCGAGGAACACTGGGTCCCGACGTAAATCTCATTATTGAATATTCGTGATAAGAGTTATCAGCTCCTTATCACTCTGGGAACTTTCCGCTCGCGTAGCTCGACCTCTCATTTACTTCTCTTTGATCTTGGCTTAACTGCGTCCCGATGCATTCTTGCTGCACTACTTTATTGTATATACTTAACTCTCTAGCTACGACTGAGAGATAAACGTGGGATGCTGGAGCTTTTTTTAAGATGAATCGTCTTCTTGGAGGCTTCGCTATCATTTATTGTCTCTTTATTTTTAGGCACTTTCCAGGGCGATGTACTGCTTTGGTGCAGGATGCTTCTACCGGCTGTCACCAAGAGAATTTACAATCTTCAGAATAAACAATTGATCAAGTTGTTCTCGCGATTGTTTTCGCAAGATGAAAACGAGATGCTGGAACACTTGGAGCAGGGGGACGTGGCTGAGACAGTGCGCTGTTTCTTTGAGGATAGCGATGTTGTCCGTCCTAATCGACAGAGTGTGCTTACGTTGAAGGAGGTATGGGGACAGTATTTAGTTTTATCTTAGCCATTTCAGATATCTTGTTTCATTCCTTGGCAAATTATCTCACTATCGGTAGAATCTAGTATCTTCCTGCTATTGCTACTGAATAGAAATTGAGTCTGGATATAATTTTCGGTAATGTTCATTTGGAGATCCTGGAGATTTGTAAAGCCTTCTTCGCAAGGTATAACCTTGCCTATACTGTGAATGGAGTCGTCAAGGATTTCCTTGAACTTTTTCATATCTCCACAGGTCGATCAGTTTCTTGAGAATCTATCAAAGCTAACGCGAGAGGACGATCAAGTTCAACATTTTGCCAGCATTGTTGACAGGTAATGATCAACCATTAGTTCTTTAATAATAATAATTCTAATGATATGTATTACTGTTTTAGATGCACATCAAACGATTTGAAAATGATAGTCCGACTTATAAAACATGATCTGAGGATAAACGCAGGTCCAAAACACATGTGAGCTTCAGTGTAAAGATACATGGCTGATACACAATTACATATAATATTCATAGAGTCTAAATATTTGTCATACTTTTAGACTCGAAGCAATTCATGAAGAGGCCTACAGAGCTTTTCAAGTTTCCATGGACTTGAATACAGTTATATCTCGTTTTGTGAATCCGCCAAGCAGTAACACTTCAAACGCTTCATCAAGTTCAAATTTGGCAAGTCCGTCCACTTTGTCTAAAGTGACTGTTGTTTTAATGACACCTGTTCTACCTATGCTGGTGAGTAATAAAAAATTAAAAATTTAATTAATATTAATAAAATAACATGATATCACATCCATTAGCATGTAAGATACAAGAATACATAATAAATTTCACACTTCAATATGAATATAGGCCGAGTCTTGCACGTCCGTGGAAATGGCCATGAAGAAGTGTCCACTTGGAATGTTGTCCGAGGTCAAGTACGACGGTGAAAGAGTGCAAGTGCATAAAAGAGGAAGTGAATTCCGTTACTATAGTCGTTCTCTAAAACCAGTAATGTTACACAAGGTAATAGCTCACGTGGATTTATGTAAGATAAAACTTTTCAAATGGTACTTGGTTTCCCCCCACTTCGCCGTCAGTACGTATTCTGTAGTAAACTACGTACCCTTAGAGGTCCATCCTGATCCTCCTGGGAAACAACCCGTTCACGTGTCGTTGCCTCCAAGTGAACGATTTCATCCTGAATTTCGAGCGTTGGATACGAACGCTTCTAGAAATAGAGTTACGCTCTTAGATATACTTGCGATTCCTTTCTCGAGCCGCCATTTAGTTTTCTTGTTTGCTTTTGTACGTTTCAATGCACGGGCTTTATATACTTTCCTGTGGAATTTGGAGAAATTATCCAACTGCTCGCATTCGTAGAAAGATCAGTAGAGCGTTTGAATTTTATGTGGACAGTTTTGCTGATTTATTTTATCTACAGATTGTTATTATTCGTGGTATTTTTAGATTAACCATTTTAAGGATTACATTCCTAAAGCCTTTCCGTCGGCTGATGATCTAATTCTTGATTCTGAGATATTGATGATCAATACGAAAACGGGACAGCCTTTACCGTTTGGCACACTTGGTGTACATAAGGTAAATGTTATTTTTCATAATTTTACAATACCTGGGTAAATAAAATGATCTTTCTTGTTTTTAATGATTTTATAGTAAATTTCAGAAAGCTCAATTTAAAGATGCCAACGTTTGCCTCTTTGTTTTTGACTGTCTTTATTACAATGGTGATGTTCTAATCGACCAGTGAGTTTTTCATTGCAATAGAAATTTATAAGAAATTTGTGTATTTATCTCTCACTCGTTTCAGGCCTATGATAACTCGCCGGAAAATTTTAGAGGAAAAGATAACACCGATACCTAACAGGATACAATTGTCTCAGATTGAAGAAATCCATGTAAGGCTTGAAAAACTAATATTAATTCATTATTATTTTACATTCTGTATTGATTTTTTCAGGATCGAAAAGCTTTAGCAGAAATGATAGTGAGAATCTTGAAGATGGGTCTGGAGGGTTTAGTCCTGAAGGACATTACCGTACGTTTCTACTATCTCTACAAAAATGTTATCAGTCGTCAGTATTCAGAGACCGTCGGTTTTTCACCGCTACTCTCTGTTATAGGGAAAATACGAACCAGGGAGACGGCATTGGCTGAAGGTAAAGAAGGACTACCTATTCGAAGGTGCTATGGCAGATAGTGCAGATCTAGTTGTTCTCGGCGCTTGGTATGGCACAGGACAAAAAGGTGCGAGTCCTGTCTGTTATTAATATGAATAGTAAATAGGAAAAAAAACTTAAAATAGAACTGTACGATCTGTAACATTAAGGGAAGGGTACACCCATCTTAGTAGCAGCCTAAGTGATCACTAACGTAAACGAAGAAGAAAGAAAGCCTGCCAATGAAAAATCCGTGTATTAGAAGTGAGAAAGAATTCAGTACAGTGTCGTAGGGTGTATTGAAGCAACCAAACGAATTATAGTAAGTATAGAGCTTATAGTTTGCGAAAGAATACAATTTAAGATCTTCCATATAGCAGAAAAAATAATTGATGAAAATGTAAAAAGTTACATGATGAAAAGTATGTTAAGTCCATCGCACAAAAAAAAAGTAAGACGTAACATAAGCGGTAGGCGAGTGGCCAAACGTCCACAAGACCGTAAAATATTATGGTCGTTTGCTTGCTGGTCTAGAGCTTACGTTTTTTTTCGTGTGTGGTGGCCCTTATGAAGAGGTCTACAATTTTAGGTAGAGTTTTTTTAAAATATATTTATAAATATTTTCAAAAATGAATTAAAAAATTTCCCAATTTTTTAAAATGTTTCTCAAATTATATTCCTGACCGATAAAGACATAAAAACCGTCCAGAATTCATATATGTTCATGCCACTTTTGGCACTGAAATTGGTGGAAAAAGTTACACAAGAAAAAAATCACCAGCACTATCCGGGGTATCCATAATATGTATAGCTGAAAAAATGAGTGTACCCTCACCTTAAACAAGAAATTTTATTATTTCTTCTGTACGTTTAAACTATAGTGCGATCACCTCCAGCCGCCATTGACATTCTTAAGAATATAGTTTATTCGTTGTTATTCGATATGTAACAATTTTTGCATATGGCTCACATTAGATATTCATTGGCAGGAACTCTATAAGTTCTTTATACTATAAGAAGTACCTATTTTAAGAGAATTTTTAGGAGGCGATCGTCACCCCGTAGGACGTAGCAAAAATGTATATATCTTATAACCCACAGGATGTAAAGTGGTTCCACCTCCTTCGGGAAGATTATACTATCGTAAAAACGGTTCCTTATGGACGGTTCACATTACCTTTTACGAGGTGATCTTTTTCAGGAGGTATGATGTCCATTTTCCTTATGGGCTGTTACGACGAGGAACGTGACTGCTGGTTGACTGTGACCAAGGTAAACGGTTCGAATTACTCTGGATGAGAGAGAGAATTTTTCCCTGTGAAATGTAATTCCAGGTTCACACGGGACATGATGACGCGACCCTGGCACAGTTACAGAGCGAATTGGATATGGTGAAGATCAGTAAGGATCCAAATCTTGTACCAAAATGGCTGAAGGCTAATAAACCTATGATACCTGATTTTGTAGCTAAAGATCCAAAGGTTTGTTAATATGGACAAAAAATTGTAAATATTTTTATTTAATAATGGTATATAACTTTGTTCTTTGTAGAAGCAACCTGTTTGGGAAATCACTGGTGCGGAATTCACGAATCAAGGTGTCCATACTGCTGATGGTATCAGCATCCGTTTTCCCAGGGTAACAAGAATTCGTCATGACAAAGATTGGAAAACGGCTACATCATTAGCATATCTTCGGATTCTTTTTAAGAGGAGTTCAGAATCAATGGATTTTAGTCTTCTCCTTGGAAACACATCGAACGAAGATAAATCAGAAATTAAACCTGGTACGTTAAATATATTCGCAGGGACTTCAACGACGTCTGTAAGGGACTCAACGCGGCAGACGATGAAATCAATTAACGGTGTGAATAAGCGGAAAGAGAGGTACGAGAGCGAAGAGGAGTCTGCGGAAACTTCAATGACTGAATTGAAGAAGATAAACGGGAAGAAAATAAAGAGTGAGAAGAAATGTCACCTAGATTTTATGACTACGTCGTCATCAAAACTACAAGCTGGAAGTTCCTTGAAAAATGAAAATACTGATAAGCCAATCCAGAAAATTGAACAAAATTTTTATGAGGATATTAAAGTAAAACAGGAGAGCCCTTCATCTCTTTTGATCTACGATCTACCAACTGATTCTGAAACGGAAGCCGAGAGTGAAGACAATGAACGTAGTGAATACTACACGTATATGAATAGATCAGTGAGTAAAGTCTTAATGCTTAATACGTTACATATCCCTTAGTATCACGTCGATCGATTAATGGGTATTTGGGAATTTGCTTGTTCTACGTTGATATGTATAGTATGTGATATTCAGCCATAATGGAACTCCTGTCAATTGTATAGAGGATATTAAATGGTCTGGAGGGTTACCACCGGATACCAAATCAATATTACAGGCAGATAGATGACTGCCATGAAGTAAATGAACTTTGATTAAAAAAAAAGAGTATTTACAAAATAACATAAAACAATTTGATAGTATATCAGTATCAAAACCTTTACGAAACAATTTTTTAAAGTATATTAATAACTTGTACTATAGGTATACATAATAACGTACCGTATACGTGTAGTTAAAAGATAAAATTGTTCAGGTCATCAAAGGTAACACATACCCTTTTAGCAAAAGAACGTATAATGCGACGTAATAGGATTACGACGCCTTACGTCCCTCTAGAATATGTGAGAATATTAAATTAATTATATGAAAATAAGAAAGTGATGTACTATCTATTGATTTTATCATTAACTGCCTATATCTGCGTTTCTCATTCAGATGATTTAATATTAAGGAAATTACAGCTTTACTCAGTAGGAGTATTCAAGATTTAATAAAGTGTATATTGCTTGCAGAGATGCTTAGGATCCTTCAAGAACGTACGAGCAATACTAGTACCGGACATCGAAGGTAGCAAACGAGCTGAACTACATAAAAAATTAAAGACGTATCCTTTGAAACATTGTTATCACCTCGAAAAGAGACTGCAGCAACGTATGAGTACGTTTCAAACTGAATGAAGAATCCCAACTACATATTAACAAGGAAGATTATATAATAACGGCGAGAGTCTAAATTTAACTGTAGAGAAAGACTGTGAGCTAGAAAACTAGAATATTAATATGCACTGTCACGTAGCCTTTCACAAATAGTTTAAGGATATCACTGGAAATTCAGCGAGTACGTGCTACGCGTTGACTCTCCTTAGTAAATGCAGTACGGAAACTCTTGCAAATTGAGGAAATTGCAAAGCTACCCCACATACTCGTATGACGCATAGATACAGTTGTCTGTACTTTAAAAAGAAAAATTTCCCTCACTTCGAATTGTTATATAAAAAATCTAAATATACAATGATAAAGGTGCGTGTAGTATTATAGAATAACAACTGATAAAACTCCAAGCTATCACCATAAATGCAGCATAGACGTCAAATTGTCTCAAACACAATAGATTACGTCATATAGATTGATTAATGAATATCCCATACGTCCACGTTATTATAACAGATTCGAGCTAGCACTGCTTCCACAGCGTGTACGTGACAGATAGAGATGAATAAACTTTATCTGTAGCTAGATAATCGATTCCATAAGCGGTGAGGGACGTTCCGATTAACGCAGCTATTTACATAGCAAACGCAATATGTCTTCATGGCTACAAAGAGGATTTCCTTCATTGAGAAAAAGTGTCATATAGTGAATGACAATTGCACCTTGAAACTTTTGTATACTTTGACACCAGGTAGAGCTTTCTATCATTGCATAACACTTGCCCCAGTGAAAAGTTGATTACCTGGACATATAAATGCTACTTGAAGTGCAGATGTGCATATTCTCACTAAGAAATCCCGAGTCGTGCATGAAAATATAACTCTTGAAGTTTGGTGCGAACGAATTTTAAGGCAGAGAGGCTGACTGCTCAATATGAACGAATGTCTTTATTACCTTGTAGCGAAGATGTTGCGTAATCGTTCATCTCTGAAAAGTAATATGAGAATTCCTTAACGAGATATACGTCGTAGACTCGGTGTAACAGTTCTTGAGAAGAAAAATAGGTCTATGGCCACCCACGTGATACATCAAGCCAAGACTATACGTCAGGATGAGAGTGAGGTGATTCTTTTTGATTATTAAGAATGTCCTCTTACAGTCCAGAGATTAAGTTTCTTCATTTGATATCCGATTATTTGATACTGTTACTTCCACAATCTTTGTTTTGATTGAATGTATATGTAATATTCTTCCATGATCCAACTATACCTATATTTTTTATACGTGAGTATTTTCAGTATATTAACGAAGTCTATGGGTGACGTTTTTGAAATCTAAGAATTGACATGTTTCTTATTGGCTTTTGTCTTTTCAATCCACTACTCTTTTTTTTTTCTTCTCTTTCTCATCTCTACTTACTGATTTCTTGGCTCTTGAACGAGCTGGTATATGTTTGGGGTTTCTATACCTTCGGTTGAATTCCCTTTGAGGTCATTTATCGCACGAGATCATTTAACGTTCTCTCTTTCAATTGCCGTTCATTCAACTTGCCACTGAGATTCTATTAAATGCGACTTTGTGGTTTGGAAACGCGAGGCTCTGGCAATTCAATGCAGACATTTGGAACGCGGAGAATTGGTTAGGTATTGTGCGGCTGATATTCATCTTCTTTCAGATCTTCAGGGACTATGGTAAAGAGGCCTTACACGTTTGCGAATCCTGGGTGGAGGAATCGGTGAAGCAAGCCCGACCTGTCAAAATGGAACCACATGCCGTGATACTTTTGCCATTTTACTGCAGTTGTCGTCACCCACAACTGTAATATTCCCTGGGAGAATGTATTGATAGTCAAATTTAATTTAAGAATTATATTATTTAAAACGGTACAGTGTATAGGATATTTAGGTAATTAAAATAAATTGAAAGTCATCACCGATATGTATTTCTATTCTATGATATGAATACACGATATTGCGGGTGGATTACATTTACTGATTAAATACTGGTGGATTACATTACCACTTACATCTGATAAACAGAGAGGGGGATACATTAAAACCATATAATCTTTGTTAATTCAATCCTGTGGTAGAATTAGAGCTGATCCTTACACAAAATGCATCTTATTGGATAAGCTATTGTTGCTTCTGTTAGCATTTCTATTTCTTCTTTTGCATCTATGCTTGTACATCTGCTAGATACGCTCAGAACATCTTCTTATTTGGGACAAATGTTACAAGCTCTTGAAATCCTATGGATTAACCAATCTACAGTACAGTTACTGCGTGGCAAGGGAGAAGCTGTTAGATTAAAAAAAGTAGAGAAAGCGAGAAATTGTAGTGAAATTGAAATAATGATAATTTTAAGAATTTTATAACTTAAATTATGTCCAGGGTATTGAGAGTATGGGATGACTGTTTATCAATGAATTACTTAAGCTTATCTTACGCACGAGGAACAATTAAATTATTTGAAGATACATGAGACGTTTCTGTTCTCTCTTTTCCTCTTCATCTCCTTACCACCCTTCCGTTACCTGTCACTCTTCTTCAATAAAGCCTAAAGAGAGTAGAAACGCTAGGAGACATCGAGAGTCCCACGGGACTTTTTTTTCATTCCTTCATCTTATTTTGGGCTACAATAATTTACATCTAAGACAAATATTCACGCCTGAAGGTTTTATTTGCCAAAACACGAAACCGCATTGAAAGCGCACTGCTTCCAGTAGCTGCGCTTGCGCTGAAGATCCCCAAGATCCATTTGATTGCGAAGACGCTTAACTACCTGTTTTGTGAACAGGTAATTGATCAGTGCAGTCTCGATACCGCCGTCGTCGTCCACCAACTGAAAGTATAAATATTTTTATGAACAATATTAGACGCCATGAAAATTTCTGAAAATATTAGACTTAAATTTTTCTCGACCTATTTATCACCTCTTTATCTTGATCCATGGCTATTTAACTCTATTCTTATCAAACTCTGATAGAAATGGGATTAAGGAGGATAAAGAAAATTTAGGACCTTTATCCCAGGTCTGTGACCAGGAATGAAATCAATATTGACTCAGGCATTGGATTAGTGTCGCGAGATGGATTGTTCGTAAATCGTATAGTTACCACTAGAGGGCAACTTCATTGGTAGTTTACTATCAAACGTGGTTATTTGTATTTGGATTAGTTCATAGATGGCTGCTAATAAAGTAGGTCCTTTAGGCACAAGAGCTGGAGAACTGTAAGATAAAGCGAATGAACGCTATGTACAGAGCCGAAAGTATATACAATTTTTTCACTGTATAAAAAATCTTGACTATTCATTAACATTTCTTGAACATCTATTTTCATCATGTTTAAATATTCTTCTCAGTTTTTAATCACCTTCGAAAATATTTAATATATCGATCAGTTCTGTATTAAATTAAAATTTATAGTCTTAAATTACATTTTAGAATTTCTGTAATTTCGATAACGTAAATCGTTTGACTGCCCAAGGATAACACTTAAATTTGACATTAAACCTAAAACGGAGATGGAGATTTTCGTTATCAATTTTTTTCTAGTTATACTAAATATATTATTATTAAAAGTGCATACCGAGTATATACTCTGTCTAATCTTTCCATAGAACTATCATAGTAGCCAAAACTATTGAATTGTACAGCATAATGTGTGGATATCGAATCAAACATCTATGTAGATAATTTTGGCCTGTGGCTTGTTATATTGGATTACCACTAGCATGGAAAGCATAGACTACAGATACAAGCATAATCAAATTTATGCGAACGTGATCCTCACGTGGAATAATAGGCTTTGATCTGACCAGCTTCGAAATGCTACACTGTATTAACTCCAGGAATGTGGAACCGATTGCTATGATGATATTTCGATTTCCCTCTGCCATTAGAGACTATACTCTTCATTTCCTTTAATTTTACACCGGTTTCCATCGCGTATCTACTATATTTCCTCTGGAGAGTTAATAACTTGTACTTCCCCTTGGGTGCTTTTCCTTTAGTGAGGTAAGGGTGGTTCAAGCTTACAAATTAATTCTAACAACGTCAACGACCGCGGCGGGAACGGACGTCATTCGAAACGCGATTTAACGGATTATCGGGATCAGCCTTGGAATTCATGGAACGTTCGATTTTTACTATAACCTCTAGACAGAGGACGTCGGGACGTCGTTGCTGTTTTCCATTGACTACATTTATATCCTGACAACTCTGCTGTTTGCAATTTAACCCCCTGTCAACTCCATATCGGGAAAGAGTTTTACTGTTCTCGACATGAATAATATATAGAAGTTGCATTGTTCCACGTTGAACATCGCACGGAAACAAAACGTAAGGGAACGATAGAAAAATGCTGAAATACGTAAGAGAATTTCTTATGAATAACTAAGATACGATAAATAATTCACGACAAACAATTCATTGGTAATCCTAAAGTTGCTTTAACTTTGTCTTTTCACATTTTCATCGAAATTTGTATCTCTTTTCGCTACTTCATGAATACTATTAATCTTGTATTTATAAATCGGTGTTAACCGAGGGAAATCCTATTAAAACTTCGTGAGATCCATCAGAGACGCCACTTGGAAACTCGACCGAATGAAGTGGATGGGAAAATTGATCGAGGCCCTTGAGCTACGCGTATTTTTCACTTCAATAATTGAAATGGTAAGCGTCATTTTTTTGTCAATTGAATATAAAATTCTCTCTCTTATATGCATGTATATAGAAACTTGACGATCGTATAGTTTGAGGACAGGAAACACAAAGGGGCGTTCACAATAGCGAGCTGATGAATTAAAAAAAACTGACTACCTTGGAACATCACGAAATTGGAATTTTAACCTCACCTAACCTAACGAAAAATTTTCTAAGCCCATCACAACTTCGGGTGCCTAGCATTGAAAAATGTAAGCAAACTTGATGTGATATCTCGGCTTTATGGCACTGAAAACAGCCGTTACCCTGAAAATTGTTTGAAGACAAGCCTCAAAATAGCCAATACCTAAATGAAATCGTCTCAAAAATAGCCAAACGCCAAATCTATATATGTATACATACCCATACCCTTAAAAATGTTGATATATGTATATGAACATTCGTTTACAATTACATTTTACATGCTAATAAAATTTTATCTGAATTCTAAAATTGCGAGAGAACTTTTTGATATTTTCTATACAAAGCATCGCTAGTCCTCGAAATTGACTAAACGGATAATCGATATTTTCACATTTTCTTTCTTTTGATATTTTTCAATACGTATCATTTATTGAATATCAAATTGAGTAATGCTAAATTGAGTATAGGACCAATATCAATCAAAGTTACTTTTATTTTACTCAAAAGAGGAATCGAACGAAGTATTCTGGGATTTGAGGTTATTTCATCCCTCAGATACGTCATTCTTGTCGGATACGCCTTTTAATCCAGATATCCGAGTCAGTTTGATATCACCCCGAACTCGTTATCGACGCACTCGATAACGGTCTTGATTGACTTTGAGAATCTTCTCTGCTCCCCCCTCGTCAGAGCGCTGTAGGTTTGTTATTACAGTAAGTCGCTGGTAAAAAAAAAAGAAAAAGTACTAAAGTACCGTTTCTATCTTTTTCTCCTGCTTCACAGATATTCGGAATTATAAAAGTATAAGTGAGAGACGGATGAGCAGATAGTTAAAAACTAAAACTTCCTGCGGTTTCTGCTTGTCTCTATTTGGTATCTCAAAAAAGAGAAGTAGCACGGTGCTGATTTGAATTTTAAATTATTGCGCAAGTTAAATCTTTGACTAAACTCTCAAAACTTTTTCCCTTATCAAAAAGGTAGATATACTATCATCCAATAGATAGAGTACTGGGTAAATCTTTTACCCTGGTCCATTGGCTTTTCCGTGGAAAAAAACTTCGAACGAAGCACAGCTTACACTACGTAGCTACCTAACAAGGAAACCAGTAAATCCACACCTGTAGCCCATAAGTATCAGAATTCGATATTGCCAGGAGTGGAAACATAAGGCGCACAAGCTGGCATTATTATTGGAACGTAAACGCAGCTGTTTTACTGAATCGAACGCTTGGCCATCCGTCTGTAAGTAGGGACCGAGTAACTAGAGAAAGAGAAACGCAAGGAAAGCTGGAAAATCAAGAGAAAATACAAGCTACGAATTGAAAACAGAAGTCGAAGCTTTTATCAATGGATAAATCAAGAATTTCTACTGTCGAAGACATAAGAATTCTCAATTACAGTTTCTAAGCTAGTTTTTCATGACTGTGTACGGCTACGTAACTCAGTCAGAAAAGCGAATCCTGATAGAAAATCATCAATAGGAAAATCAATAAATAAAAATCAATAATCAAGAAAAAATAATCGTCAAGCATGAACACGTGCAAGAAGTCTCACGGTTAAAGCCAAAAAAATCTGACGTAATCCTAATATGCACTGATAAAAGACACAAGGAAGAGGGGAGCTGACAAATTTTTACGATTCCAAAAAAAAAACGCATCCGATAATTCCACGCGTGATTTTACATACACGTATTTAGTAATCTCACTACTCGAGTGACCATGCGAAGTATGATGTGATCCTGAAATTCGATGGTGGCTCATATGTTACGTAAACCAAACCCATGCTACTTTACATAGGATCGTCTAACCAACTTCCAATAAGACATTAGGCTAGTACATCTTTCCGACACCAGGGTTCTCGAATTCGCACATAAATATCCGTTAGATTTTTCTTACCCAGAAAAAGTTCACGAGTAAAGATGGATTTCTCAATTTACCCATAATACCTCGAAATTCAAGCGTAACCTAGCGTATCGACCTTTTCAATTCTCCATGAAACTTTATAACGACTCATTCAAGACGTTTCCAATTAATTGTAGAACGGGAGACGCCATCCTGATACTTCACGTCATCCAATATTTCTTAAGCATGTTAAATCTTTTTCAAGCTCTATTCCACGTGTTTCTTATAGATCCTCTGGGTAATCCAAATGGCCCGTAGCTTTCCTCACTTAAAAGCTCTCACGAGATATCCTCCATCCTGTTACACCTCCACGTGAACCTTCCTCGTTAAGGTCCCGTCTTGGTAACGAATCACTCTACCCCTCGTTATTCCTGACACCATTGGCCTCTCGTAGTCTGGTGTGTCGGACGATGGACGTCATGATAAAACGGCCCGGATACAGAATTCCAAAGCGTCTCGACGTCTCCGATACGCTCAGGATATGAAAATGCTTATAAGTGCATATTTGAACCAGTTTAGAATCTCATTACTACGTTAATCCAAAATCAGATATTAATGCTCGTCTAATGATTCTTGCTTTTGTATTTTGTACAAGTATCATTTGTTATTCTTGTTTACAAATTGTCTACAAACAATGCTATGCCCTTTTTAGGTACTGTATTTTCTTGCTGTCTTATTCTCGGATGATAAATGATGACGCAATAGTTTAAAGAGACAAGAAAACATGTGGTGCTTCATCCGCAACATAAAAGCTCTTCCAATATGTTGAAAAAGCTTTGCCAACTCCTTCAACTTTTTCACGATAGCGACGGGCACTGGTTTACTGAGACCTGGGAAAACTTTGCATATGCTAATGCGACACTGTGGTACAGTATGTGACTGACATTCACTTTGAAGCAGAGAAAATGATGAATATGTGCTTTAAGCAAGCTCCGTTTATTCTCTGCGGATAAACTTTGTTCCTTGTAAAAATAAGAACTTACGTCAAGCTCGTTGAGAAACCTTTCTTTGTCAGGAGCCGGCAGAGCGGACGCCAATCCGGCAATCCCAATGAGGATCACAGCCAGACAGATCGTTGGTCGTAGATAAATCATTTTTTGCTAGAAAAAAAAATTACTTTCAATTTTAACATGAAGCTTTTCGTAAGATTAGCAAAGAACAAGATAAAGATTGACAAATGTAATTCCATTCCGAATTATTATTTTTAGCTCGCCACATCGAATTTAATCGTTTAGTTAGCGAGATTCGATGTTAATTCTATGTTACATCAGAACGAGATTAAATTGTTCAACGGTCATTTAATCGTTTGATTAAAATTCACGGTGGATATAAATATCCCGTACACAATTAAATGGGCTTTTCGAGTAAAGAAAAAAGAGAAAAGGAGATGAATCCATAGTTAAAGTCAATAATAGTTGAGTTGACAGCATCTTAAAAACTTACAATGTTAAAATGGTTTACTCAAGTAAGAGAGTTGACGTGGCTTATTTCACGTTATTGAAGTTTACCGTAGCGTAGCTTTACGAAATTGTTGCTTGAACTAAAGCTGTGTCTCTCTCAGTGAGTTACTTCGCTGCACAAGAAATAAGCGCACTCTCCATCTCTCTCTGATTCTTACTACGTCCCGCTGCTCTCAAGATTTTCCAAGTCTGTATTCGACGAGACGCATTCTCATTATATTCAAATTCTATGCACTGATATACGTATATCGCGCACTGCGCTCCATATAATATTTGATTAAAGTTGCATAACTGATAACGCACTGCATAAGGGCAGAAGTGGGCGTTCTAATTCTAAAATTTTACGTCTCAATGTCATTTTGTGAAATTACTGTTTCAATGGAATTTACTTACTGCCGTTTGAGTAATAGAGACAATAGAGAAACCTTACTAGTTCCCTTTAGGAAAAGCTGGGCCTTTGTTATACTCCCTAGTAAATTTTCTGTTCCCCAGTTGGCATTCCTTTTGACAGCGATATATCCAGAGCGGTTACAAAGTAACAGCCAATGGTATGGCTGTTGGGAATTAGTCATCCTTTCAGAGTGAAACAGTTCGTACAATACAGTATAGGCAAAGTTGTGTCGACACAACAGACTGCGTACCGGAAAGTATTAAAAAGAAAATTCCTTCCGTATGTCTTTTTTGACAGTGCTTCCGTGAAATGGTTTTTGTATAAGGTTAGAGTCTGTGCGTTTGACGGATGACATGCTGAGGAGAAAAAGAACTGAGATCCTCAGACACGTATTGAAATACCGACGCCAAGGATATATGTCGTTTGACATTATACAATCACTTTGGAAATAGGTAAGTTGCCTGTTCTGAATTACGCGGTCGTTCTAGTCAACTGATGTATTTTACGGCATCGAAACGTCGTAGAAGATGTCCTTTTACGACAATAGTATTTTAATAATGATTATACAGATAGGTCTCACGCGTATATGCGACGAGTGTCTTGTGCGAAACGATGTGTTAAGAGTTGAAGGGCGAGGGACCCGGGTTGCAAGGTAAAGTGATAACGTGTTTTTATATGCCCGTTAAATCGACCCATGGAATATCTAGGTTCGGACTAGATGTCGTTTGGATAAAAGCAAATGTTGGTACCATGAGAAGGTATTGGGAATTTTTTTTTTTAAAGCTTTAGCTCCATTTCAAGAGGCAGATAGTTACTGCTTCGACACGGCGATAACTATTTTTAAAAATTGCGCTATTAGGTAAAAATTCTAAATTTGATTAAGAAATGATTACATATACCACATAGCTATAATTATGAACTTTTAGTCAGTCGTTTAATTAGTTTTCTTGAAATTTAATGACTTTTGTAACGTAATGTAATTTGCTTCTGAGTCGCTTTCTATTCTAACCGGAAGTTTAATTGCGTTATTCGCTACAGTTGGATACTGTATTAAAGTGCAATAGTCAGTTTGTACTAGAGTATATTCGTAAGGCTTGAGAAGAATTTTATTTAATGAGGCTGTTACGTGAAACATTAATAATATCTAACAATAATAATGAAAATCCAAAATGACTATTTAGTATTCGCTCCAGTTTAAATTGTTTATCGGGACAATGACATTCTTGGAAAGTATAATGATTTTACGTACCAATCGCTGTATTGCTGTATTATAAGTAAACGCGTGTAATTTTAGACTAGTGCATTGAGTAAATAATAAAATTTATTCAATTCCACTGATAAAATGCAAAAAAATTATATTTTTATGTTTATCTCTATATCAACCATATCTGCTTGCACAGAATTTCCAAGCTGCAAGCTCGTTTAACATGAAATATATCCAAATTGTGATATTTAAAGCACGTTGGAGTTGCGCAAATGGCGCGTGATTATGCAAATTTTCTAAAATAAAAAGAAACCGCAAGCTCTAACAGGATGCTAAATATTAAAGAAGCACGAAAATATTCGAGTCACGAACTTATAAAAGGGAAACAAATTTGCACAACATTCTCGTTTGGTCCTTTTTTTTATCAACTACACAAGAAAATGTCATAAATATAAAGGTAATACGACCCTACCTTTTTGTGCTTTAGAGTAAACCTCTACTGATAACAGAGAAGTAATCTTCTTTCAAAGTTGTCAGTTGATCCAGATCAAGATGACTAAATTCACAGGTTGTCGAGGGATGCTGCTCAGCTGGTGCTTCGACGCCGTTGTGACTGAGCTTGCAAGCACGCGACCACTTTATATCCCGCTCGTAAGCGCCGGGTGGGTGCTTCAAGGGTGGTGGAGCGAAGAGTGGCGGAACGAGAACCTCCAGCCTCCAAACTTCGGAACCACCTACAACCATTGGCAGCCTCGAATCTGGCAGCCCTGCAGCCCTCCGTCCCAATTCCTCATCTGTCTCTTCTTTATACCGCTCTCAGATGCCACATGTCAATTGGCCAGAGCTACGATTCAAGCAACAGGATCCGGAGGTTATGGAACGAGATTGAAAATTACTGAGCAAATTGCGTGCATCCAGAAGCGCAACGTTTTCAACATTCAATGAGATCCCCGGGAAGGATCAGCTTAAGGAATTTTCTTAAACCTTTTTTAAATACCACCGAAAAGACGTTGAACCCATGACACAATGTGATTATATAAAGTCTATCATTTGTTCAAGGATATCATTGTACTTTTTGTCCGGTCCAAAAATAATTAACCGACTGCGGCTTTTGCACGTAGGCTTAACTTCCCCTACTATGCTTATCGTTATAACGAAATATGTAATCAGAGTAAACAGAGGCAGATTTATTTTTCACGAGGCCATTTTAAACTTTCACGTTTCATTCGACTACTGTAACACGTAAGCATCTCTTAATACGATCGATCCTAGCTGATCAATAGGTATGCGACATCTAATACGATATATTAAATATTATATTTTTGTGTACACTGTCTCTATTTTACAAAAAAAAAAAAAAAGCTAAAACCAATTAACGCACTTATCACCCAGCTTGCTGTTACGAATACTTTTTTCATACTCAAATACCAATCAGAATTTCCTGTTTCCCCGCTGGACGTGAAATTAGGTTAAACGCTACGAGACCTCACATTTTCCTTTACTATTTGTTTCCTTCTATTCGGTTGCTTCGCAATATATATATATATATATATATATATATATATATATATATATATATATATATATATATATATATATATATATATATATATATATATATATATATATATATATATATATATATATATATATATATATATATATATATATATATATATATATATATATATATATATATATATATATATATATATATATATATATATATATATAGAAACACATATACGTATAACGTCGATACACAATTTCATTTGGGGTCTTCCAATCTGTTCATTGGCTACATTTACGGCGCCGCTGGCGTTTATGAGTAGAGAGAGAAGGAAGATGCAGCTGCGTCGATGTCTCATTGTCATTTACCCTGTCATTCCTTACGGGTGCGATAAGGCAGAGATTTCAAACGTTTATGGCAATCGTTTCAAAAGGAATTGCATTGATCATGTCACGGTTGAAATACCTCGTTTATTCCCTGAGGATTTTGGCAAAAAAACACGTGCGCCTGTGTGGAATCCATGGCGACCAGTACAGTTCACGTTGTACAAAGAATTATGTAATTAACCTGAATTCCCAGCGCGTGTGACATATGTCATATTATAACGCATGTTCCATATTCTATGAACCTGTAAATTTACCCCTTTTTTATCCTGACGGATGAAATACGAGTTAAAGCCTTTCCGACTTGTAGCTGATGCTCATAATAATATACGAATACATGATTTCTGGATTCGCTTATCGGTCGACTTCAGATCGTTTAATTCAAATCCAAAAAACTATGACTGTAGTTGGTTAAAAGTTTTTTTGAACATGATAGATAATATATAGATAGGTCTGATTAGGTCGTGATTTAAATCGAGATAGGCTTGTATGAATAAACACAGCGTTTAGCAAGGTTATATGCATTATGAATGCTCACCTGCCAGTGATATTTTCTAAATTCAATAATGGCATGAAAATGGTAAAACTTCTGAAAAACTATTAAACGTAAATTACATAGGCACTCTGCGAGAAGTATGTTTCAGATAAAAGTCCTTGGGAAAGGCTTGTTTATGGTATGATTTCTATGGGCGAATTCAATGTCCGTCGTATCGATTGTAAATACTTGGAAAAGATCAAACGCATCCACATACAGACTGTAGAATGTCATAATGACGTCTCCTGGGTCAATCTGGACCTGGCAATGTTACTTTGTTCCGGTCAATTAAAGTAGCCACAGACGTGTTATACGTAGTCTCCCTGTAGAACCTTCTGGATAATTATACCTTCTCCCTAAAGGGACTGGACTCTATTAGTAGAAAGCTTCTCTAAGCGGTTTGTAAGCTTTCGGAATAGATAAGGACATGTCGTACTTCTAGTGAACGGCAACGGAGTGCCTTGTAGGGTCGTTTTTTTATTGGACAATGAAAGGCAGTATCGTAGAGTAAATTCTCTTGGTTGGTTAGCTCACTACCACCCACCCTTCCTATATTCCCCAATAGACGTCAGATAAGTAATGGCTCTGACACAAAGGAAGAAATCCCACGTTATTTGAAGAAATACCAAAAAATTGCCCGCAGGCTGTAGAAGGTAAGTCGCGTGTAAGTACAAATTGATGGAATATTCGTAATAAAAATTGTCCAATAGGGACTTACCGGTGAAACAAGATATTGGTACATTTTCGTAATTTAAAAAATTCTTTCTGATGAATGTCACGTGACATTTTTTATTTTTTCAATCCAAGGCGTAATACGTCTCATGGACACTAGCCCTGTTTTTCCTAAAGTATGGTAAAGTTATGCAGAAGTGACGTTTGAAATATGAATTGCAAAACGCGATGAATGTTACGTGGGAAGGTATCTCTTGGAGAGCAGAAAATATTAGAGAAAGAAGAGGGAGAGTGTGTATCAGTGTGCTATCGGGTAAAAAAAATACAATCGAAGAATCATTCAGAATCAGAAATTCCCATTTCACTCCGATTCACTCTTTTTTCATCTTTATATATTTTTTTCTCATCAAAAAATTCACTTCCTTCCAATCCGAGCAGTCAAGCAGCGCGCGCATTAGCACAAATGTCAGCGATAGAAATGGCTGTGAGTAAGATGCCTCCTCCTGTGGCGATGTTTACTTCGAAGCTCTTCAAGCGACTAAATCGCGTCAATGGAGTCGTTTCGCGTTATATTCCCAGCGAACGACAACGTTTTCCGCTTTCTCGAAATCCGCCTTGACCCTTCTCATTCAACCCCCATTCTTTTCGTTCTATCTATTCACTCGTACCTGTCTTCAAGGTGACGTGGAAACTGCCTGGTATCGAGTCTGCTTCAAAATAATTGACTCCGCTGATCACTACAATTTTCGCATTCTTCGATTTCTCCGTCTTTCAATTGCTCAAACATCTTTCAAACGTCAATAGTTTAACAATGTCAAAAGCAATATTGTCATCCACCTGTTTGGAAGGTAGAAATAATTACATGAAGGACTTGTCGTTGGAAACGTTACCCGCGTCGTTATGCAACTTAATAAGCAATTAACGGCTTCCTTATTGCATGCGCTAATTAAGAATTTTAATAAGCTCCTTTCTCGCTGCCCTATCCTCTATTTGACGTTTCACTACCTGCTGTTGATTTGCTGGACTTGCATGAACTTTAACGGCGAGGGACTATAACTTGGTAAGGAATTAGATACAAGGGATGATCCACGTGTAGCAGTCTGGGACACCGATCCGTGTTAATGGCTGCATCTACATTGTTGGATGCACTCAAGTCTCAAGCATGACTTGTTAATATACATATGTACATAGGTAGAAGGTAAGTGCTGCATTAGCCAAGTACTCGAATAAAAATTATCGAAAATTGCGACCGTTTGCATTTAATTAGTTTTTGTTGAGCACTGAGTATGCAGTTGGCTCCTGCTACCATAGCGGCCTCTATAACCATTACGTGACACCGGCCGGTCCTTTCTATATAGTAGTATCTACTGGGCATGTATTTTATCCTTTTAATATTCAATACAAATTTGCATTTACCACGGACGCTCCATCCACTACATTTACGAGTTAACGTCCGGCCCCATACGCATGCTTTCATACGGTGCAGCCGCCCTGTTATTCCGTTAGTATTTTCTGGCATCCAGAGAATTCAACCAAACTGACATTCCTGCTCTGTAATTACATTTTCTGCCTGAAATCTACTAGCCGACTCCAGGTGCTATGTAGAAATCGTCAGTCTGAAACTAAGGAAAAGCTACTTTGAAAAATAACGTATGCTTATGTCGCTGATTGTTTGAATTTACATATTTTTATTCATTCTTATAGATACAGACACACATAAAAATTATACTAACTCCGCTCGTGACGAGAGGATCCCTTGCAACTACCTACGTGTATATATATATATATGTGGATTTTATGTGGTACATACTGGAAAGACGATAGCATTGTAACTATACCCTATAAAGAGTACAACTAGCTATTTTCTGAATAGTTGACTTTCTTTTGGAACACGAGCGAACTGTAATTCTGCTCGCCAGGAGGGTATTGAAGTTTACGTACGTTTCCAGGGGAGTCAAGTTAATTTGTAAATTTATAGACAGAATATCCAACTCTTTCGTTACTTACTGATAGTCACTCATAGATACTACACCGTATATTCCTTTAAAAAACATGTAAAAATAGAACATAGCAGTCAATGATTTTAGTCTGAACCACCAGGAGTTACCCCAACCTAACTGATACCATCACTCGTGACGGTTTCCGTCGTTTGCTCTCAGATGGCTCTGCCAAGGTTTTCCTCAAACAGAATTTTCCGGCAGCGTAACCATCGTTACCATCATCCGGTATTCAACAAGGATTATTGGAAACTAATGTAATTCATTCCGAACTTTGAAATTTTCATTTACACACAATACCGTCTATAGGCCACTAGTAACAATCAACTTACGTTCTACCCCAAGTATCCAGAGGTTTGTTTTTTGCTATAAGAAAAACAATGATTAAGTAAGAAAAGTTCTAAGAACCTTATAGCAGACCGTAAACCTTAAGCATTTCTTTGAGATTAAATTGCGATTATCCAGCAAGTTGGTTCCCATAGCTGGCTTGTTTGTTCCTTCAATGCCGGTAAAGTTTTTATTCTTTTTACAGACGCAGCATCGCTTAATTTCTCGATTAATGACCCAGAAGCTTAACGGGGTGCTGGTTAATGACTCTGAGGTTTATGCACCGCTGCAGTAGCACGACTTCTGCGTACAAACGCCAGCGGGTGGTTGAGTGCTACCAGAGAAGCCTTTATCTCAAACTCACTTCAATATTGTTTCCGAGTGGTAGCGACCATTATCCTGAGAAAGCAGCCACCTTCAAACCCTTTAGTTTGCCACTGATTGACTTCCAATGTTAGTATACTTGCCAGTCGCGTTCAAGCCGCGTTTCATCATTTGACATTTCTCATTCTTTTTTTTTTCTTCCAGCAGGAAGAAAATCGGTACCTGTTCTTCGTTTGTGATAAATATCAGAGAATGACTGTTGCAGGGTGCTTAATGAAATGTGGAATTCATTGAAAAAACGAAATAAAAGGAATGGAGATAAGTAACTGACATACAATGTAATTTTATGGAATTTTAGATGAAACGGAATGCTCGTATTCTAACCTAAAAGAACAGAAATGAGATGCGACAAATGGAGTGTGCCTGAGTAGATTCTTCCTGGCAGCCTTCTTGATCGTGGCGAATAAGAATAGCGAATAACTAGAAATCAGGAAGGATACAGGGAATAAGAAAAATCCTAAAATATCCAGTGGGTAAAATATTTTGATAGAAATGACACAATGAATAGATATAGGAATTACTAGATAAAGTGTATCTGGATTTATCAGGTTTAATTTTATTATAGGGGTATGTGACGCCGTGGAAACGTAGGCTGTTAAAAAAATTAATATCGGCGCCTTGCGTCGCGACGTGTCATAAGTATACCTACTGAGGTTGTATTGGAATACACACGCTCTTTAAAGACTCCAGTTGATTTTAACAGCCGCAACTAAACGGATTCTCTTGCTGAGCGGATAATGAGTTCAATTAAAGTAAAGGGTCATGAAAATCTCAATAAACAAAATGACCGGACTTTATATGATTATTGCGCCCCCGCAATGCTGCTACGTATGAATATACGTCAAGAAGCTTTTCTTTGTTGATCAAACCGCGAATCGGTTTATTATCGTCGTAACTCATCCATTATTCCATTAGAGCGCGTCATGCCATTTATTATTAATAAAGCCAACTAATAGCTCACAGCTTAAATGCTCTCGCACGCCTTCACTGCCTAGGATAGTTAATTCCTGATCTAACAAATGAATTTACAGAATAAATTTGCTTAATTTCAAGCAGATTATTTTCTTGCATATTTAACAAATTTTATATTAATGAAAATTCGTATACCTACGTATCTCTGTGTACCAGACTGAAGACTCCTGCGATAATAGCAATTTTCTATAACAGATGCATTTTGAACCGTCATTTTGTTATTATATTGAATAATATATCGCGAAAGAACCGTACTTATGAAGTGTGGGAACGCTTCGCGCCGAGCGAAAAATAGAATGAGCCGATATAAAATTCGCGAAAATGTATAAAAGTCCTACGATCGTAAAGTCGTCGAGCCTTGGGTATATTTGATCATACACAATATGAGCATATAATACAGCCAGGACGACTTTGACCTCAATTGAATGGAGTAACTTTTATTGTACCGACGCGAGCGAGCATATCCTTTTATGATTCTTTTCATTGGATAATTATTTTCCGTCACACGATTGCGTCAAATCCCAAATGCATATATATATACACACATAAATAGGTAATTCTTAGTACCTCTGTACCAACAGCCATAAATAAGACAATTGAATATAGTATGAAGATGATCGCACAGGATGGAATAGCTATCGAACTTGAAGAGCACGGTTGGGAAATTAATAGCACGGTAGGTTTCCAAATGTTTTATTACGGGAAGACAGTAACTAACGGGTTACGTACGCGCAATTCTAAGCAGCGGTAAAATTTGTCAGTCACGTAAAACAAATGTATCACGAAACGTATATCTCGTTAATTATTTCGCGAACGTGACAGCACCCTCCAGTAAAATTTTTCAAATTAAATCGATTTTTCCAGAGAACATTGAAACAAGTCAAAAAAATCAATAGTTCACGGAACGCTGCTGGACTGGGATTGAAGAAAATTACAGAGAGAGAAGGAAGCAAGACAGATAATAATATCGACGCGTGAACGCAAGACCAAATGAAAGAGAGAAACAAGATCTCCAAGTATCTCGCAATGTGAAAAGCCACATCCTGAGACAGTTTTTAAATATTGAAATTGTATACGAGCGCCTGAAGATTTTCGTAATTCGAATTCACGTCGGAGGAAACTGCCCTGTTGCGCTGGACCATCCCTTAATTGACGTTACCACATTACTCCCTTATCCTTTACATAACTTGGGTCAAAGGGCACTGTAGAATAACCACCAACACGAGTCTCTTGGGTACGCCACTGTGGTCGCATGTTTCGAAGAGACAAGAGAATCAGGTATAAAGTCTTCTACTCCCTTTACGATTCGCGACAGAATCGAACTGGGGATTGTAAAGTTAGGATAGGTAATACAGAAAGCACTTCAGGAAGCATGCGAAAGAACAAAAAAAAGATTTAGAAGAGCCAATGTAGTAAATGAATTAAAATTATAAAAAATAGTATTGATTTTACTCACAAGTTTATCATGGCGCTAGTAGTTAACGTACATTTAGTGTCAGACATATCTTTCAAGATGATTGACTAGACTAAACTTTGTTATGTAATCCAAAGCGGTACAGTGGAATTCCCAACGCAATCCAACTCTGAATTAGTAATTGTTAACTCCACGTCAAGGACAAGAGAAGTGTGGAGAACCAAGAGCAAAATCTTCCAAGCAACAAAGCTTGGAGAATCCGGTATCACGTCCGGTTTCATGAGATCCTTGGACCGTAAATTACAGGGACCAATGCCATGTCGTTGGGGAAAATGGGGAAAAGGCCGGCATGAATACTCTTGTCGGCAATTCACGTTCAAGATTAAAATAAGGATCATGTCTAAATTCTAATGATAATGATTAGCAGTAACTTCGTTATATGCTATTTGGACAGTCCAATATTGTTTAAGGTATGTAATTTACTGGTTAAATTTCTTTTTACAAATTCACATAATTATTCCAACTGCATATCATTCAGCTTTTCGTTACTCGTATTCATCGTCCTACTCTTTGACGATGTCTCGTTAGTGGTGTAACAGATCTTCGTCCCTCGACCCCGTCGAGTCCATTTGACGCCACTAATTACGACACCACATCACATAAAGACAAACCGACGCTTGCATAGATATAGATATGTTTACTACGCGGTTACTGACGTACTTACGCACTGGGATACGTTCGTCCTACGGCACGAGGGATATTTCACCCTTAGGATTTAAAATGCAATGGTATCCGCTTGTATCTATTATCTTTCTAGATAGGACGGTAGAACATGGGAGAACTGGTGGTAAATTATTTATCTATCTCTCTGAATTTCTGAGGCATCTATAAATAACACCCACGTGGTTTGAGTTAAAGAGCGTCACTTATGCACGCTGCTATGTACAAGCTTTATGCATAATCCGTATTGATACAACATTGTTTACTGATGCATCAGCGTTATAAGGGTTGATCAACAAGTTTTTGTATGTTAGGTAAAATTAATGAAAGATTTAAAATCGTGCGGTTTAAAGAATAATGCTTGCAATTAATATATAGATCGGATCTATGGATCCTTCGTGAACTCTGAAACAGGTTTACAAGTGGGTAGTAAGCGTTGGAAGGTATAACACTCCTTTAATGAAACGTCCAAAGTTTTCGCGCTTGCGTGGCTCCCACCACGAGGTAGCGCAAAGTATATAGGTCCGTGTAAGACGCCCCGAACCGTCAGATTGCAACCCTGAAACTACCTTTGATGCTGAAGACAATTCGTGGAAACACTGTGAAAACTGCGATTGACACATAAGCGAATACGGTAGGAGAGAGGCTTAATAATAAAGCAGGCTTTATTGAAATCTCTAATTAAAAACTTATCTAGAGACGTAACAAAGTCCTTATTAATAATCGCTCGGATCTCTTATTAAGTCTTTTCAAAGTATACCTTGGTGCGCGGATCTCAAGGAAGTTACTAATTTCCACCATAACCATAAAATTGGAGGTAAGCTGTGAAAATAATAATTGATTTAAATGGATCGTTCTTAAATATTAAAATTATTATATTCGAGTACAAGACGCTTTTAATTAATATTCTGATAAAGGAGAGCGTTCGGATCGTATTTTCATTGACGCCACTCCCGCGATTCTCACACGTACGCGTCGCGACGCTTGCGCGACGCTCAGGAGAGCTTGCAACTAGCGAAACCGCGCTCGCACGCAGCCTGCGAATTTATATCACGGGCTTCACTCGGTGTGTCATTCGCGCGTGATAAACACGGAAAATCGGCGGGCTCCTGGGACTCCGTTAGGAACACCATGGGAACGTCTTTGATTATTTTGCTCGTCGGGACGCTACTTGCAGTAACTGGTACCAGAGGACACGCGCTTGCGAAGAGAAGCGCAGCTGGAAACGCGCCGGGATCGTTCGACTATCCCGATTATGCAGTCAAGTACGATGAGTATCCGGTGAGTGAATAAAAAAAATGTCTACATTAATTCTTAAAAATTAATCCCTACGCTCCTTCATATAATATTTACTATCTTTAAATGCCTCTTTTAATATTTACACTCGGCTAATACTTGTTCACTGACTTATAGCGCGTGGATCGATTTTTCAAAAAGATACAAATTCAAGATAACCCTGATAACCAGTAGCTGTAGACTTTTATTAAATCAGAACTCGCACAGATTCAATTTCACCGGAGCGCGAATTCTGTTGAAACGAAGTCACTTCGTACGAAGCAGTATACCAGTAGCTCTATATTATATTTGTTACTATACGTAGTGTGCATTTGTGCAATTTTATCCGATCGGTCAAAAGACCTGGAATAAATCGGTCAAGGAGCATCCCGTCGATTGACCTCGCGACTTTCGTTAATTTTGTTGGTCCCGTGTGGGACGTGAATTTACAATGGGTATTAGATATATCAATAAAAACTTCAAAGACCCGCGCCGGCCAATGATAACAATGCGTTCGGTTTATTACGTCAGCAACTCTTCAGACTGGTTTACCCAGCACCGTATGCACGATCAATGGAATTTCGAAGGAGCATTATGCGAAGCATTCGTGAGATATTGTGCTTTACATTGCTTTGTTATACAGAAGTACAAGAATACATATCGTTATATCTAGGGGCGCTCATACACAGCTGCCTCTCATATATGGGCTTATTAACAAATTGAAAACAGCTGTCATCACCACCCTGGCACCTGTTGGATCATTCATGTAACGTTCATGTGCCCTTACGATTTGAACCTCCTGAGCGCCCTTTGAATCTTCCCTTAAATACCATCTCATCCCCATTGATTTCATTATACCTTAAACTTACTTGGATCCTACCCTTATCTCCGTAGCTTTTCATCATCTTCCAGTATTATTTATATACGTTGTATACGGTTCTCATTGTTTTTCACACGGACAGTAATCGCAGTCCATTACACCCTGAACCCTATTGACTGATCCGACCCCTTTTTCAAAAGGATTATCTTGATTCATGTAAATATTTATCGATCACCCTAGATATGTCCTGCGAAATTGCCGTACCTAGTTCGAATGTCATTTTCCTTCTTTTTTCCATTTTTCTTTTTTCTTTTTTTTTTCCATTTTTACGCACATAACAAAGATATCGCGCTATCATTCTTTTTTCCCCTTTCTCATCTAGAGTTTCTTTATTACCAAGGATGCCTTCTGCTAGTATCGGAACGCGAACTTGATATTTAATCATTCGCTCGGTAGAGGGACGACGCCGATAAGATATTCGTTACAGATTACTTCCTTTATGGGTATTACAAATAATATTGCTTGAAAAACTTTTATATACGTATTATTCGGGTTCATAATACTTGGATGGGTTGCATGTCCAATTGACTAGGTAGGAGAGAAATGTTCTCTCGGTAGAAGCTGAAGGGACTTTACGGGGCGCGATATCCATTAAAGTTGTTCTCGCTTCTCTTCGTTAAACTTAAATTAATGACCGGCAACAGCGCGTGGTAGATTAATGAAATCGATTGGCTATCGAATACGATGTATAGCGGAAGCAAGAATATAGTTATTGGTAGTACACACTCACTTTACATAACAGTGAATTTGTCCAGCATATGCTCGACGTGAAGTAAGCTGCTTATGTGGCCAGATATAAAAATCATATTAAGGCGAAGTTACATCGCAATAAAATTGATATCAGGCCAGGTGCCAGAGAAAAAGTTGAATGAAACTCAAGAGACCCAGTGCGCGTTTTCAAGGAGTTTCGTCATCCTTAACATTATGGTACGTTCGGCAAGGGGGTGCAAGATATTATACGAAGGTTTAATTTTGAGGATATGGTTATATTGGGGGGGGGGGGGGGGGTTTTTTTTCTT